CATTTAAGCGATTTTCGTCAAAAAAAAATTTTCAAAACAATTCAATTTTTCTTAGGCACACTATTTTATTGCATTTTCTTGCACAAAATACACCTAAAAGTGTAGAAAAAAATTGACAGCCCGATCCGAGTAGAGGAACACCAATTTTATGACCATTTAAGCGATTTTCGAAAAACAAAATTTCTCAAAAAAATTCAATTTTTCTTAGGCACACTATTTTATTGCATTTTCTTGCACAAAATACATGTAAAAGTGTAGAAAAAAATTGACAGCCCGATCCGAGTAGAGGATTACCAATTTTATGACCATTTAAGCGATTTTCGAAAAACAAAACTTTCAAAAAAATTCAATTTTTCTTAGGCACACTATTTTATTGCATTTTCTTGCACAAAATACACCTAAAAGTGTAGAAAAAAATTGACAGCCCGATCCGAGTAGAGGAACACCAATTTTATGACCATTTAAGCGATTTTCGAAAAACAAAATTTCTCAAAAAAATTCAATTTTTCTTAGGCACACTATTTTATTGCATTTTCTTGCACAAAATACATGTAAAAGTGTAGAAAAAAATTGACAGCCCGATCCGAGTAGAGGAACACCAATTTTATGACCATTTAAGCGATTTTCGTCAAACAAAATTTTTCAAAAAAATTCAATTTTTCTTAGGCACACTATTTTATTGCATTTTCTTGCACAAAATACACCTAAAAGTGTAGAAAAAAATTGACAGCCCGATCCGAGTAGAGGATTACCAATTTTATGACCATTTAAGCGATTTTCGAAAAACAAAATTTTTCAAAAAAATTCAATTTTTCTTAGGCACACTATTTTATTGCATTTTCTTGCACAAAATACACCTAAAAGTGTAGAAAAAAATTGACAGCCCGATCCGAGTAGAGGAACACCAATTTTATGACCATTTAAGCGATTTTCGTCAAAAAAAAATTTTCAAAACAATTCAATTTTTCTTAGGCACACTATTTTATTGCATTTTCTTGCACAAAATACACCTAAAAGTGTAGAAAAAAATTGACAGCCCGATCCGAGTAGAGGAACACCAATTTTATGACCATTTAAGCGATTTTCGAAAAACAAAATTTTTCAGAAAAATTCAATTTTTCTTAGGCACAATATTTTATTGCATTTTCTTGCACAAAATACACCTAAAAGTGTAGAAAAAAATTGACAGCCCGATCCGAGTAGAGGAAAACCAATTTTATGACCATTTAAGCGATTTTCGAAAAACTAAATTTTTCAAAAAAATTCAATTTTTCTTAGGCACACTATTTTATTGCATTTTCATGCACAAAATACACCTAAAAGTGTAGAAAAAAATTGACAGCCCGATCCGAGTAGAGGAACACCAATTTTATGACCATTTAAGCGATTTTCGTCAAAAAAAAATTTTCAAAACAATTCAATTTTTCTTAGGCACACTATTTTATTGCATTTTCTTGCACAAAATACACCTAAAAGTGTAGAAAAAGATTGACAGCCCGATCCGAGTAGAGGAACACCAATTTTATGACCATTTAAGCGATTTTCGTCAAAAAAAAATTTTCAAAACAATTCAATTTTTCTTAGGCACACTATTTTATTGCATTTTCTTGCACAAAATACACCTAAAAGTGTAGAAAAAAATTGACAGCCTGATCCGAGTAGAGGAACACCAATTTTATGACCATTTAAGCGATTTTCGTCAAAAAAAAATTTTCAAAACAATTCAATTTTTCTTAGGCACTCTATTTTATTGCATTTTCTTGCACAAAATACACCGAAAAGTGTAGAAAAAAATTGACAGCCCGATCCGAGTAGAGGAACACCAATTTTATGACCATTTAAGCGATTTTCGTCAAACAAAATTTTTCAAAAAAATTCAATTTTTCTTAGGCACACTATTTTATTGCATTTTCTTGCACAAAATACACCTAAAAGTGTAGAAAAAAATTGACAGCCCGATCCGAGTAGAGGAACACCAATTTTATGACCATTTAAGCGATTTTCGTCAAAAAAAAATTTTCAAAACAATTCAATTTTTCTTAGGCACACTATTTTATTGCATTTTCTTGCACAAAATACACCTAAAAGTGTAGAAAAAAATTGACAGCCCGATCCGAGTAGAGGAACACCAATTTTATGACCATTTAAGCGATTTTCGTCAAAAAAAAATTTTCAAAACAATTCAATTTTTCTTAGGCACACTATTTTATTGCATTTTCTTGCACAAAATACACCTAAAAGTGTAGAAAAAAATTGACAGCCCGATCCGAGTAGAGGAACACCAATTTTATGACCATTTAAGCGATTTTCGAAAAACAAAATTTTTCAAAAAAATTCAATTTTTCTTAGGCACAATATTTTATTGCATTTTCTTGCACAAAATACACCTAAAAGTGTAGAAAAAAATTGACAGCCCGATCCGAGTAGAGGAAAACCAATTTTATGACCATTTAAGCGATTTTCGAAAAACCAAATTTTTCAAAAAAATTCAATTTTTCTTATGCACACTATTTTATTGCATTTTCTTGCACAAAATACACCTAAAAGTGTAGAAAAAAATTGACAGCCCGATCCGAGTAGAGGAACACCAATTTTATGACCATTTAAGCGATTTTCGTCAAACAAAATTTTTCAAAAAAATTCAATTTTTCTTAGGCACAATATTTTATTGCATTTTCTTGCACAAAATACACCTAAAAGTGTAGAAAAAAATTGACAGCCCGATCCGAGTAGAGGAAAACCAATTTTATGACCATTTAAGCGATTTTCGAAAAACAAAATTTTTCAAAAAAATTCAATTTTTCTTATGCACACTATTTTATTGCATTTTCTTGCACAAAATACACCTAAAAGTGTAGAAAAAAATTGACAGCCCGATCCGAGTAGAGGAACACCAATTTTATGACCATTTAAGCGATTTTCGTCAAAAAAAAATTTTCAAAACAATTCAATTTTTTTTAGGCACACTATTTTATTGCATTTTCTTGCACAAAATACACCTAAAAGTGTAGAAAAAGATTGACAGCCCGATCCGAGTAGAGGAACACCAATTTTATGACCATTTAAGCGATTTTCGTCAAAAAAAAATTTTCAAAACAATTCAATTTTTCTTAGGCACACTATTTTATTGCATTTTCTTGCACAAAATACACCTAAAAGTGTAGAAAAAAATTGACAGCCCGATCCGAGTAGAGGAACACCAATTTTATGACCATTTAAGCGATTTTCGTCAAAAAAAAATTTTCAAAACAATTCAATTTTTCTTAGGCACACTATTTTTTTGCATTTTCTTGCACAAATTACACCTAAAAGTGTAGAAAAAAATTGACAGCCCGATCCGAGTAGAGGAACACCAATTTTATGACCATTTAAGCGATTTTCGTCAAACAAAATTTTTCAAAAAAATTCAATTTTTCTTAGGCACACTATTTTATTGCATTTTCTTGCACAAAATACACCTAAAAGTGTAGAAAAAAATTGACAGCCCGATCCGAGAAGAGGAACACCAATTTTATGACCATTTAAGCGATTTTCGTCAAAAAAAAATTTTCAAAACAATTCAATTTTTCTTAGGCACACTATTTTATTGCATTTTCTTGCACAAAATACACCTAAAAGTGTAGAAAAAAATTGACAGCCCGATCCGAGAAGAGGAACACCAATTTTATGACCATTTAAGCGATTTTCGTCAAAAAAAAATTTTCAAAACAATTCAATTTTTCTTAGGCACACTATTTTATTGCATTTTCTTGCACAAAATACACCTAAAAGTGTAGAAAAAAATTGACAGCCCGATCCGAGTAGAGGAACACCAATTTTATGACCATTTAAGCGATTTTCGTCAAACAAAATTTTTCAAAAAAATTCAATTTTTCTTAGGCACACTATTTTATTGCATTTTCTTGCACAAAATACACCTAAAAGTGTAGAAAAAAATTGACAGCCCGATCCGAGTAGAGGAACACCAATTTTATGACCATTTAAGCGATTTTCGTCAAACAAAATTTTTCAAAAAAATTCAATTTTTCTTAGGCACACTATTTTATTGCATTTTCTTGCACAAAATACACCTAAAAGTGTAGAAAAAAATTGACAGCCCGATCCGAGTAGAGGAACACCAACTTTATGACCATTAAAAAGATTTTCGTCAAAAAAAATTTTTCAAAAAAATTCAATTTTTCTTAGGCAGACTATTTTATTGCAATTTCTTGAACAAAATACACCTAAAAGTGTAGAAAAAAATTGACAGCCCGATCCGAGTAGAGGAACACCAATTTTATGACCATTTAAGCGATTTTCGTCAAACAAAATTTTTCAAAAAAATTCAATTTTTCTTAGGCAGACTATTTTATTGCAATTTCTTGAACAAAATACACCTAAAAGTGTAGAAAAAAATTGACAGCCCGATCCGAGTAGAGGAACACCAATTTTATGACCATTAAAGCGATTTTCGCAAAAAAAAATTTTGAAAAAAATTTAATTTTTCTTAGGCAGACTATTTTATTGCAATTTCTTGCACAAAATACACCTAAAAGTGTAGAATAAAATTGACAGCCCGATCCGAGTTTTGGAGCTAGGATGTTCAAATTTGGTATACCTGCATAATGTTGCAAGTAAGGAAAATTGTAGGGAATCTGGTTGGAATTGAATTGAATATTGTTATATTCCAAAAACTCGAAATTTCGGAAAAACGTACCCTTCCCCGCTTTAACTTTTACAGTTCTGGAGCTAAGAAGCTGAAATTTGGTACACATATTTAATTTTATGTGTAGATTTCACAAAAAATATAGCTTACCTTTTTGAAATATTATATTTAAATATTTAAATATTTAAATTTAAATAATTGTGAACGGAACCCTAGGTAAGCGAGTGTAACTCGTACTTGACCAATTTTTTATATTATAGCTTGTGATTAAATATTTTTTTGTAATTTATCTTTACAAAATTTTTTATAGGTTATCAAAATTTTACCAGGAATAGTAAAAATAAATTTAAAAATGTACTTTATTAGAAACTTTAATTCTAAAAATTTCAAAACATTATTGATTGGTAATAGACGAAACAAAAATAAATATTAACATTTATTTTGTTAGATGTTGTCGCATGATAATTTTTTGAAAATGATTAGAAAATTGTGAATTTAAAGTATATTTTTTTATTTGAATCTAACAATATTTTAATATATTTATAATTGAGGAATAGAGTGTACATATTAATTATTTTTTGCAACTATATAAAGTCTTATTATTAAAATATTCCTTTTTATATTTTATGTCACTATTTATAATTAATATCTATCCAATGCTTTATTTATTAACTTATATATATATGTGTGTGTGTATTTGTGTATGTTTTGTTTTCGTCTGTGACGAATGTCTATTATAGTGATGTATGTATTTAGCATAATTTCTGTTTAGTTTTCTACAATTATAGAATTTATCTGATTTTTTTTAAATCATAGTTGTCAATATATTTTGAGATATGCTAATATAATTAGATTTTTTTAAATGTGTATTCTTGGTGTTTTATATATTTACACTTTCTCCAATCCTTATTTCAAAATTTTTAAGGTATAAGAAAATATTTCATTACTCTTAACTTAAAACGATTCAATTAAGAATTTATTTATTATATATACTTGTGGTTCTTTTTTATAGTTTATATGGAGATGGAATGATACAAATGTAAAAATTTTTAAATAATAGAGATGTATTATATTTTTATGGATGAGGACCATTTCTAACTGTAATTACACGATAAAAATGATGATTTTTTTAGAACTCATATTCTCATAACACATAAATTTTTATTCGTGATTTAAATATTCTGCATAATTGATAAAAAATTATTAACAAGAATTTGTGTACACGTTGTAAGTCAGAAATGTATTCTGAGTAAGAAATTTTTTTCATTATTTTATCTTGCGGAAACAAAACTTATACACTAGTTTATGAATTATTTTTTTTGTTTTTAATTGAAAAAATTAATAGATTAATGTATAGTGCAATTACTACACTTAAATATATATATTTATATATATATATGTGTGTGTGTGTATGTGTGTCTAGATGTATATACAATAAACAATGAATTGCAGAGTTGTAGATTTACAATAAGAATACAAATGTATTCTTGTTATTTCGGAATTTTATTATAACCACCAACATTATCATGTTTATTTCTGAAATTCACTCAATTTGTTTGATAGTATACTTTTTAATGGCTATTTGACATTCATCTGAACACCAATGTTTTACCAAGATATGAGTTTCGGATTCCAAAGCGGCATTTAACTTGTCACGTAGACTTTGACGCAAAAGAGCCTTTGTTGCTTCCATTGACTAGAAAATTAGAAGGAAAAAAATTTCGATCAATATTTATAATGATAAAATGATTATCTTTTAAAAATATTCAACACCCTATTTTTTAGAAGGAGCTATGACAAAAAAGATTAGGACTAGATTAAAATAGAAGAAAATACTAAGGAGTTAAAGTGCAACAGAATTGCATACAGATGCAATAGGAAAAACAAAAATATATGGGGCATTCCACGGGAGATTTTCATTGAAATTTTTTTTTCCCCGAAACATTTTTTTTGAAATCTTTATGAAAAATAAGGATATACGTATTTTTTTATTTTTTTATTCGATAAAAATGAAGGAAGTTATGATTTTTTGAAATTTAACGTCAACGATGGAAGTGTGTTTTTGGGACATTTTTTAATCTATTGTACTAATAAATAAAAAATTATGCTATATATGAAGTTTGTTCATTTTTTAAAAAATTTTTCAAATATGTACTCAAAAATAACGTACCTATAAGAGAAGTAACAAAAAAGTTAAAATTAAACTCAAAAAGTGAGTTTTCTCAAAAGAGACACTTTCGATTTTTAATTTTTTTTTTGCATTACAATCTCTGGTGACTGAAGAATTTTTTCCCCTATCTGCGAAAGTGGTACTTTTAGTTTTTAAGTTACTATTTACAATTTTCTTAGTACGACTCACAGAATTTAAGCAGTTATTTTACAAATATAAACTTTTTCCATTATTATTTATTTGTTTTTTTTTAATTTTCATAAAAACATACTAAAAATCGTTACGTCGAGCTTAAAGATTGTAAATAGTAACTTAAAAACTAAAAGTACCACTTTCGCAGATAGGGGAAAAAATTCTTCAGTCACCAAAGATTGTAATGCAAAAAAAAACAATAAAAATCGAAAGTGTCTCTTTTGAGAAAACTCACTTTTTAAGTTTAATTTCAACTTTTTTGTTGCTTCTCTTATAGATACGTTATTTTTGAGCAGATATTTGAAAAATTTCAGAAAAAATGAACAAATTTCATATATAACATAATTTTTAATTTATTAGTACAATAGATTAAAAAATGTCCCAAAAACACACTTTCATCGTTGACGTTAAATTTCAAAAAATCATAACTTCCTTCATTTTCATCAAATAAAAAAATAAAAAAATACGTATATCCTTATTTTTCATATAGATTTCGAAAAAAATGTTTCGGGGAAAAAAAATTTTTGAATGAAAATCTCCCGTGGAATGCCCCATATGGTTTAAAATATGTAAACGACGATATCATAACAGCAGGGAATATAAACGATATAAAAATGATAATTGAGGAATTTAGAAAAAAGTTCAATTAGCAATAAGTTGAAGCTAAATATATCAAATTCAAGAATAATTATCTGTAAACTTTTAGAGAAAACAATATTAAATAAATTTATTTATTACATAATCACATCTTTGAGTGGATTATACTATAAAGAAAGGTGTTGGTTAAGTGTATAACATTTATAATTATATAGGTGGGTGGTCCCACCTACATGTGATTTTATTTTCGTTTTATGAGTATGTTAGGTAAAAGTTAAGCAAACTCTGAAAGTAGTTGTAAAATATCTCTAGAGCAATGTTCTTCATTTTTATTCTTAAACATTTTATAATATTGTCCATATTTTTGACATTTTTAGTTAAGTGTAGAGAGGTTGTAATTAAAAGCAAAGATAGCACTGTTGTTTTTGCATATAGACCGGGTGTATGTATTATGTTTTTTTAGCTCGTAATGAAAAACTATTTACATGAAAATGATAACAATATTATAGTATATTTATTAGATTGAAGGTGAGAGTGGGCTTGGTATTTGTGAACCTAATGAAGCATGTAATATTGTGCACAACCGTTTTTGGCTTCCAACATTAACAGAAAGATTGTGTCGATGTACAGAAGGACGGGAATGTCCTTGGAACTGGAATTATATTAAAACTTCCAACAGGAGTAGTGATTCTTCCATTATAATTAATAATAGATCAGTACTTCAGGTGAGATTTGTTTTTTTTGGAATCTTTTGCAATTAGTAACGTAAAAATTTATATATTTTTTTTTTTGTAGTTTTGCAGCCCTACAAATTTGAAAAATATGAAAATATGTTCTAGTAAAGAATCAGCTATTACTTTCTTGGGAGAAAGTAATCATAACAATTCATTACAATATCCACTTTCAATAAAAGCAAACTGCAAATGTCGAAATCCTTTTTTTTGGATACTTCAAAAAGCCAAATATATAGAAAATAAATCAGTTTTACAAGTTTATAAATGTGCAACAGTAAGTAATTATTTTTTAAGTTTATTTTTTACTTATAAAAAGGAATTTTAATATTGTCTTACTGTTAAATCACTGTTAATCTTACTGTTAATTCTTGCATATTATTTGTCAAGTTAGAGTTTATTTTATTCCAAATCAATTTAACCGTATTTCGCTTTGGATAACCACATAAAATAACTTGTATCAAAATAAAGGTATAAAGAAAATTATATTATTAATGAAAATATTTAAATTATGTTCATTAATTACTTTTATCAGAGTTTTCTTAAACCATTGAAGATGTTTAACTAATCATGTATATATTTTTTTAAAAGCAAAATCATATTATATAAGTGATCTGAAAAACTATATGTTAATACATATTTGTGACGCTCCACGGTGAAAGAGACCTTAGCTGCTCTTGACTTAAGGTCCCTTTCACCGTGGAGCGTCACATTTACTGATTGAATTTTTTTTATTACAGCAATGGATGTGTGATCCCCTTGAATTTTGTGGTCACGTTAGAACTGATTTATTCTCTATATATTATCGTTGTACTTGTCCAGAAAAGCACTGGTGTATTTTTCAAACAAATAAGCAGGAAGCCGAAAACTATGTACATGAACTTGCTTACACAGGAACAGCGTTTAAAGCATATTGCATTCCACATTCATAATATATTTGTTTCTTTAACAAATATTTTATTAAATTAAGTCTTCAACGTCAGTTATTATTATGTTATACTATATCTTAATATTAAATAATAACATATATATGTTTTTTATTTCAAAGAGTAAATAAACCTTTTAAATGTATTAAAAAATATTATAATATTAATTTACCTGTGAAGACTGCTCACTCATCGCCTTTACTGAAGGTAATAATTCTAATGGAAATCTTTCTGGCCACAGTACCCTTGTAACAAGACCTGCTCTCAACGCTTCACTTGCTGTCAACGTTCTTCCTCCAAGTAGTAATTCACTAGCCTGCAGTTTGTTGTTAGTTATCAATAAAATAATAATCTTCATCTTACATAACATATAGTAATTAATTTATCCAAGAAATTGTGTAAAGAATTGTTAAAAATTGTTTTATCGAAAGTAATATGTTTTCTTTAATTTTACTCACAACTGCACTTCCATGAACATGGGAAAGTGTCATTATCGCCGCTCCTTCAGGTATTTGTCCCAGTTTACCATAAGGGGTATAAAATGTTGCTTTATCACTAGCTATTACTAAATCAAACAAGGGTAAAATGGTTACACCTAAACCAACTGCAGCTCCTTGAACCCCAGCTACAAGTGGCTTATTAAATGTTGCCAAGCATTTAATAAATTCCCTACAAGAACATTAAAAACATTTGTTTTTGTTACAATTTTACACAAAAAGAAGTATTTATCTAGATCAGAATATATAAATATATATATATATATATTTGTTCAAATAACAATATATTACTTACTTAACAGCATTTGCCATTTCTTCGGCATAAAGTTTACGTTTCTCCTTATTAGCATGTAACAAAGTGGAAAGATCGAGGCCTTCACAAAAGCTTGTTCCACCATTAGACGTCAAAAGAACAACGCGACATTCCTCATCTGTTTTTAGTATTGATAATGTATCACATAATTCTTGCATCACCTGTAAAAACAAGAAATTATACAATTTTTTTTCTTTATAGATAATAATTTTTGAGAACGGAATGCTAATTAATGAAAATATTTGAAACATTTATGCAAAATTAATAATGATTTTCTTCTTTTTGTATTGAGGTGCTTTTAGTACACAATTATACTTTTTTTAACATTATAAAAATTTCTATCATTCTACAATTAGTTTTGTTACCTTTAACGTAATTCCGTTTGTTATTTTTGCTGACGATGGAGTTAATATCAATTGTACAAGGTTTCCATAGCGACAGACATTTATTTCCTTATTGTCGCTAAAAAGAGATGTCTCACCGTGTGTTGAATTATTGCTGCTGTTGTTGTTACTACTATTATTATATTTATCGGTTTGTTTTTTGACATCATTTGTAAAGGCTTAAATATAGAATTGGATTTATTTGATAGTACGTATTACATATGTTATGTTAAATTACTTATTAAACATTTATACATATATACCTTTATTTTTACAACCTGTTGAACCACCAATACTTGAAGCGTGTCCAATTTCACTGCCCGTACTGCTTATACTACAAGCGATAGTACTGTTACTACTAAGAGCTGTTGCTGCTTCTGCCAAACAAGCAGATAATTTATCTTGATTCTTAGCTGATTCTTCTTCCGTTGCACTCGTGTTGTTTAATGTCAAAGAGTTGGACTTTTCTTTGATATTTCTTTTCTTATTGTTTGGTGAAAATGTTTTTTGATTAGCTGCATTACCGTTTGATCTAGTAGTAACTTTATCAGTTTTATCCAAGTTGTCGACTGTATTACCACTACCGCTAGCACCATTATCTTGATTCAAATTTGAAAAACTTAAACTTTTAATAATTTTTTTGTTATTTCTTTCATCAATTTCGTCCTTATTTTGCTTCTTTATTGGGCTTATTTTTTCAGCTGATTGAGTATAATCAATTTTGGTAGATTTTGTGTTTTTAGCATTTACAAGTGTATTTGTAGAATTTTCTAAGACTTTGGATTGTTTATTGCGTTTTACCTCTAAAATATTATGCTTTGTATCTTTATCAGATGACTGCTTTCTTTTCGACCGCAATCCGTGATTAGTTTCGTCGTTAGATTGTCCTCCCACCTCTAAAGGACTGTCAATACTAACTCTTGGACTACCAGAAACACTTGAAAATGAACTAGAGGAATGTCTTCTCACAATTACAGAAGCATCAGCTGCATTTCTTATTTTTGCGGGGTAAATAAATTCAGTGGGCGTTATCTCAGTAGAATTTTTTCTTTTGTCAGCACATGTTTCTTCTGCATTAGTATCTTTGAGAGGACTTGATCGTCGTTTTGTGCGAAATGCAATTTTATCTAATTTAATGTCTCGCAATCCAAGTACCGTACTTTTTACAAGTTTTTTACGAAGATCTAAATCTCTTTCTGCTTTTTCTATATCCATCACTTTCTTTTGTGATTTTGTAATTGGAATCAAACGCCTTTTTCTTGGCTGTCCCACATCATACAAAAGATTTACAACACCCTCATCTTGTAATAACTTGTCAATTTCTTTAATTCCAGTCCTTCTTTTCCGTTTAGGCTTTTCCGTTTTTTTAAAAGTTAATCTTTCTTTACCAAAACTGGCTGCTGGTGATTTAGAAACATTAACTTTAGCTGGTCTACCAACTGGTCTTTTATTTAACGACATTGCTGCTGGTATCGATATTTTATTTTGCATATTTATCGTTTTTTTTGTCTTAATTGTTGTCGTCATTGTTCTTGGCGTCAACACTCTTTTTGTAATAACACTTGTTGACTTTCTTGGAGTAATTTCTTCTGTAGGTAATGAAAAGTTATTTTTTTCCTTTCGACCTGGTATTAAATTCTTTTCATTTTTTATACTAGTTGGTGTTATTGATGGTGAAGATGTCAATTTGACGTCATCATCATCATCATCATCATTATCATCAACGGAATCTATACATTTTTTATTAGACTCTTTTAATTCTTTTTCGTTATTAGATATTAAAGTATCAGAAATCGAAACTTGTTCAGAATTTGATTTTTTCTTCTTAGTTGAACTGGTGGCACCAAGTATTAAACCTTTTTCTGTTTTCATTTCAGAATCTTGTTTAAGCGGTGATTTTGTTTTGATTGTTTTTTGTCGTTTAGAAGCATACTGTTCAAGTGCTTTTTCAGTTGGTTTACGTTTTCTTCCAGATCTTGTTTCATCAATTCGACGAATTTGTAATGTGCTTGTTGCTGTTGTCATTAATGGTGTATTTTGAGAATCGTTTTCTTTTAATGGTTTTTGAGTAGGCGATGATGATGATGATGATGATGATGATGATGATGATGCCCCTTTTGTTGACAACAACGTCGATAAAGAATTTCTTTTTTGTTTAATAGTTTCCACTTTTTTATTTACCTCTTTAGATTTTTGTTTTTCAGATTCTTTTACTGACAACCTTGATTTTTCAATGTCTTCAACTTTATTTGAATCATTTTTCAAATTTTTTTTCTTTATTCTCTTGTTTCCTGTAGATGGCATTTCAAGAAGTTGTTTTAAAGCAAGTTCTCGTTGGGCAGCGGAATTTAATTTTGATATATTACTATTTTCACCACTGCTGTTGTTATGATCTTTATCGACAGTCATATTATTTTCATCTGAACCAGCAGCTGCTAGAGATTGAGGTTTCGACCAATCTGGATCTACGTCTCCTTCTAAAATAGCAAGTAATTCCCTATTGTCAGGATTGTCATTGTCAACACCTGCACGATCATCACGAGATTGTTGTATTGGAATTAAAGCAGGAACAGGCATTGTGCCACCAGCACATATTTTACTTGCAAATCTTTGAGTTAGTTTTTTAACAAAGACAATGTCTGCAGCTTGTGGACTTTTTAAATCCTTTTGTTTTTCGCGGAGACGTTCTTTTAAAACTTCCGTAACTTCAGCAGGTGTTGCAATTTGACTTTTCAAGTGGCGGCTTGGAACTTTTACTCCTAATCTCGGTGATTGCAATTTTTTCTTGGAACTGCCCTCTTCATCAGAATGTAAAAATAATTCTGATGAGGAGTATGTTCCTCGAACATATGGTTGAACATAACTTGGAACTTGTTGTTTAGAATTTCTTGTTTGTTTTTTGGCTAAAGTCGAGGATGAAGAAGATGAAGGTGTTGAAGATGTTGAAGATACTGAGGTTTCAATACTGATTCGAGTTTCTTCTAAATTTTTAACACACTCATCATTGTTTAAAATAACAGCACTCTCATCTTTATAGTTTTTATTTTCATTTAGTGATGTTTCATTACTTGTTACTGGTTGCTTTTTCATATTATCATTAAGAAGATTATTCAGTTCAATTTCTACGGTATCTTGAATTTTGTTTGAAAATATTTGATTATCTTCATCAGCATTTTCATCTCCCCAATCATCAAAAATATCCTGTATAACATTTCTTGATTTTTCCAACATGTTACTTTTTTTCATTACAGTATTTTCATTTGTCTTTGAATAATTATTATCATTTTCTTCTTCTTCTTCTTCTTCTTCTTCTTCTTCTTCCTCTTCTTCTTCATCTTGATTATCATTTTGCTGAATATTTTCATCGCTATTACTGGTATTTTTATCTTTTTCATAATTATTATCACTGCAACCGCTAACATCTTGAATAAAATAAATCTCTTCTATAACTTCACTTGCAGTTTCTTCTCCTCCTTTTTGAATCATAATTATTTCTCCGTCATTGTTCTCAACCAATTCATCATTACCCAATTCACTTTCACTATTTTCGACATTTTCTTGAATTAAATGTTCTTCATTATCAGTTGTTTGTTTTCTTTCTTGTTCAATAATCTCATTGGGCTCATCATCTTGAATATCAATGTTTGCAGAAGCTGCGGCTATGTTTATAATATTTTTTTGTCGATAGCCAGTAGTAATTAAATGCATTTTATCTTTTTCTTTTTTATGAGCAGCCACTTCATTTGAATAGGCTTCATAGGTGGAACTAGATGAAGTAACATGGTCCAGTGAACGATGTTTTTCAGTTAAAACTTCACTTGTTAATTGGATCTCTGGTGGATTTGTTAAATGTGTATATTCGTCATTCAATTCACATTCAGAATTACTGTGTTGTAGAGATTCTGTTTCTTTATTATTATCAACGTAGCTTTCATAATCAGAAATTGTTTCTTTATGTATAGTTTCATCTTCGTCATCGACATTATATTGATTAGCACTAACCGACATTGTAGCATATTCGTTTACATCATCTTCTTCATCATCATCATTGTGTAAACTTTCCTCCATTTCATAATTATTTACTGAAATATTTTCTTCAATCGGCTTCCTCTTATCCTCTTCATTCTGCGTCTTTTCTTGTTGATCTATATGAGAATCTAAATTTTCTTCACTATTGGTTTCATCAAAATGTAATGGTTCTATATTTTGAACCATTTCTTGATCTGGATGTGTGTTAATTACTTGACTGAGATCTTGGTCGTTTTGTTCTTCCTCCTGCATTACAACATTGATAACTTGAACATCATTCAATTGTACAATTTTATTAGGACTCATTTCAGACTTTGCAATTTTATTTGATAATTCATTTTTTTTATGGTTCTCATTATACTGATAAATATTGTGTTTTGAACTTTCATAGGCTTCTACCATGGAATTTTCATTTTCTTCATCTTGTTGGATACAAGTTTCTAAGTTTGGCAACATAATACCGATACAATCACTTCCAGTACCGTCTCCACAATCGTCAGAAGCACAAGCTGAAAGTGTTATATGACCATTTTCTTCTTGTTCAGATTTTTCTTGTAAAAAATTCATACAATTAGTTGTTTGGTCTGTACTTTCATTGACAGCTTCTTCTGACATACAATCAGATGATGCATCCATAATGTACGTGATATTTTAAACCTGTTTTTAATCTGAAAAGTAATTTTTTATGTTTTTTAAATTATTATTACATCTGGATCTAATTATTAATTAATCGTATTTATTAGAGTGTAAGTTATTTAAATTAGTATAAAGTTGCTGTGATTGTATATAATAATAAAGGCACGAAAATTATAAATATCTTAGGCCCTCTTTATATGTCATTAAAGAAAACCAATGGAAAACTTATCAAATACATATTTTACAAAACTTTCTTTTTTTGTTTTATAAATATTGTTTCAGTGTAATATATCAAAATAAAAGTTATTTTCTTTCTGCTATTACAGAAAATGATGTAAAATTAACTTGTTTTATTTCTCTCGTATGTGGTTTGGAAATAAATATTTAATTTTTATTTCCTTTAATTAATGATTTAATCTGCGTCATTTAAAAAAAAGTTGACTATAGATTTTAAAATTTCAAAAACTTAATTAATATGAAGAAATGATTGTCTGTGTTATATATTTTGTTTAAATATTATAATAAATCTTCATTTTTAATAAATAAAGTTTTTAATGGATATGGTTGAAAGTTTATTAAAATAAGTTACCCAGTTCTATTTAAAAATAATCTCTACAGTTTTTTACCAGCCTCTTTTTATATTCTTTAAATTTTTGTATAAATATCTGAATAGCAAAAACTGCTACAAAGTTTAATGAAGTTTAAGTTGTCTTTATTCAATATAAATTCTATATTTTCTTTTAACAAACTTTTTCCGTTTAAAAGTAAACATACGAGTATGACAAAGCATTGTTCAACATTACTGTAAAAATTGATTCGTTAGAATATATATATATGTAACAAATACTACTCTTATCACATACTTTTGTATATAATTTTTATTATAAGCTTATTTTTTGGATTGTTCAATCAATAAAGTTTTTGAAATGCCAAGAGTATAGCTCACATTTTAAAAAATAATTAATACGGATTAAATATGGTAATTAAAGTAATTACAGCTGTAATATTGATATTTTAAAAGTGTAAAACTGTTGTACTTTTTAAGTATCCGCATTACGTATTTTTGTACAAATACAAATTGTAGGTATATGATTACACAAAGATTTTTGTACAGTGTATAACTATATTATCTCACATTATCTTGGAGGTTATGTTATTAATTTGTTTTATGAAGCTATTTTTGAAAAGATGTATTAAAAGTTTTAATATATCGTTTTATTGCAATATTTTAAATTTTATATATACATATTTTACAAGAATTTAGGAATAGATTGTAAATTATAACAGTTAAAAACCATTTCGTGGAAATTACGTGTATCGTTTTGTTTAATATATAGAATTGTGTATGTAATTGCTTTTTCAATTTTTAGAAATGTCAGATAAGCAATTTTGTTAAAATTTTAAACTTGTAGATTAGTCTTAATGAAAAGAAATGTAAAACTACTTACGACAGCGCCAAACAAAAGTCATAATTAACAGAAGACAATAAACGTAGTACTTAATTATGGTAACCAAATCAGTATTCAATCAAGGAACTTTAGTAAGTTTCAAATACCTTTGTGTAATAAGACTCCTGCAAAAAGAAAAGATAGAAAACCTAAGGGGAAAAAATTTAAATTATTGTGTTGTAATGTTAAACTTATCTAAATCAAATAACAATACCATTTTGTAGTATTAAATAGCGTATTAAAATTAATCATCATAAATGTGTAGACATAACATACCTTCAACTGCTATTTTATCTCTTACAAAAGTTTAATTATATGTTTCCTTAAAAAAATTTGTAGGATAATAAAAAATCGTCAGCCATGTCCAATTTTTATTCGGATGGTTGATTCTCTGGTAGTTGTGGATGAATAAAGGGTAATTCAGAATGCAATTTTTTAAAGGTCTTTCTACAATAGGTTGAATATATATGTATCCCCTTCTATCTTATGCTTTATCGGACAAATTGATTTTTGTCCTATTGTGAGCCACCAATCAAATTTGTGCATGCAGTTTCTACATCTTTCTTGTGTGTCTCGTTTTTGAGTAGCCTTACTCCAATCTCTTAAATTTTATGTTCATGGTTTCCGTAAGAATAGTATAATGAAAAATAATGGCGATCTTGTTCTAAAGAATTGTCATGTGCTTTCATTTAAAACATAGCCTTTTCGGCTGAATGTCAGATAATATATAATAATTATATTCGTAGTAAATAATTGTATTATTATAAATGTGACTTGTTGTCTCTTTTACCTAGAATTAAATTAAAATTGTCAAACTGGTTTATTTGGTCAAGTTCATCTTAACAATCTTATGATCAAAGGGGTGAAAATATACCGGAGCCTCATGTTTCTTTATTCATCTACTTTTTAACAACTTTTTCTAAAAATTGACGTTACAATGGATATGAAAAATAAGGTATAAAATATTGAGTTATTTCTAAATTTTTTTTGCTTTAGATTAAATTCGTTGTTATATCAAAATGGAAATTGTCCACTTATATATACATATATTAATTTGAGGTTAAACCTTGAATTTCTCTAAATTAGATCGATACCGGTACTTTTAATTATTACATAATTTTTCTTCGAAAAATAGTTTCTCACTTTTATTTTATTATTTTTTTAAAGAAATCGTTGATATTCTCAGCTGTTACATAATGTAAATTGTTCTGGATGAAATTTTTTTTGAAAATTTATTAAATAATTTTTATAATTATAAAATCGTAAATTAACTTTCATACTTGTTAAGCAATTAATTTATTCTAAAATGAAATGTACTATTATTGACTTATTTAAATGTGCTTTGTTGTCTCATTATGGTTTTTTGTCATACATCTAATGTAATGTACTAACTTTCATTATCGTAATACATTTTTTTTTTATATTTCAGATTGAGTACGAATTTTTAGATTTCTATGGATTAGATTTAGATGACAATGAAAGACAAAAATTGCGAACTTATCTGCAATCTAATCCATCATCAGATATTTTAAAACTACCGTGGGATGTAGGAGACAATGATTGCAATGATAATATTGTGTCTGATCAGGAAGCGGAATTACATAAGCCTTGGGTAGCATACAGTGCGTGCTCTTTTTATAATATATATATACAATTAAAATTTACAATTATTTATTAATTTATTATTACTACTATTGACCTATAGGTGGTGAGGAGGACATGATTAAATACATCTCATCGGATACATCTCCTCTTATTATGCAAACTACAATGCCTCAACCTCCGTTGTATCCAACAATGGTACTAACTTATCATCCTAGCGAATGGCCAAATGGTGTTTATGTTCCGAATGATATGAGCATGCAATATACTGCTGGCATACCGCCAGCATCTTATCCACCTTACATGAATCCTGCTGGCAATGAGAATCATGACGTGGGACGAGAAAACAGCAGGAGAAGTATTAGAGGACGTGGTTTAAAAAGAGGGGAAGGTTATAATCGCAACAATCAAAATAACGATATTCCATTTTATTCTGTTCCTTGCATCAGCGAACAATATACTTCCATGTTTTGCTCTCCTAATTTTCCGGAACTTATGTCTCAACAGCATCCGGCAGCCGGACAACCTGTTTTTTCGTGTATGAATCCGCAACAAGTGTACCCTCAACAACCAACGATGCACTTGCAATCGCACACAAATTTCCCCCAATATCATCATTCTTCCCAAATGAAATATAATCGTCAATCACAGTCATCGATACAGTCAAATGGTGGAGAACCTGTAAAAAATTCTTTAAAATCTTTTGATAAACGGAATAATCCCAAATCCTCACGACAATTAAACGACGATAAAAATTCAAAACAAACCATAAGAGCTACTGTTATTGTAAATAACAGCAACATGGAACCATTTGTCGATACTGCGGATAGTAATGCAGCTTTGAAGAATAATAAAAGTATTAACAATAATAAAGTTGCTCCTTTTAACGTAAAAATTGATTACAATTTTGTTTCAACTAGAAACGAAACTTATGGTGGAGCTGAGAAAAATGATGGACCCTGTGTTAACATCAAAAGTAGCATTGAAATCGAACAAAACGGCGAAAATGATTTGGATAATAAAAACGAGACAGTATCTTCTCATATACAAACAACTCTTTTAAAAACTCAGTCGACAGCACCTGTGAAAGATGATAATTCAGTTGAAAGTGGTGAGGTATTACCTTCCATGAAATCGCAACAAGCCTGTAATCCAGTGCAAGTAGATGACTTACCAAAAATTAGTACTTGGGCTAGTATATTAAAGAAAAACAATAATGATACACCATTGACTGTTACTGCAAAACCTACAGCTTTTATTAATCCGATAACTGCTACAGATTCTTCAGATATATCATCAAATGAGGTACTTCATCCGCCTGAATTACCACATGTAGAGCAAAAATTGGTTCAAAATAATGTGCCTGTGACACAGGAAAAAACCACAAATGAAACACAGCCACAGCATAAAGTTTCAAATATAACTGCTCGAGATCATGACTTTGATGATCCACTTACATATAGAATGGGTGGTAAGTTTTAAACAACCCATTTTTTTTGCACGTGAATTTATTATTATTTGAATGTATTATTTAATTAAAATATGTCATTGAATATTTTCTTATTCATAGCATTGAAATAGTATACTTGAATGCTTTGTAATAATACATTTTTGCAATTCATCTTAAAGATTTCATTCTTTATTTATTTATTTTTTTTTTTTTTTATTACTTTTATAGAATTTTTCTTAACCTTTCAAATGGATAAACAGACTGTGAGTTTACTCCCTCGAGGATTAACTAATCGGAGTAATTATTGTTATATTAATAGTATTTTACAAGCTCTTCTCGCCTGCCCTCCATTTTATAACTTACTAAGGGCTTTGCCATTTTCTGAAACTTCAAGAAAAAATTCACGCACTCCTCTTATTGATAACATGTAAGTTTCAATTTTATACGATTAGATACTTTCTATTACGATTATTTATACTTTGTATTTTTTTTAATTTTGCCATTAGGACAAAATTTGTACACGAATTTACACCTTTGTCGGAGGCAGCTCGAATGCCCAGAAAAGATCGTGTTAATAGACGAGGTAACGAAGACGCATTAACTGATGTGCATTGTGGCATACCCTTTGAACCTTCATATGTGTACACAGTGTTAAAAAATACTTCATCGGCTGGAGTATTTTCCATTGAAGGTAGACAAGAAGATGCTGAAGAATTTTTATCTTGTTTGCTCAATGGAATAAGTGATGAAATGTTAGAAGTATGATTTTTCACATTTTTTTATAATACAAATAATTAATCTTTGCTTATGATTTTAATACTTGAAGAATATTTTAGGTAATGAAATTGGTGAATAGCGATAAAAGTTCAAACAATAATCCAAACATGAACTTAAATTCTGAAGAAGAAGAATGGCAGGTGCGTAAATTTTTATTCAACTTTAAAAAAATAAAATTTGTTATTATGCCAACGTTGTGTGAATGCATTTAATTAAATGTAATTTGCAGATTATGGGTCCAAAAAATAAAGGTTCCATCACTCGATGCACAGATTTTGGACGTACACCATTATCGGATATATTTCGAGGCCAATTGAGATCTAGAGTTCATCGTGCTGGTGAACAACCAACCGATTATGTTCAGCCATTTTTTACTTTGCAACTTGACATAGAAGTGAGTGATGATAGTTCTCATGCCTAATATATTTTATCTTTTAATAAATTAAATTGTTTAAAAAGAAATCAAAATCCTTATAGTTTTACCCCATTTTTTCAATTTGTAATTAATTAAGTAGATTTCATCATTAAACTAAACTATTTTTATTTTAGAAAGCGGAATCAGTAAAAAGTGCACTTGAAATTTTGGTTGGTAAAGATCAGGTAGAAGGAATGACATGCAGTAAAACTAAACAACAAATTGAAGCTTGGAAGCAAGTTACTTTAGAAGAGCTGCCAGTAATTCTTATTCTTCATTTGAAATGGTTCGATTACAAACTTGATGGTTGTTCAAAGATACTTAAAAATGTTGAATTTCCAGTTGATTTGAAAATAGATCCAAGTAAGTGGGCATATAATAAATTTGCAGTTTTATGTTTATAATTTTAATGGTATATTATATATTACTTTTAGAATTCTTATCTCCAAATGCATCAAAGAAATTTTTAGCAAAACAAAAGCAGTACAAATTATTTGCCGTGACTTATCATGATGGAAAAGAGGCAACGAAAGGACATTATGTAACGGATGCTTTTCATGTCGGCTATGGAGGTTGGGTACGATATGATGATAGTTCGTTAAAAGGTATATCTGAAAATAATGTTCTAAATCCTCAGCTTCCCAGAGTGCCCTATCTACTTTATTATAGAAGATGTGATACTATTGGGAATAATCAGTCAAATGTTGTTAGATCACGATAAGTTGACATATACAAGGCATGTATATGTAGTTGAATCTGTCTATTGTTAAAATTTTCATTTGACATTTTCTAAATTTGAACCAATTTTTTTGTATTTAAAAATTAAAGAAAAGAATGTTATTTTGTATGTCATATTTTTCATTTTAAGAAAATATATATACCTTATCATAATATGACTGTTTTATGTTTAAAAGTCAGAAAAATTTGACCTGATAAGTCGCGAAAGTTATTGTGTGAATAGAGATGACATTCAAGATTTTTTTTGCTCTAATTATATTTAGAATAATTTCTGACCTGGATATAAATAATAATTATTTCGAACTTGTTATTATCATCATTATTTGTAGTTAACATGCTTCGAACCGATACGAAAAAAATTGAGCATAAATGTAACAAACAATTGCTTTCAAAGATTAAGTAATATACCATATTGTTAAATTTTTCTATTATTATACAAAACTAAAGTAGTTTATACACTGCAGATGAGAGAGTGAGAGGAAGAAAAAGAGTGTGCTTGCGTGCGTGAGCTAATGTGTGATTTGTAGCAATGAAAAAGATAGATAAAAAATATTTGCTATTAAATATATTTGGAAATAATTATAGTTATAAAAATAAATATCCTTTACAATTTTAAAGAAGCTAATTTATCTATAATTATAATACTTATTTCAGTATCTCTGATTTTCAGTTTTTTTAATGTCATTTTAATAATGATAATATGTATTTGTAGAATTTATTTTGTATCCTGTGTTTTAAGAATTAAATTATATTGATCGCATATTACAGCTATATACCGTTCTTTTTCACATTGATTCGAGTATCGAGTCTGATAAAATTTCTCTCTGACTAAAAAACGTACACTCTATCTTTACTCCATCCTCGAAGCAATCAATCTACGACCAGCTCGATTAAAATATTTAATTCTTTTGGTTGATAATTATCATGAAATATGTCGATACAAAAAATTCCAAGTTATGACTACTACTTATGTGCAGATATAGATTTATAAAGAATTTACAATTTTATAAATAATTAATATAATTATATTTCTCCAATGTCATTTAAATTGAAATTAAATAATAATCGACTAAAACATAGATAAATTATCTTGAAATGTTTATTACGAAGAGATTTATGAATAATACATTTTACACTTGAAAAAATGAAATTGAATAAGTAGTGTATTCATGTAACACAACAACTTAGAAATTACATTAATTTGAAATTATCACAATAATTGTTAACTTACATTCAACGTAAGAAACATTTTCAAGGTATATTAGGTCAACATTGTTAATTACTAATTACTTTTATGTTATTACATTCATCGTTGAAGAGATATTACACTATTTCAAGATTGAAATTTATATTTCACATCAATTTAAAAAATTTATTGTAATTTATCTGTAAATTAAAATAAAGCTAACTTACATCTAATTGGACAATTAATAATTACAATTAAAACGTTTTACAATTATATGCATATATTTCGATTTTAAATCTTATATTGAAATTTTAAGTATTATTTTAACATATTAAATACTGAATCAGTTGATATATATATATATGTATACAGTTCCTTACATGCTCTAAATGAAGATAAGGAAAGACTTAAAATTCGCAAATAATAATGCTTGAAATTTTCTCTTTAAAAAAGGGATCAAGAAACTTTGAATAGTTTAAATAATTATTGTTGCCGGTACTGTGTAGTTAATATTTTGCTTATTTTATATTTCTGAATATTATTATGTACATAAAATATTTTAATTTGAGGATTTAAAAGCTTTTTATGTATATATAATAAGAAGAAAAATACTATAATCCTTTTGCTTAATCTAATATTTATATTTGCGCCTATATGTAAGTATATAAATTTATATATAATATATTTACAATATATTGTATATTTACATTAAAATTTTTAATAAATAAATAAATAAAAATAATACAAATAATATAGGTAATACATAAAAATTGATGAAAAAATAATGTATATAGGATTCTTAGTTATTGAATAATGAAGGAAATGTTTCTATTCTATACAAAACAATTTTTAAGTAATCTTAATTGTAAAATGGCATTAATTTGCATTTTACGAAATTTCATTTCTAAAATAAGCAGATTATAATCTAACAGACCACTTTTTACATTATTTAAATTAGGTGTAATGTAGCATGTTTAAGTTTTTTAATATTAATGCTATAATAATTGAAAGTATAATAAAAAAGAAAGCTAAAAATGTGGTAAACATACTTTTCCTGCAAATAATTCTGAAATGACTGTAATCCATAAAGCTAAAACAAATAAAATATATGAAATTCCAACCTGATGAGAGTTTGGTAATTGATACGGTTGGCCGCCAATTTGATCTATATGGAAACCCATGGGAAATATTACAGCAGCAAAACAAAATAAAACCACTGAAAAAAATGAAAATATTTAAAAATAATTTTAAATATTTAATTATATTGAATATATGACAGATATAAACTTCTCGAAAATACAGCAGATATATCATCCGCTGTACTATAATTACTTACTTGCAGTAAATCCAACCCAGCGTGCATATGGGATGACATTTCTGTCCCAATGTGAGCTTGCTAAAAGTATCACAGTTGTTGTTATTAAAATACAACCGACGAATATACATACTAAAGCCATTAACCACTCTGGTTGTAAATCTGGTGTATAACACACTTGTGGTCTATTATAAAGAGTCATACAGGACCACATCAATCCTAATCTTGTATCGCCTGAAAAATAAAAATATTAAACTTTACACAATGTATTATTGACATAGGTATATGAAATGAAAATATCTTTAAAATAATTATTTTCATTGTAAAGTGTCTTTCCAAAAGACACAAACAAGATATTTCTTAAACTTTATGGAAAATAATAAAAACATGGTATTTGTGCCTACCTCCAACATCCGTTATAATCCAATCAGGCATAGCAAGACTCACTATTGCAAACATATCAGCTGCCAGAAATAATGTTCCAGAAATTAAAGTTAATTTATCCATTGTTATATAATTATTAAAATAAATCTTTAAATTCACATCTTTTCTTTTGCGATGAATTTAACAGCTTTGCTCTTACTCGTCTTGATTAAATTTTATGATTAACACTATACTATAATATATTTATGAATCTGTTGCCTGTAAGTTAGTGAGTTGGGGCTTTCGGCTTTGTAAGATCTTGGGAAAGCACTTTCCTGTATGCATATTTTCCACGTATATGCATGTATAGTACATAGATTACGTATTATACGTATATGTGAAAACCTAGTTTTCTACCTTGCCAGATTTTTTCATTGTAACATAACCTCTTTTTGAAAATGTGTGTAAATGTACATTGTTTTTACCGTTTTTACATACTGTCAATTTCACATCCTATTTTTGAATGTTTTTAATATGGGCAGATAGTTAATTAAGTTTTTACATCTGTATTTTAATAATTTCAATAATTTATTCAATAATTCTTTTTGATTGCTTATCAGTTTAGTGCAATTGTTTTACTCTTTCATAAAACTGCACATGGGACTGTTTATATGTTATATACAGAAAGTTTAATTTTAGGAAATATGTCAGATGCTAGGACTGACATATCTATTTTTTTGGTTGACTTGAAGCTGCTGGAACAATGTCACTTATCCAGTCTAAATACTGCTGATTTCCATTTTGAATCTAAAAAAAAGATCTTAATATATCATCAAATTACTTAAGAAATTGTAATTACTTTATCGATATTACTCACAGGTAATGATATTACTTCACATACTTCGTACGGATGATTTTTTCTAAAAAGAATAAGACTAGAATGGTTTATACTGTAAATAATTTTCAAACATTTAGTAAATATATTTGTATTGCACTTACTTAACGTACTCAGTAAGAGCATTAACAGTTTCTGTTCTTGTTTTTATCATCTGTAAAGAAAGGAAATATTAGCACTTATTTTCAAGAGCAACAAGTAGATTACACTTGTAAAATGAATATGAGACAAATAACTTAAAATAGTTAAAAAATCTAAAGTTACTTTAAAGGTAGGGTTTCTCATTTATTTTCTGTATAGAAAGGCATATAGACACCATATAGAATAGTGAAGACAACTAATTATGACTCGTTACCTCTTGATGCATTTTATTTAAAATAAATTATATTACTTGCCAGCAATAATTCCTTATCTTCTTTAATTTCATTTTTCCACTCATAACTGAAATTAAAAATTAACGAAAATTATTAAGTGTAGACAATAATAAATGTTTTCAAACATGAATTGTCGGTTTCTCCTGTTCATTAAAATTTTTATAAATATACATACACTGATGTCAGTTGGGGTATTATATTTACACAGGCTGCCAATTTACTTTTTACTATTCCACTGAAAAACAATCATACTATAGCATTTTTAAATCAATATAATTATAATATTAAAAACATATCTCTATTTCTTACTGAGCCAATTTTTGAGCAACTTCTACTGTCGGCACAGTGACATAAGCCACTGAAAGTATTCCAGTCATATTATTTTTATAACTTATCTCATCTATTAATTGGCAATTTGAATCTCTTGTATATAATGTACAAATAAATACTGCAACACTTAAATGACTTATCATTTGATAAAATTTTTTGTTTTTTTAAATAAGCTAAATCTATGTTTGTTTATTTGTTTTGTTTAATGACCTCTTATAGATAAATGATTTATTTTTATTATTATTATTAGTTCAACCCTTGAGTATACTGAGAGCTGCATATTAAGAGTGTTTTAGATTTTAAAAAATATAAAGTAGTGATGGGTAGTGACGCTTTACTTCAAGTGTTCCGAGTTGCAAAGCAATCTCCCAAATGTGACACCTTTGAAAGTGAATACAGAATGGACACAAAAGGCAAGTCAAAATGCAAGTCCCATGAGTGCACGAGAGATAGATAGACTACTTATCTCTTTCACACTCATGAGATTGGCACATGGGCTTGCACTTGTATATACTTGGCTTTCACACACAGTTTAAGGTGTCGTCTTATTGGGAACCGCAGAGCTGCGATACGCCATCTGGTGTCGACCCACTTGCGGTAGCCATTTTTTATTTTGTCTCTGTCGAACATATGTATAAAAAACAGCAAGATGGTTGCCACAAATGGGTTCAGGGTTGAGTAGTTACACAAGATTTCGGATCCCAATAACAACGTGAAACGTCGACGTAAAAGCGGAAAGCATGAGTACGAATGACATGATCATATCTCACTATATCTTTCGTTCTCATGATTTCCGCTTTTTCGTCGACGTTTCACACTGTCATGCGACGGCGCCTTCACGCTTTTCGCCTATTGTACATGGGACGGGCCCTTTACCATTAAGGCCTTTCTGCAATAGGTTCCTAAATGTTTGCCTAGCGTGACTGACACGTTGGTTTGCAAGCGCATAAAATTATTAAAAGCCATCGAGAAACATTTGCATTAAATATTGTAAAGTTGGAAAAAAGGGATGAAAGGAACATAAACTAAACTTTTTGTTCGCGATTGATATCAATGTTTTAATGACGTCACTGCGCTTGCAAACCAACGTGTCAGTCACGCAACGCGTACATTTAGGAACCTATTGGAAAAAGACCTTTAACGGTTGGTTTACATTCCCCACTCGCCATTTGTCATAATTCTCATCAACGCCTAGTGAGTGACTTTATTGTTAAAAATAAAAGTTACAATAAAGTTACTAAATTTTCACTAGAGCAGGGTGCGGTAGTTGAAGAGATTTATGACGACAAAATGGCGAGTGGGGACAATGGAAACCAACCTTAACTTTCCATTAATACTGCAACTTCCTTTTTGTTATGTTTGTGTGCGGAACTTTAAAGCGTTTATGTGACAGTAGAACGTGGGTGGGTCGTTTCTGATTCAGTGTTTTTCAATTATCTTATTACTATCTTTGTTTAATATCTCTGACAATTTCTTCTGTACAGTCTGTGCGATTTATTTGTTTGTGAAATTGTTTTCTATCAGTAAAACTTTTGTTATAAAATCCGTAAAAAAGTGTAAGGTATCCTTGTAGATTGTTCTTTAAAACATTCTAGTTTACAAAAAATTGTAATTTTTTAAAATTAAAATATTATCCGCAATTAAATAATATGGAAATATTAGTCAAATTTTTAAAAAAAGATTTGAAAATTTTTAATTTACTTTAATTAACAATAAATTATATATATGGCCTCGTTATCCTTACCAAAAGTATTGACTCAGAGGAAAACAAACTTAGACTTGGAACGTGAACAATTCCAAAAATTTCAGGTATTTGTTGTAAAAAATGTATAAATTATTTGCATGTTTTTTATGCCTTTTTATTATATTATCAATAAAATATATTTTGACATTGGTTTGTGCAAACTTATAATATATACTTCATTGAATGTCATTTTTAGATGTAATTTTTATTTGTTAATTTAAACAAAAATTTAAATCAAATTTAACAAGTAAATATTATACATGGACTTGAAGAAAGAAAATTACTATTTTCATCCAATAACAATATGTATATTAAAATTAAATTCAAAATTAAAAAAGATCTTATTTATTGATAGAAATCATTCTTTTTTCTCTATTATTACATGACATCTACAATTGTCACAATTTTGATTATTAACGTAATCATGTACAAGGAAAACAAGTTGAATCCCTTTAAACTTTATTCCAGCTGTTTTGAAAAATACTTATCCTGAATATCTGTTTTATGAAATTAGCTCCACATATAGTATATGTTGTCAACATAACTTTTGTGAAGTACCTTCGTAAAGTGCATTTATATGGATGAGAAAAGAATTGATGGAAAATGACACATTTTTCAAGCTGATTATTGTAACACTGTATTATTATTTTTATTGTAATAATTTTACATCACTAACATGCCGCCTATACTTCCATTAAATGACAAACAGATTCATCAATTGGTAAGTTTTGGCCAAAATTTTACAAAAATTGCATAATTATTTTTTTAAATATAATTTTTTATTTTTGGGATTTTTAAGATCTTTTTAAATTTCAAATACTTCAGTTTTTTTTTATATTATTATTATTATTTAATGTGTAATATTTTTGAAATATTTAAAAATTATATTTATTTTTTAAAAATAATTTTAATTTTCAAATACATATATTTTAGTTTCAACAATTTCGTAAAAGAAAGAAAGTTATAAATATTTAATTATTAGTGCAATATTGAACTATTATGTAGAATAAACAAATAAATTTTGTGTTGGTGTGAGTTGTGTAAAAAAAGTGATCACACAAATTCTTTGTCGTCTGACTTTTATAATTTTACTGATAACGTGATAATATCGATGATTTTAAAAATCGTAAAACGAAAGTGGAAATAAAGTAAATTAATTGTTTGCTTTTCATATTCTTGAGATAATATGACCGAATCAATTTTTTATTATTTTCAAATATATTAGTTATTCAATTCTTTTTTTTCCAAGATTATATGATTTAAATTTTGAATTATTATGTATGTATTTTTAGTCAATAAATAAATTATTGTATTAAAATTTCCACATAAATATGCATAGAATTTTTTTTATTAAATATTGTTATTTTTTCTATTTTAGAGTGTTAGCATTGCGAAAGCAGTACATCCGACTGAAACTCCTGTTAAAGTTAAACATGTCCGCAGTATCCTTTCTTATATACTATTAATAAATATTCCGTTAAAATAAATTATATAGATTTTAAAAGAACAAATTAGTTTTATTAATATTAAGATTAATGCACAGTGTTTTTATACTCTCAAAAATAATTAAATGTGTGTTAAAAAATGATTTGTCCTTAACTAAATATTTAAGGTGCGATTATTGGCACGTATCAAGAAAAAAGTGGGGCACTATTTTGGATGTTTATATTACGACAGCCACTTCAAGAAAATCGTATTGTCGCTTGGAAATTTTGTCACGTATTGCACAAAGTTTTACGTGAAGGCCATCAACAAGTTATTCCCGATTCTCAGCCTCACCGTGGCAGATTAGAGGATTTAGGAAAATTATGGCAACATTTAAAAGACGGATATGGTCGTTTGATACTTTTATATATTCGATTGCTTATTACAAAATTAGATTTTCACAGACGCAATCCTAGATTACCTGGGAATCTGCAAGTATCTGCAGAAGAATTGGAAGCTATTGGCGAAAACGATATAAATGTTTAGTAAGTTCATATTTGTAATGAAATTATAAAATTAATTTTTTTTTGTTTTATTGCAATGTTATATTTTATTTATAAAAGTCTAATTATTTTAACTCAACAGCTTTCAAATGTCGGTGGAAATGTTTGATTACATGGATGATATACTGAATTTCCAGCAAGCAGGTAAGATTTAAAATTTAACATCAATTAGTTATTGTAGTATAGAAATTGAAATAATTCTTATTCTCTAACTTTCAGTTTTTGGTTCTCTGGATTTATCGCGATCAAATTCAATGACTCCTTGTGGACAATGTCGCCTTGCGCCTCTAATTCCTTGTGTTCAAGATGCTTCTCAATTGTATGATTATTGTGTAAAAATTTTATTTAAACTCCATAATGCATTACCGGCTGATACTTTGGAGGGCCATCGTGATCGATTCTCGAAACAATTTCATGAATTAAAAAATTTTTATAATACCATCAAGCACATGCAATATTTTAAACATTTAATTTCAATACCATCTTTGCCGGAGGTAATGAATAATTTTTTATAATAAAGACATAATTTTTAGTATGTACTTATTTTAAAAAAAAATATTTTTTCTGTAACTATTTAATTACTGATTTTTTTTTTTTTTTTTTTGTTTAATTTAGAATCCGCCGAATTTTTTGATACAAGCCGAATTTCGCACGTATATCACGCCTGTAGTTGTATTACCACCTGAGGAACATTTAGATGCTGAAACGGCTGTTGACAGTTTAATCGACACGTCAGATACAAGTTCCTTGCCAGGGGATCAAATTGATTCTACTATAAATGGCTCGATTTCTCCGGATGCATTAGCAGAAAGGTTTTTCTTTATATATTTTAATTAGTTTATTCATAATATAATTATTATATATGTAGGTATATATAATATTTAAAGTAATGGATTTTTATCTATATGATTATTATCATTTATACTTTCATAACTTTTTATTTTTCAATGCAGAGACAGTCTCATTGATCATCTTCATCAAGAAAATGGAAGACAAAGGCAAGAGTTGCAACGACTGCTCAATGAACATCAACATATTGTTTGTGAACTTAAAAATCGGATTTTAGAACTTGAATCAGGACTTTCTACTAAAGTAAGTATTATTTATTTTTAAAACAAGATTAATGTAAACTTTTATGCTCTTTATTTAATCAATTTAAATAAAATATTAATACTAGAATAGAAATTTATAATTTAATAATTAAGATTTCGAGCTCTTTGATTTTTTAATTTATTTTATTGCAGGGTAATGAAATCATTCAGGAAAAGCAATTAACTCAAGATTTACTGAAACAAAAGTCAGAAATAATGACGAAATTCCAAGAATGTGAAGGTTTGTTTCTTTGTTAACGTTTATTTTTCTTAAATTTTAATTCAACTTGACATTGTATTAATTAAGTAATATATCTAAATATTATTATTATTATTATTATTATTATTATTATTATTATTATTATTATTTCAGAAAAGAGTAAAAGTATAAATGAGAAATTTCAAAAACTGAAAGAAGTATATTCAAAATTACGAGAAGAACACATATGTCTTATACGAAAGGTACATTTTTTGGAAAAAATAAATTCGTTAATTTAAAAATGATGTCACAATCGTAAATTTATTTTTTTTCTTTTCAAAGAAAGCAGAAGTAGATAAACAATTAGGCAGTATGAAAATAATGCAAGAACAATCGGACAGACGTACAATTGAGGCAGAGCAAAGATTGCAAGAATTAATTCAGGGTCAAGCAACTGCCGATCAGGAAGCACAAAGAGTTGCCCAAGCACGCGCCGATTTAGATGAAGTGAGAAAAAAATTCGATGATGTTCAAACTGAAAATTTGGTATGTTTCTTGTTTAATTGTATTTTATTAAAAAATATTAAAATTTTCTTTTGTTATTTATCAAATAAAAATCTTTCTCAAAGTTATAATATTTTAAATTTTTTAATTTTACAATAAGTTTATAATTTTATGTTTAGGCTCTGAATGCAAAAATTGGCTTTATAACATCCGAAAAAGCAGCATTGGAAGGCGATCTCCATGATTTACTTGCACAAAAGGAAGAGCTGGACGTTAGAATAAATAATCTGCAGGCAGAATCTGAACGTTCTAATGCACAACTCAAAGCTGACGAGGAAAATACTTTCTACGAGTTACTTTGTGAGTTGACCTTTTCAAATTATTCAGATAAGGAGGCAAAGAGAAAAAAGATTTATTAAAGTTATTTAATAGATCATTAATTCTACTTTATATAATACAAATAACAAAATTTAATATAATTAAAAAATATGTAAATGTATAATAAATATTTGTAAAATTTCTATTTCAGTGAAATGTTTGTCTGAAGCGGAGACAATGTTACAAAATGCAATGCACGCCATTGATAATCCTGCAATTTCTGCTGTAACATGCACTCCAGATTATCTTGCAATTCTGCTAGATCCAACGAAATTGTCACTGGAAAATTTACAAACAGCTTACAGTAATTATATTGAGAATGTGAAGACAAGAGGAGAATTGATTAGAAATTCCATTCATGCAGCTTGGGCATTATCTGTTTATTTGATTCAAGCTAAAGCTACATCTAACACATCTACTGATATAACTTTTGGTGACAGTGAGTGTATTCTAAAATTCTCTCAAAACTATATTTTAATTTGTTATCGAACATAATAATAGAAATAAATAATTGATAATAATTAAAATTAAATTTTAAATTTTAGGAATTACTGATGAATGTAAGCAATTAGGATCCCAGAGTCTAATGATGTTTAGTTACATTAAAGAAATTAAGGACAAGGAGAAAGCTTTGACTACAATTGAACAAATAAGTAAAGTAACGGTGCAGTTGAAAAAAATTTCTTCTTTAACAGCTTCGTTGTCAGAACAATCGAAGAGTAATGCAAGTGTTATTGGAGATTTAGTGGAAAAAGAACTTTTGACTATGGATAAAGCTATTGAAGAAGCCGCTGCTAGAATTCAAGTGATTTAAAGCTTTACTTTAAAAAAAAATTATATTTTTTGTATTCGATATCTCTTTTATTAATAAAAATGTCTTTTCTCTTTAGGATATGCTAGATAAATCACGTGCAGCAGATTCCGGAGTAAAATTGGAAGTAAATGGAAAAATCCTCGATTCTTGCACGGATTTGATGAAGGCTATAAGAAACTTAGTAAAAAAGTCACGTTTCTTACAAACAGAGATCGTCGTACAAGGAAAGGTTTGCATTAAATTTACGTATAACTTTTATTTTATTTTTAAAAAAAATTATAATAACATTGTGTTATTTTTATTTTTCTCAATTAAATAGAGCACTTCATCGACTACTGAATTTTACAAAAGAAATCATCAGTGGTCTGAAGGTTTGATATCTGCAGCCAAAGCCATAGCAATGGGAGCCAATTTCTTATTGTACGTGTTCATAACAAACTTTTTTTAAAAAGAAAAAAAAATTTAGTCTCTTTTTTTATTCTGTTATTTATTTATTAAATTGAGTTTTTCCCTTTTTTCTCAAACAGAGAAGCTGCGGATAAAGTTGTTTCTGGAAATGGAAAATTTGAACAATTAGTAGTTGCATCTCAGGGTATTGCTGCCTCAACTGCTCAGTTAGTCGTTGCCAGTAGAGTTAAGGCTGATAGAAATAGTAATAATTTGGCTGCACTATCAGAAGCTTCGCGTGGAGTCACTCAAGCTACTGGAAGTGTTGTTGCGACAGCAAAAAGTTGCAGTCAACTTATTGAAGAAAATGGTATCTATTATTTCCTCTCTTCTTATACTTTAGAAATTTTATTTTAAAAAAAGAAATAAATTTTTTAAAGCAATTTTAAAAATGTTATAATCTGTATTATTTTTTAATTTTTTACATTTTATTATTGTAAAATTTGATATATATTTGCTCAAAAATGGTTTTATGTTATTTTTAAATTATTCTTTTCAGATGATTTAGATATTTCTGGATTAAGTTTACATCAAGCGAATAGATTAGAAATGGAAGCACAAGTTCGCGTTTTAGAGCTTGAAAAAGCTTTAGAAAGTGAAAGATTAAAATTGTCTGCCTTGCGTCGCTATCATTATCAATTAGTTGGTGACAATTAGAAATTTTACATAAATTTAATGTTCAAAAAAAGCATTTAAAAAAGGTAAAATTATTTGAAAAAATATTCTGAAAATAATTAAAATTATTTTTCATTTTCAGGTGCGCATTTCAATAATTTGAAAGCCTTTTTATTTTAATATGTATTTTTTTTATAATCTGTAATCATTTCGAATTAGTATACATTTTCAATAATGTATTTTTAGTTCTTCTATTTGAAAACTTGATTAACTAAAATACTAATTTAGAATTATTATATGTACTCCTTTACTTGGATATCATATACTTTAATCCTTATAAGTTATTTACCTATTAATTTACACACCAAATTTTTGGTACGAGTGAAATTTGGCAGATTAAATGTAATGATTAATTAATGTTTGGATTTAATTCGTACTTTTTATTTTAAAAATCTAAATGGAATTTTCTACCAAATTTCATTCTGAATTAAAAGATTAATGATTCATTTTTGAAACATGAAAATTTTATCAATTATTTCCTGTTGAACAAATTACAGGAATGTTAATGTTAAACTTATTACGTTTCTTATATATTGTTAATTAAGCAATGACTTTAAGAGAAAAAAAATTATTTGCAATTAAATTTCATTTTCATGAAGTTTTATAGTTTATATGCATCGAAAATACTGTTAATTTTTTTTAATTTGCTTGTTAATTGTAATATGGTAATGTCAAGCGACAGTCAATAATTTTCCTGTCGTTCCAAAGAAACAGTTTTTTGAAATGATATTTTATTAATATATATTTTTTATCGGAAATTACTGTTAAAAATCATTTTTCCAAACTTTATACTATTATTATTATATAAATCAATTTATCGTATATAAGATTTGCAATTTCTAATCTGCGAGAAGAAATATTATATTTAAATACATTTGATACGTGAATATTAACAAATATGTTTCGCTCTTTTCATTGTCCTTGCATTTTAAATACAAATAAAACATATTGCTGAAATTTTTGACAGTCTTCTTCGTACAATATTTTTTTCAAAAAAGTTTTTACCTTCTACACTTTAATTATTGATCTATCGTGACGAAACTTTTTTTGTATAACACAATTCTGTAAATATTCCAAACGTAAATTTAAACTGAAAGAAACCAATGGGACAAAATGAACATCTATGTATTTCAAGTGTTTCGAATTCTGCAGTCTTTTATTATTTTATTTACAAGACTTTGAATAACTTAAATCTTATGAAAAAAATGATATTTTTGAGAGAAAAAATTGTACCTCGGAAAATATCTACGAGATAATTTCTTCAAATTTTGGCAATTCTACTTCTTTCAAAAGACTTACGTCTTTATAATACACAATAATCTTTACACTCAACTACATAAAATGTATGCGAAGTAAAGTAATATATTTTTCTATCTATAATATATATATGTATGTATATATATATATATGAGTGTGTGTACGTACATTGGTCTTTGTACATAATACTTATAACATATTTTACATTCACTGACGCGCATCACATTTTTTCAAAATTTTTTTTTTCATTTTTATTCTTTTAAATTCAATTACCTATTTTATTGTACTGTGAATCGGTTTTGTTATCAGTTTACATATCACACATATTCAAGTTCGAGATGAAAAAATATGCATTATGTTTGATAATAAGCGTGAATAACGCTCAAAAATTTTTTTTTTTTTTTTTTGGAATCGTGCGTCTTTTTAGCAGAACTAATTAACATTAGGCGTTTGAAATCAATACTACATAGACATGAATATACATATTATTTACAACTTTCACTAATTTTTGACGCAAAAATAAATGTCCAAAATCTGGCACAAATTTTTGCACCTAATTAGAGCCTAAACTAGAGTAAATTTGTGACCTTTCTTTATCCAGCTTCTATCAACGCCACGGCAACATTTTTACATGGAGTTTTTAAAGTTGAATTCATCTATATTATCCATTAAATTGTATTAACACTAAAAACGCTTATAATGACTTAGATCAATTTGAAATACATCGCTGCTAATCTTCATAAATTCATTCTTCCCTAACCGAAATATCGCATTAAATACATACTTCAGTTTTATTAAAATAAAAATCCGAGAAATTCAACAAACATGAATAATCTACATTAAAACAAAAAAATTAATAATAAAAATAATAATAATAACAGTAATCACTTTGAAAGCATTTGTTTCGGTAATCGAAGTAAACTATTGTATTTACGAAAGATTTTTAAAATTTAGCCTTAAAATGTTTAGAAACTTTTTTAAAAAGAATAATTTGAATTACAATTAACTTCGCTTTTAGGGGATTTTTTCTTTTATTAATGATCCTAACATAGAAAATATATTTTTTTAATATACATTATTTTGACTTCATTGAAAATAGAAGAAAATTTTATTTTTATGTTTGATTCAACAATAAAAGAGTGATTAAAAGATATAATTTATTTTCAAATACAAAATCTAAATTAAACAAATAACTTTTTAAACAAATAATTTTATAAGTCATCGAATATAAATGATAAAAAATTTCAAAAATAAAAGAGACAATCAATAATAAAATAAAAAATTCAAAATATAATGAAAAATTAAAAAAAAAATTATTTTCTAATCAAAAATTAAGAATAAAAAAAAATATCTTAAATTAAACGAAAACAGACCAATAATTAAATAAATCACAAAAATAAAAGATGTTTATAAAGTAAATGAGAATTTTTTCTAAAAAAAAATTTTTGGTAGAATTCACATGTAAAATGATGAATAAAATCTATCATTTTAAACTCATGTATTGAAAAATTTAAATTTCTACCCTACGACAGATGTTGAAATCACGTTTTTTATTTATTATTTCAAGTTATAAATGACACTGGGCTAGAAATATATATATTTTTAAATAAAGCCAAATAATTAAAGCATATGGTATATTGTTTTTCATTCAATAAAATACTAAAACTAATTGGTTGAAGCAAATTCTTCTCAGGATTTAAAATTTCCCTTTTTTTTGCAATAGTGCTTCACTAACGAAACAGTACCTTCAAGAAAATATTTTCATCGAATCTTGAGATATATCTTCGATTTAATAATAAAAAGAAAGGATGCTTTCCGTTTGGTCAATACTTAGTTGTTTTTTTCTACGTTATTCTTAAAATCAATTGTTGTCGCAGTCTCGTCTTAAATAAGTGGCAGGAGTGTGTTTTTTCTTTTATAAATCTACATATCGCACATCATTTTTAATTTATAAGATGATTAGTGCACTTAAAAGGCGATTGACGCGCAAAGATCTACTGCGTTTACTGGCATATTGTGCTCGATTCGAAATATTTTTTTGTCCTTTTTCCCCAACATAACTAAATATCTAAATGAAAATTCGAAGCTTATATACAATTTTTTTTACAAAAATCTAAATAACTTTCTACAAAACTAACAAAAATTTCGTTTCATTACACATTTTCTTTCCTCTTTATTAAACACAATCTCTTTCAATCATCATGATTTACTATATTCCAAAAATGTTATCAATTTCTTAAATCAATTATCACTTATTCACCGTTCAATGTTTATTTATTGATGGAATTTTTTTTCTTTGATTAATTAATGTTTTTCTTCAGTTTGACGTTTTTTAACGTTAATAATTTTTAAGCGCATTCTCACGGCTACTTAACGTTTTCTCTTCGATTACTATTTAGCATTTCTTTCAGATTAAAAACTATTTTAGTTCGAATATTCACTATTTTTCTTCGAATACTATTTAGTGTTTTTTCTCAATTACTATTTAAAGAAGTGTTTCTTTGATTAATTTTTACTTTTAGATATTTGCAATTAATTTATGCCAATTTTCTTTAGCCACTGATGTTTATGGAAACTTGATTAGGTTTCAATTAACAATTACCCACCCGAAAATACCCGAACAATTAATAAATATTTGTATATTATTTCAGTCGGTACTAATTAATTTTTGACTCAGTATCAATGAAATAAAGAAAAAAATTTCGCGTCAATTAATAAATGAGGAAAAATAAAAACTAATTAGTCAGTAGTTAAAAATAAAAGAAAAATATCATTGGCTATATGTGTCGAGTTAATTGAAAAGTTCAACGGTGAAGAAAATCGTGAATTACGGTTAAGAAAATGGATTAATCTTCATTTGCAATTTCGAGGAGTAATCGTTTGAGACTGTCGAGTCCAGTGAGAAAACCGCAGTCCGGACCCTGATGAACAGTTGAGTTTAAATTCGAATTTGAGCTAGTTGCTGAACCCGTATGACCAAATGTGGTGTGGGCAAAATCGATCATTCGCACATCAACAAGAGAATTGTGAAGATCCGCCAATTTTTCATTGTCCTTGACTCTCAGTCTCTTGGACATACTGCTGGTGTGTTCGAGGCTATCTTCCTCGTGACACTCTTTGTCTTCGTACAATTGTTGCCGATGTCGATGTTTATTACGTTTGACCGAGCATTCAGCTCCAATATCAATATCGGAGCTCGTGTCCTCCGAATGAACAACCGAATGCTGCCCGCAGCAATAATCATCGCCGCTACTACTGCTACTATAATTTAACCAATTTTCATAAGGACAACCAGTTGTTTGTACAACACTATTCAATAAATTCGACGGTGGATCCATAAATACAGTTTCCTCATTTATTGGATAAAATCCCGATGATGTTTTTGCTCCACGCGCAGCCGCTTCACCAAAAACACGATGAAATGTAGCTTCACTTACTTCATCATGTGACGACAAATTATAATCCGTTGAATTGTTACTTGTATCCGCATCGTAACATGGATCCGAAACGTGTGCTTCAACGTAGCTCACATCATTCGATGTATCCTCAACGCGAAGAGTTGGTGTTCGTCTCTCCATATAATCTTCAATCTGATAACCCTCGTAGACAACTAATAACGAGCTGAAAATTAAAATTAAAATTGTTCAAGAATTTACTCAACAAAAAATTGTATATATATATATATATATATATATATATATATAATTCAGTTTTTAACCACTTAGACTTCTATTTTTTACTATATTTTCTTCTCGGAATTGGTTTCTGGCTTCCAGGGTGCTCACACTTTTTTTTGCTCGCGTGCAATTTAAAGTAGAGCTCGATGATCAGAAATCTTTCAAAATTATTCATTAAAGAATATTATCGAAAATATTATTTAAAATTATTATTAGAGGCATTTATATTACTTACTTAAAGTTTTATACTTACCAGGAATAAAATCTGAAACTGCTTTGTCTTTCAATAGCACGACGCAATTGCTCTAATCGCGTTATTACTCTGTGAATGACAGTTGTACGCAAACAATATCCATTGTGAAAAAATCTGATTAAAGCTTCCTTAAAACCTTCTTCATTTAGTTCTCTTCCCCAATATTTATCGCGTTTTATGTAATGATCGGTGTCTGCTTGGTAAACCTTGAATCAATTTCATATTAATCGAAAGATTAGACAAAAAAAGTCTGTATATTCACTCTAAATATGTTTTTTCTTTATTTAATTATATTTGTTTTTATATACTCAGGGTGGCCACTCGATTGAAAACAAAGAAAATCTGGGATTCCCGTAAAAACAAAGTTTCCCATGCTACTAGCAAAAATATTCATTTTTTGATTGAAAATAATAAGGTGTTTACCGATTTATAAAAAATTTCAAAAGCAGTGACAAAATTATTTTATTAAAAAATATTTAAGAATAATAAAGAAACTGAAAACGTTGAAAATCATTTGTTATTTAGAAAACAATTTAACAATTTACATTATATTCTTTTAATAATCATTACAGATGATTTAACTAATATAGTTAGAATAGCTAGTAACTTTTTATTACGAGTCAATACTGGAATTGATGATTTGAATCATCTTCTTATAGCACTAACGAAAAATAATAATCGCGAAAACAACCCGATTAATCGAAAAAATTACAAAGTAATCATTGTAAAGTATTTATTCTAAATACATATTTTAAACCTGAAACACGCATTAAATTAAATTAAATTAAATTAACTAAAATCCTGAAATAAATAAGTATAAATATAAAAGAAACAAAAGTAAACTATGGGAAAGTATGGAAAGATAGGAAAGCTTGGGAGAAATGTCTTCTTGTGTAAAGCTAAATTTCTATTTATATAATAAACTAATTATTGATCTGGGACAAAGAAAAGATCAAGAAAATTCGGGCGAAACTGTGAGTAGACACCCTGATTAACATTTTTATTGTTATATATATTATATATATTTATTTTTTCTTTTTTATGATAACAAACCTGCATTCCACAGAGTCTAACACCTAAAGATGCTGAAGTGCTGGCAGCACATTTAGCCATTTGCTTGCTCCGCTTTTCAGCGGATGCATCATCTCCATGTTGTCTGGTCCCCATTTTTAAATCTAAGATGCATGGATGTGAATACTGAGACGTTATATTTTCCAGTAATAAAAAATCTGCTGATTTAATTAAGGAGATAATAAATGAATTTTTCATAGAACCTAGTCAAATAAAGAACCTGCAACGCAGTCTTTTTATTTCTCTATCAATAATTTACATAGAGTATTATTTAGAAAAACCAATTTCAAACCAAATAATTAATAAAAAATGTGAACATTTCCAAATTTTCTATAATATTATCAAATGAGTATCGTATATACACATTAAATTTAGATCATGGAGTATTCAGTCTATTCTATACACAAGTCACACCAACCTTGACCTAAATCTGAGTTGAAAGTGACCTACATTTTTAAAATACAATATACAGCAATACGGAAATAAACTCTTTTCATTCTACACACATATATATATATATATATACTTAAAAATTTTACCAGTCATGCAATTTTTTCATATTATCTCAATTAAATGTTAAATTAACCTTTACTATCATTTATTGTAAGAATAAAAAATTAATAAAGATGAAATAAATAAATAAAGATACTGAAATTATGAAATTATAGTTTTATGAATTTTCAGAGAAATAAAAGAAAAATGCAACTAGGTAAGGAAATTTCTCACCATGCGAGTAACGGAGGGTTAAAATAAATTGAAAAGGATACATTGTTTATTTGCTGCTGAATCTAGATGTGTTCCTGATTTGAATACATCTGCCGAACTATTTTTACGATGAATTTTCATTCTAGAATAAAAGAAATTATTAAATGAATTTAAATTCACATTGAATATTATTACATTCAAATTTATAATATTATATAAATGGAGAAAAATAATAATTAAAACTTTACTGCAATGCAAATGTAGTTGAGGACTTTTCGACAGTGACAAAGAATTTCAGAAAATTTGTAAAATAAATTGTGAAAGATTACATTAAAATATTCTAAATTTATTTCATTCAGTAAAATGTTTACCATACTGATGTTTTTTTTCCTAATTTTTATGTTACAAATCTCCTGTAAACTGTGTTTTAATTTTACCTAAAATATTAATTTTATATTTTATTTCTCCGTATAAACCATTTTAAGTTAAATGGATTAAAATTTTTTGTATTTTTTAACAAATTTTTGTTTTAAAATTTTTTTTATTTTCAGAAGTAATTACCTTAAAACATCATCTCTTTTTCTTTTAGTTGATCCTTTTCCCGATTGAGTCTCGTGATCTCTGAAACTAGGACTGTAACGTTTATCAAGCTTAACTTCACTGCTACTGGAAGCCTGCATTACACCTGAAACACCAATGCTCCAATCAATTGAATATTCATTAAATTAAAAACGTGACTTGTTATCGACATTTATATGTCCAATTTGATAAGAAATCATTTTTATTCATAATCGACCTATGCCTCGCGATAGTTTTTTTTGTGCCAAGTGTTATATAAAATTAATATTTTTTAAAAAAATATCCCTTAAAAATAAAACAAATAAGAAAGCCAAATTAAAAATAGAACTAAGGATTATGATCTGATTTGTGACTTAAAAACAAAAAATTTTACTATTTCTACAAGATTCTTTCTTATAATAATAAAATATCCAATGAAAAATAAATTCATAAAAAATAAAGCTGAGATTGCACAATTAAATACACATGAACCAAGTTATAAATATATTAACTATCTTTTGAAAAGTATGAGGAAAAAAAAGAAAGTTTCGTTTTTAGTGAAATTCGTGAATCCTGGTGACAATATTAAATGACTCTTGATACATATTAGAAGACCAGTGATTGCATAACATAAAGAAAATTACATAAATTTCCAATGCATCACAAAATGCTTGCTTCATGTGTAATTAAGCATAGTATTATATTCAGAAGCACTGAATCAACATTATAAAATAGTATATTATGTGGCAAGCACGTAAAGTAGTACTTTTTAGGTGAGGATGTAATTTTCAGTACGAGCTGTCGTTAGTGCGACGTAGGTGAGACGAAGGCGAGCTGTAGGTGAGATGAAGACGAGCCGAAGGCGAGTCGAGTCGAGCCGAAAGCGAGCCGAGTCGAACCGAAGTCGCACAGACAGCGAGTATTGAAATCATCCGAACCTAAAAATTACTACGTGCGAGCCACATACGCTATTTTTTTCGCCATTGTTATGAAAAAGTGAAACAATTTTAAAGAAAAAAAATAATAAAAATTGATAAATAAAATAAAAGCAAAAAAAAAAATTATGCAAAAATTAACAACTGCCTAAAAAAGACTTTATAGGGCAGTTTACTGCCTAAAAAAGACTTTATACGGCAGTTTGCTGCCTAAAAAAGTCTTTTTTAGGCAGTTGGCCCAAACTGCCTTAAAAAGTGCTACTTTATCTGCCCAAAACAGGCACAAAAAAGACACTTTTTCATGTCAATGGCGAAAAAAATATATTATGTCAAAAAATCAAAAAAAAAAATAAAATAAAATCTTTTTTTAAAAAAATACAAAAAAAAACATCAGAAATAAAAATATCATTGCTTCTGAATATGATACCTCAGCGTATTATTTTTTGAGAATATGAATGAAATGTGCATAGGAAATCATTAACAATTGGTTAGTTATTATTTTTAGTTTTTTTTTTTTTTTTTTTTTGAATAAATAATTGTTGTATTTAGAAGTAAATGAATTATTTTGACTACATTTTGCTTACGGCGAATCAGTCATCAAATGTACGTCTGAATCGCGAAAAGATATATCTGATTTTCAGAGAACTAGTATCACATGACGGAATATATTGGTGATCAGCAACAAAATACAAACCCCGAGCATTGGCCAAGGAGAAGCAAATGGAATGTGTTCAGGGCACTAGTGGGTCTGCGAGCAGGCCATGCCTCGATTTCCCAGACACGAATCCTTGTGATCTTATTGGCTCTGGGGATACTTAAAAGAAAACGGTTTTTTGCTAGACACAATCATCAAACATATCGATTTGATGCATTTAGTTCTCATTAATGACCAACTTTTTTTTACCGTATACTTTAAAATGCACCAATGTCCCATTAATTTTCTTCTCTTTATTGATTAAACTTATTATAAAAAATTAACTAAAGTAAAAATCACACTATGAATCTGATACCTACTCAACGGTGTATCCTGGCTACAAGTCTTCAACATAGTTTATTACTTTCTCAAAATGTGTTTCTTAATTGTTCTCCCTTTTTTTCTCAACTATTTATTTATTTATTTATTATTCTGTTTATACCAATTCAGCAGGATTGAAAAAGAAATCTTATAAAAATCTTGGTTTTCTAACTGAAACAAACATTTTTCAAAAAGAAAAACAAGTAAAATTTTGAATGAAATAAAAAAAGATATATGCAAATTTAAAACAATTGTTTTAGATTCGATTAGATAATGAAATTATGTTCAGTTTAGATCGAAAACATAATAAAAGAAAATAATGAAATAAATTTCTTGAACTAATTTATGCATTTTTCAATTTTTAAAGAATGTTCTTTTCCGATCTGCCAATTAGGTATAATCCATTAAAATATTTGTTTCGAATAAATTATTTTTGTAAAATCTGGTTACCATATACTGTTTCATTAAAGAAAGACAATTGATCAATTTTCCAGAATTTAAAGATTTTCGGAGAATAAGTTTAAAAAAAATTAACTTGAAATGACTTGTGAACAATTGTTTAGATTAAAAAGCACGCTCTTCGTAAAAATTTACTTAATAATAATGATTATTACATACTGCTTTGAATAAAAAAGACTTGGAACAAATAATGCTCGAACAATGACTGGAGAATGAAAATTTATTTTGTTTTCAAACAAAAAAAAATCCAGTAAGAGTTATAAACAATATACAATAACAATAATAATATGTGTTTTTTTATTACTATTGTTACAAGAGAAACAAAACCTGTATTACTAATTATTAATCTTAGTAAACCTTTAATTAAATTAAAAATAAAATATTGATTAAAGAACTAACTAAATCTTAATTTAATTTAAAAAAATAGCATCTACAACTGTAAAACAATAATCTATTCCTATTGTAATTCATTTAGATTGTCTAAGAGAAAACAAATTATATTTTATTCTTTATTATTTCTATTTTCAAGCATAAAGAAATTTCTACTGATTGATTGTTATTTGTTTATTTGATGAAAAACGAACAGTAAAAAAGTACAATCTAAAAATTCTGTAAAATTCTCCATATTAGAAAAACAAATTTTTATTTTATTTCGTCGGTTTAATTATGTTTTTTACCTGAAATAATTTCTGAATGTTAAGAATTGGGAACGAAATATTTTCTTTATTATAACTCAAATTTTGACTGGAAATAATTTTTACTTTCATTAAAAATGAATAGAGATTATACTGTCACCCTTTTATTCCACCAATTTTTTTATCATTTGCAGTTACTTTCTCTAAATGTCAATAAATAAATTTATTTCAAAATGCACAAAAAGGAGTGTATAGAAAATTTCGTTTAATAAAACTTTCAGAATTCTTTTTGGTAAATATGCAAAAAAAAATTTTAATCTTTTAAAGTGATTTTCTTTTTTAAAGGTTGAACGCAATCATTGTTAAATTATTTCTGGTAAATATTTTTGTGTGTATGACAAGACGCGTTTTTAAACATAAGACCGATGCAAAAGCAAATTTTCCACTTGTGACGAAAAATAAATTACATAAAAGAAAAACGAAATTTTAATTTTATGTTAAGAAAATAATTTTAAAATTGGAAAAAAAACAAAGAAATTTAATTACTATAGAATATAACTGAATTTGTAATATTAAAATTTTATTATCTAATCTTTTCTTAAATATTAGTAAAACCTCAAAATTATAATTAATAACATATTTAATCACTAATAACAATTATAAAATAATTAACTATGATAATCGCAAATATATTAAATTATACTTTTTCGTGATGAAGAAAATTATTAATCTTTTACGTAACTTAATTTCATATCAAAAAATCTAAAGGTTGTTGCATGACCTCCAAATTTATCTGATTGAATTTTCCTTTCACTGAAAATCTCTGATAAGAAAAATCACGTAGATTATTTTAAGACTTGACGTTGTAGAATTTTCTTTCTTTTATTTATTTTTCAAAAAAAAACTAAATCCTTATTACACAGTCTTAGGAAATTACAATCAAGTTTCGATTTCAGTTACAAGTTTTCATAAATCTTTTGAATAATTATTATATAAAATAATCTTTCTCAAATTATTTTTCAATAATTTATAGTATAGTGGTTAAAAGCTTTATAGGATTGATGAAATATTTAAATTCCTTTTTTCCGTTAATTGCAATTTTTTAAATATGTCTACATTTCTTTTTTTAATTGATTTTTAAATTTATATAAAAAGCATTATTAACGAATATTAAAAGATCGTGATTTGCAAAAGGGAATAAAAAATAGTAGTAAGAAATGTGTAGAAAACTATTTGCTCACAATTAAAATATTTTTAAAACCTTATTTTTTTACTTAACAGAAGCAATAAGGATCCATTTTATTTAAATGTTGGAACAAAAGACTATGACATTTTTCATTATTTCTTTAAACTAAAAATGATCAAATCAAATACACCCACAATAAATAAAACTCAATATACAAATAAATAAAAAAAATATTCTTTAATAATGATGAATATTATTTCTAAACATTATTGTAAAGCCTGACCTGATGAATTTGATTACTTTTAATTTTTCAAACAAGGAAGCGAGAAGCCTCATTGAAATAATATGACGTCAATAAATTACAACATACCCTTAGATTGAATAACAGATGAAAGTAGGAAATTGGGAATTTAAGAGACTTAAGTATATGTATTCACTATCGACATTCACATTTACACTAAATCACACATAATCTATGAATAATAATAACAAAATATAAAAAATTAACTGGACTCTAATAATTTCTACATTGTAGATATAGGGAATTATAAAAAAGAACATTTTTTTTTCCATACACAAATAGATCCAGAAATGCAATGCATTTAAAGCACGAGACTGCATTCAAACAATCATTAAAGACAAGCAAAAGTCGTCTGAAAGTCTACTTTTCAACTTTCTACGTTTTTTTTCTTTCTTTTTTTTTTTTTTTTTATTAATCTTTAATTAAATATGTACAATTCTTCGGAATTAATTTGTATTTAATTTATTCATTTTAATGACTTTTTTGTTCAATCACCAAGTAAAATTTTCCCTTATTCAGAATCAATTATTTGTTCAATTGAAGCCATATTCGAAAAATAGATAAAATATTTATTTTGTGTCTGACATAAAATGAAAAAAAAGAAAAAACTTAAACCTTAAAGAATTAATTTAACTTTGTAAATTTTAATCTATGTATAAAAGAAAATTTAGAAGTATTTAAACATTTTTTTTTAAATTTTTAATTAATTCAGTCAAACATTTACATATTATAGAATTTCCATTATAAAACAATGCATCGTCAACGAAAAGATATGTATAGTAATTTTGAATATTACAAATACCGAAGTATAAAACATTGTTTTTTATTGAAAACATTTTCCATTTTAAAATATATTGTATGTATACTAAAATTATTGTTGGCTTACTTGCTTAATAATAGTTGTAATTTTCGAAGTCAAGTTATATAAAAAATTTTTAATTTATCGAAAAAAATACGAGTTAAATTCGATTGTAACACGTGGCTTCAATTATTAACTATCATCATAAAAAACATTTTCGAGAATAGAATTTTTGTTCTCTGAGATAAGCTAAACATTAAAAATGCACTGTTGTTTATAATCTAACTTATTTACAAAAAATGTTTTTGAACAATATAAATAATAACTGTATTTTTATAAATGTTGAAAAAATTCATCAATCAATTTTTTTTAAATATATACGAAGATGAGAAACAAAAAAGGATGACAAAATGCGTCGAAGGAAAAATAGTTCTGGAAAAATATAAAAATTAAGAGTACACAAAACCTTATTGATATAAATTACTTAACCGTGACATGTAATCGGCTTCAATAAATATACATATATATCGAGTGTTATAGAAAATAATGAACTGATAAAATTAATACATCAGCTTACCTTTAAATTTCGGGACAAATGTTTGTATCTCTTGAGGAATGTTTCTGTAGAAGTCTAATTCTCTGCAGTTCAGTGGCTTGCAAATCGTATTTTGGTTGAGAAGCAGTAATCGAGTATGACCACCGACCTGTTTTGAAATATGGTTGTTATAAGTTTAAAAAATATCAAATGAATCAGTCGATTTGTTGATAATACGCTCATCTTTAAAAAGTGTTGAACAATGAAAATGAAAAAAAAATTCAAAAGAGGAAAAGATTTTTTTATAAGAAACATGACAGACGTATAGTTAACATACAAACATAGAAATATTATATAAAAATATATGAATATATTACACAATTTTCGATATATGATATAGTACCATATAATGAATAATGTGTATTAATAACAAGAAACGTTTATTATGAGTCAATTGACAAACCTGCTTTGTCAGAATTCCAAACAAACATATTTTAATCTCTTTACCAATAAAGATGTACGTCATACTGTTCAATTTTTACAAAAAATAAAACATCACCATACTATCTCTGAGCATCTTTATTGTATTTTCATCGTGATTTTCATTCAAATTGCTAAGTATAGATTTAAGAGGAAGTTGTTATTTAGAATTCATTGAACTGGCTTGCACATATATATATATACATACTTTAGAGATATTGAAAATAGATTTCGAAATAGAGATAAGTAACAACTAAAATCGATCATATTTCTTATAAAACTTAGCGATTCAATGGTGGTGTAATGAAAAAAAAATGCAATGCTTGACGACGATTTAGTTTTCTACTTACTTTGATTGTACCTACATTCGTGAAACAATGGATGAAAGACGTGACCCATTTAAGAAGCATTCGAGTCGTATACCTAAGTATGTATATTAAGAAAGAAAAAAATCAGTGTTTAAGAATAAATGTTGCATATACCTGATTATTGAGTGGATGTAAAGCGACTTCCTCGTCATGATCGTGAAGGAAAGTTGATGAAATTGGTGAAGTATTAGTGCTATGGCACTGCGTTTGAGCTTCTCCCATACCCCAAGCAGCCCTCAGGTATACCATGCCCGCCTAGTCCTTTCAGATATAATCCAGTTATTCACTTTTTTTAATACTATCACTTCTTTTTTAAATACTTTTACCACTGTTATCGGAACTCTGAGTCTATCATTTCTCAATTATATTTCGTAACCTTTAGTAAGAAAGATGTCAAATTGTGTACTAATAGTGTAAGGGAAGATATTTACGGTAGGAATGAATATAGTTCACTTTTATATATGTTAAATTTCCTTGATCAATTTTGAAAAAATTCTAAAATTTAAGGATATTTGTGTTTATGAAGTATTCCACGAACTAAGCACACTGGCTGTTTTGACACTTTAATATAATTGAACAGACGCAGTAAACAGCATATGAGCAATATTGTTTAACAATATCCTCTCTTCTTTCAGATCAGCTGTAAAAGCTGGGTAAATGATGGAAGTTAGATAGCATGAAAAGGAAAGGAGATACACGAGAACTAAGAAAAAACAATTCAATACGAAATTTCGGAGTCACAGCCTTTACCAAATTTTTTTATATGTATATGTATATATGCCTAATTGAAACGTTAGAATGGGGTTTACATGCAAAATATTAAAGATGTATTGAGTATTTAGCACACGTATTTAGAGCACAAAGGCACTAACACAAATGGTCAAAATGGTTGCAAAGCAAATGGTTCTCGACATGGATCATGAGTTCTAGAAAGAAAGTTAGCGCATGCGCTTTTTTCTAAAGTTGGATGCATACCAAGGTTGGGAATTTATCCATTAAGGTGCAATCGGTTGGTTTCTATTGTCCCCACTCGCCTTTTGTTGTCATAATTCTCGTCAACTACCGCACCCTGTTCTAGTAAAAATTTAGTAACTTTATAGTAACTTTTAATTTTAACAATAAAGTCTCTAAATTTTTCTAGAGTAGGGTGCGGTGGTTGACGAGAATTATGACAAATGGCAAGTGGGGACAATGGAAACCAACCAATCATCAGACCTAAAGGCACCTTCACAGCTCAACTGACCGGTTTCCATAGTAACTTTAAGAGAACGAGAGATGGAAGATTGTTTTGTTTCTCTCACTCTCGAAAGTTAAGCCGTTTGCACACCTCACAAGTTTTCGATATACCGAAAACTTGTGAGCGTTTTTTGATGTCTATCGAGAACTTGTGTATTTTATAGCACATTCGGTTATGTGCTCTAAACTGCTCCAAGAGTGCTCCAACTCAGAACCATGTGTTCGGGTTGGCAACTCTGCCCCGGAGCAAATCGTGTAGCGTATTCGACTTGACAACACCGCTCCGAGAGCAGGCAGAACACGTGTTCGTGTAAGACGCTCCGCTACGTCACAGAGCATTTTGCGTATTCGAGATACAAATCCTGCTCCACGACAGGGCAAAAAACGTATTCGGTTTGTAACATAAATCCACCCCGGAGTCAATCTAGAGCAAGAAATCTTGCTCCATCTTTTTCGACGGAGCGACAGCAATAATTTTTAAAATATCTTACTGCGCATGTCATATTTTGAATTTTAAAATGGAAATTGAAGCAGAAACTTTGACTTTAGCTTTTGAACTTTGATGATAGTGATAATGAATTTTTTGAAGTTATGAATGAATTTCTTATAGAAAAAATGTATATACACTGAGAGGACAATCTATTTAATTTTAAACGAATCCTTTCATCGTAAACGAATTTTCCTTTTAATATTTATATTTAAGAGGATTTTCTTTTATGATAAAAGGAAAGTTCTTTAAATTATATCTTTTTAATATTATAAGAAATTATTTTACTGTCAAAAAGGAAACATTTTGGAATAAGCTAAAAGTAAATAGGTTATTAATTTTTTATTAATTACTAATATTAGTAAATAATTAATTCATTATTATTGTGTATTAATTTTAAATAAATTAAATTAAATCAATAAAATTAATAAAAAAATTTAATTATTATTATTAAATAGTCAATAATTTTTTTAATAAAACTCGAAATTCTCGAAAAATCAAAATTATTACGTCTTTCATAATAATAATTATTATTATTTTTCATTGACAATTTTTTATATGCGCTTTTTTATTTAGTTCCTAATAATTTTTTCAAAAAATAAAATTTTTAAAAAAATTTTACTTCGCGCTAAATTGAAAAATCTGCTTTGGAGTACTTGGAGTAATTATACTTTATTCACCATTTATTCTTCTTACCTTTATATATTTTAGAAATATTTAAAATCAAATTTTAAATTCTCCGCCAAAAGATAGCTCACAAGTTTTCGGTACATATATCGAAAACTTGTGAGGTATGCAAACGTCTTTATCATGGAAACCCGTCATGCTGATTCTACACTCACCTGAAACTGCGCGCGCGGTCCGCATTTGCGTTAAGGCGCATTCAGACCTCTCGGCTGCCTGCCTGCCTGCCTGCTGCAGTTGCCATGGTAACATAATGGGAGTGAGTGAAACAGACGAAAAATTTTAATTTTCTGCTTCACTCACTCTTATCATGTTACCATGGTAACTACAGCAGGCAAGCAGCCGAGAGGTCTGAATGCGCCTTTACGTTTTTTATATATATAGATATAATTTAATATGGGAAGCGTCACGGAAAAGCGGGCCGCTCGCTGAGTTTCAGATGAGTGTAGAATCAGCATGAGCAAAAGTTTTTTTTTGTCGATAGTATGACGCACCCTGATTTCGCTTGCCAACCACTTTGGTGAAACGATTGTGCGTTGGCCCATATATTTTCAAATAAAACTTTTCAATAGTTTCTATATTGGAGCAGTAGATGAGATTATAAATAATAGATATGGTTGTATGCTATGCAAAAGGCCACTAAACAAGAAGAGATTATAAATACTTAGGTATGCTGAGATAAGTAGAATTTCTGAACAAATATTCTTTAAAGATTTATATGATTTTGATATTAAGAATTCCAGTAATAAAATTATTATTAATATTTATTGTTTTTGAAATAATGTTTCTTAATGTTAAAAACAAATATCTTTTTTATACTATATAAGAACCTTAAAATTGACTACATATTTATAGCCAATTTTATTGTCTATTTTCGAAACAAAGTACTAAAACTTAATTAACGATCATGCCAACTTTTATTATTATTATTATTATTATTATGTAGATTACCACTGTTATTATTATCATCGAATTTATGGTGTAAGATGTAAGTCGGACATTCGTCCAAAATCTGAAAGGTGTATGGACTATGAATAAATAAATAATATAATCGAGATTATGAGAAGTTAGGATGTAAAATAATATAATTGTAATAAAAATCATTTTGTAGGATACACATTTTGTATATTTTGTTATCTTGCAGTATTACTGATCGAATCTACATGAACCTAACTTTCATTTGTATGAAAACTTAAGGGCTACAACATTTCTTTGAAACGTATTTGGAAGAATTTTAAAGGAAAATTGATTTTTGCCATACTCCATTCTGATTCTTATATGTAAGATATCAATTTTTCTCTAATATTTGATCTATTGTGATCAATTAATAACAATCAATCATTAAATCTTGACAATTTTTTTTTCATCGAAATAAATAAAGGTCTCTATTATAAAAAATGAATTAATTTTTACATATATATTACATTAGATTTTTTTTTGCCAAATGGCTTAGTAGAGATCAAAGATTCTTATAAAAAATATTTAACGGATTCATAATTAATAACTTATCAATAGCTCATCAGTTTCAACAATTAATGCCGATGGCATAATAAATATTTGATTGAATATTCCTACGTTATGTTTTGATACAATTTTCCAATATTTTCAAATTATTAAGAATATTCTGCAAATATTCGAAAAACTTGTTCGAATAAGAAAAAAGAATCGAATATTTCATCGATATCTTTTCTTTTAAGTAAAGACGACAGGCACAAAAATTTTCAAGTGAAAATTGTTCATTGAAAAAACCGAAATGACATATGTTAGAATTTTTATTTAAAGAGAATTTAATACTAAAAAATATGTTTTAATAATTAGTATTAAAACTTGAGAACAAAATTCTAAATAATTCATAAGTGTATAATGAAAACTGATTAAAATATAAAAATAATGTTAAAATTTCAGTTTAAGGACTCAATAATTGAAGATAATTTGTTATCAAAATAATAAAGCAATAATTTAATTTAATTTCAGTAAATAGTCAATAATATAAATTTTCAATGAAAATTTTTTTCCTGAAAAATTTCAAATACTATCTAGATAGAGTTAATTACTAGAAATATCATCATAAACGCACTACATACAATAATTTATGTAGAGGTGAAAATGCAAACATTTAAAGGCTCCATATGTGAGAAATATAAAAAAAGGAAATAAATAAATTTTTACACTGTACTAACTTGCATTGATAATATTCCTGATTCTGTGTCATTATACGTTCTTGTTAAACTAACAGAAGAATCTAAATTAATACCTTCAGCACATTCATTACTTGCCGTTAATCTCTCGCTCTCAATTAAACTCGTATTCGCATCCACACCAGTCAAATTATTTTCACCAATAATAATTTTTTTTCTCGTCCCATTAACAATCGTGTCCATCTCTTCCTGATCGTTATTTAAAATTGAGCGACTACCTTTTGTACTGTCCTTTAATATTCCTTGTGAACCGAATTTTTTCTCCTTCAACTCGTTACCAGACAGATTTTTAGGCCCTTTCCCATCTTTTTCCTTGGGTTTTTTCCCAAGGCCGGAAAAATTAGTTATTTTTGAAACAACTTTTGTGTCTTTTGATTGACGAACAGATCCCGCGCGATTCGGTTCCGAAATTTCTTGATCCTCCGTTATTGATTTCAAATTGCTCTTATTTTCCGTACCACCTTCTTCTTTTGTCACTTGAATTGGAATATCATCTAAAAAAAATTAATTTTTATTTAATTTTATATACATAATCAATTTTGTCAGTCCCCAAGAAATAAGTTTTAACTTTAAAAACTTTCCTAAAATAATTTTTTTTTTTTTACAAAAAAATTTGTTTTTCAATACATTTTCTTTCTTTTTTTTTCTTAATACAAAAAGAGTAAAGAAATTATAAAAAATAAAATTATCAAGAAAACAGTAAAAAAAATTAATAATTGACAACAAAAATGAGTAAATGAAAATACTTTTCGGGGATAATTGAAATGAGAAATAAATAATTTTATGAAGAGTCAGAAAATAGTAAAGATTTGTTTACGTGCACTGCTTTGCTTTTGTGCAATCAGTCAATGAAACTTTCATAATCACTTTTCAGTTTTAAAGAAAAAATATAATGCGATATATTCATAGTGAAACTGAAATAGTAGTCTACAAGGCGGTGTATTTTATAGAGAAAAAAAGTTTGCGTTCTTTTTTGTCGACAACAAAACCAAAAAACAAAAATGTGTAGTGTCACATATGCATTAGAATCAGTGTGTCATGGAAAATAATTTGCTAGTGATTCAGCGACAGCTAAAAGCTATCATTTTGTTTTTGTTTTAATACCGAAAATTCGGCGAAGAACCAGGAGAGCAGAGGCTCCTTCGTCTGCTTCCTCCGGAATATAAATTCTCATTGGATTCCCCAAGAGTTTCGCCTAGTGCATGTTCCTCCATAACTCGATATAAGCGTGCACCAGCACTCAAACGATTTTCATCTCTCGGTGATTCATTTCTATCTTTCGAATTTTTTCGATTAGTACGACGACACATTATCATCGTATCATCTTGTCCGACAGAAACATTTGGCGATGCCGATTTTTTTGATTTTTGTTCTTTACTTTTTTTCGGCGATGATTTAATCGGTGAACCTTGACCACTTGACATACTTTCACGTCTCGAATTTTCAACAGACGAGGAGGAATTGGTTTTTACTATTTCCTCCTCATCAACGTAATTGGTAATCGGCTGTTTCCAAAATTTCGTTCGCCGTTTTGAATTATTGCCGACTGTCATTGATGTTTGTTGTTTTTCATTTTGCTTTGTCTCCGTTGATTCGAATAAATTTTCGTCCAGATCGTCTAGATTATTATACAGTTAATTTTCGAAAATTACCTTTGTTTAAAAAATCTGTTTCTAAACATTCTTTAAACTAAAACACTTTGAAAAAAGCGTCATGTATTCAATATACTTATCATTAAAAAAAAAAAAATGTTTTCAAAATCAAATGACGAAAATTTTTCTGTACTCACCTGGTAATTTCTTGGTGCGGAATGACGCGTTTGTAATCATCGACTTGGACATTGATGTACCTGTGGAAGAGGATGATATCGCGATTCCCAAAGAATTGTCCCCTAGTTGTCCTGAAACAGAAAAACAGTGAAAAATAAAAACGACCGACAAAGGAAAATATAAAAATAACAAACAGCACGAAAGAGTCAAAAAAGAAGAATAAAAATAAATAAGAAGATAAATTGACATTTTACCTGGGGGCCCAGAACTATTTGCATTACGAATAGCATTTGTAACCAACATAACGTTTGTGAAAGTTTCATAACACGCTCTATTGTGAATGTCATCCGTAGCTTGATTCGCAACATACCAACAATCGTTGTACCTATTGGAAGAACATTTTCAGAATTTTTTTGAATTTCACTCTCCATTGATTTATTTTACAAAAAAATATTTACATGGCAAAATAAATTGAATGAAGAAATTCTAGAAGAAATTGATTCGTCACTGGTATTCGTGGTAACAACCTTGGAACAAAACTTGTTTCACTATTATACGAGGATCTTTGATGAAGGCCCAGTTTCGAAAATCCTTGTGTCACGAGTCTGGAATACCAAACAAAAAAATATAGTTCATAATAAAACAAATAATTGTCAACAAAAAATTCTTTTTTCCTTTTTTAAGATTAACTTCAAAATGAGTAGGTACATAATAAAAATAATACATAAATGTAGTAAAATTGAAAAAATAATGAAAATATGAATAATACAATGACTGATTAATAGAACAAATTTCGAAACTCGAATTTATCTAAAAATAATGTAAATTTATTCACTCTCAAGATTTAGATCAATATAATAAAAGAAAAAAAAACATAATAAAAATACAAAAGAAGTGTAAATTTTTTAAATGAAACGAACTTACGTTGTCGCAACCTTGCACAATTGCTCCAGTGAATGTTTTGATATGAATGACAATTGCTGATTGTAAATAAAAAGTAGAGATGTCATTACTTTTAATCTATTTTGGGCATTCAGGATTTCCACTTGTTGCAAAGGACCCCAGCTGACAAGTTTTGAGTTGCACTCCTCAAAACGGCGAATCGCACTTTCCGTTAACGAAGCAGATGCCAAACTGGAAGGCTAAACAAAAATTTTAATTAAATTAATAGTAATAAGAGGAAAATCAGTAAACAGGTATGTAACGATTAAAAGAGTTGTAAAAAGTACACACTTCGTGATATATCGATAGCATAGCTAGAGAAGGTAATCTGAAAGATACGACTTTTGGTTGTCCATTCATATCTACAACTTCCAAATTATACAAGCCAATCAACAATGTTTCTACCGTTCTACAATTCTGTAATTAAAAACAAAAAAAATCTACTGTTTAGATTTGTTTTAATATGCAATTAATTAGTAAATATAAAGTATTTCACTTTTTTAGTGTACAAAGATCAACCCACGCGTGTGATTATATAATGATAATATATCATTTATGCGAATGACACACATAAAAAAAAACATATATTTTTTTAACTACCATTTAATGACGTCCTTGAAATTATCTCCATTAAATGTCTTATATTGTCTTTAACACGTAATAAACTTAACAAATAATGTGCTGAGCATTTTAAGTTCTTTACTCAAAAATTTTAATGTATTTTTCAATTTTATTCCAATTATTATAATAATTTTCTTATAAAATTGTTTCAATCAAACTAATATGAAAAAAATTTAAGGATTCCTTACTTTAATATCGCCATGGGCAACAGAATTTAAATAAATGTATATTAATGTAGGCAGAAACTGCAACGTGAATCGTTCAAGTTCCTTTTCTTGAGAACGATAAAAGTCAAATAATTTGTTGCATACTGTATCAACGAGCTGAAAAAAAACAATATAGGTAAGTAATCAATAAAAAAGAAATTAAATAAAATCAAATATAAATTGGAAAAATATAAGTAAAATTTAAAATATAAATAAACAAATAATTTTACCTGGCAGTATTTTGTTCGTTCTTCCAGCAATATATAAATTGCACGAACTATTTCAGTATCTTCTGAAAGGGTACTAGCAAAACTATGTAATTCGGCAGAAGAAAGATCAACACAATCAGCAAGCCATTCAGTAACAACACTTTCAGTCATTTTTAGATATTTACAATTAATAATTAACACCAATACATTGCAGTAAAGTCTGCAGTTCCTAAAAAAAATTCTTAAAATTAAAATTTCAAACGTTATGTGAACCATTACAATTAGAAACATTATTTTACATTAAACTAAATACAAAACACAAAATAAAATTAATAATTTTTTGAGTTTATTTGAAGTAAAAAGAAAAAAAATTCCTTTTATAATCCAAATTCATGAATAACTTGTTATCAATCCTTAGAAATCGTTTTAAATACAGGAAATTAAAGTGTCAAGGTATGTAACATAATGCTATATAAAAAAAAGTTTATTTACCTGAGAGTTTATTAATTTATGTCGACTTTAGCATTTGCTTTTATCAGATAAATAAGAAACTAATTCGTTTTATATATAAATTAAAATACCACTAATTCTATACAACAGCTGATCTCTGACTGCTGCACCCAGAGTTGCCAATGACTGGCACAAAACGCAAGTGCGCTTGCGCTACTACAACTCTCTCATTGGTAAAAAAAGGCGTTCATATTTGAAATACTTTATTATTACATATAAGAAATAGTTTAGAAAACTGTGTGGAATCTCCTTGACTTTTTCACGAAAGCTCTTGCGGCAAGGTAATATTTGCCATAAGAGACTCCACAATATATATCTGTCATAATTCTCGTCAACTACCGCACCCTGCTCTAATGAAAATTTAGTGACTTTTTAGTAACTTTTAATTTTAACTAGAATTTTACTAAATTTTCACTAGAACAGGGTGCGGTAGTTGACATAGAATTATGACGACGAATGGGACATTTGGGATCTGAAATCATAGGGAATTATGGGGAAACTGATCCCGTTGCGTCAGCCATCTTGATTTTTTATCTCTTTCTTCTACATATATTTTAAAAAGGATGAAACGAAAAATGGCTGACACGACGAGGTCGTCACCAGATGGCGTATCGCAGTATTTCAGATCCCAATAGCATCTTTCCATTAAAAGAGGTTCTACAATAGGTGCAAAAGGCAAGTAAAAGTCCAAGAAAACCATGAGTGCAAGAAAGATAGATAGATAGTCTAGCAATCTCTCTTGCACTTGTAGTTTTTTTGGACTTGCACTTGCCTTCTGCACTTATTGTAGAACCACCTTAATAGACCTTTTCATGCTCATCATTCTGTCCTCTTCCAACTCATGCGTCATTGTTCGTGCTAGATAAGGACAGAACAATCAGTATGAAAAGGTCTATTTTAATGATTAATACACAGCCCGTAAATTTTGTCCAACACGGTTGGATAATTAACCTTTTTCAATAAGTTGTTCTCCCACCAAGTTTTTTGGACCTTTTGAACGTCATAACAATTGCATTACAGTGAACTGCAGTTTACTATACGGGTCCTGGGTTTCTTGTGAATTTTTGGAAAAATTTTTTTGTTTAGGAAAAATAAAGTCATTCTTTTGTGATCAAAACAAAAGTGGGTGACACTCTTTAAACTATTTTTCAAATCTTGAAATAGTTTTACTTTAACAGTTGATAATGACAAAAAAATGAGTTGAAATTTTTAGAATGACATTGATCAATCTCGATTAAAGTGTCAATGATACGAAAAATATAGCAGATGCGAATTGGAAAAATGCTCCATCTAGAAGTTATAAACTTTGCCTTCCATATTACAGTGAAAGTGGAAAAATATATTTACTATTAGAATATATAAAAAAAATGCTAATTCGCAGTTATACACAGTGCCAAATTTAATTGTCAAATAGTAATGATGACGTTACTGTTACTAATAGTAACAAACAGGAGCAATAAATGGTACATATTTACGCTTTTATTTAAAATATAAATTATTTAAAAATTTCTTTTATTGTATTTTTTTGACAGATTTATATAATTGTGGGGGTTTTGTCAAAAATAAATAAATAAGTAACATTTCTTTGTTATTAATTATAAAAAAATTTGGTATCTGTTAATGATCAATGGACATTTTGAAACAATTTCTAGATCTGTCTTTGTTCTTGTAATATTCGTTATATTTTCCAATATTTTCTTTGTGTATAACCTTTTAAGGATATCATTGCAAATTTGTTTGGAATTATTGATTTTTCTGAACTGTTATGATTTTCTCGAGATTAATGTTATCAGAGAATTTGATTTATCGGTAATTAGGAACATTATTAATCACCAGACACTTATATCGAAAGAAATTTTGAAATATTTCCATGAAAAAATATTTGTTGGTTTAAAAAGAGACTGCGATCTAACATAAAAATAATTATAATTAATTTATTTAAAAAAAATATAAATAAAATCTGAAATCATTTTTTTATTACGACTGGAACAGAAAAAAAAAATGGTGTTTTATTTTTTAAATTTATGATTAGGATTAAGTAGCACAGCTATATAATATAAAATATAATAATTATTAAAATTATTAAATAATTACAGTGCAGGTGCCGATAAAATAAGCAACATTGATTAGGGGATGCCTAGTCTACATTCGCTCGTCGTACGACGAGCTCATCCCATGGATATGGGGACTGGCACTAGTTCTGTGACAACTGTTAATCATACGTCAAATAAAAATATTAATGTTCAAAAAAAATCGGATAAAAATAAAATAATGGGTGTTAAAATACCGCTAGTAAGAAAAGAATCTAGCGCTGTGAATTTATCATTAATGGAAAAAACATCCCGTAAAGCTGCTGAAACATTATTATTGAGACCTGAAAGTAGTGCAAGTCTTGAGCCACGTGGTGGTAGTTGGATAAGTTTAGGTCCTGGTGCATTAAGAAAATGTGAAACAGCAATGGGATTAAGTAGTTTGGCATTAGAAGGCTTACGACCCATTAATCGTAGTCGTGTTTGTTCTCGTTGTTCTAGTTTACTTTCTCTAGCTTCAAGTTCGCGTTATAGTTTAGCAGCGGGAAATTTTGTCCCAACATCTATTACAGCCGCCGCATCACAACAAACGGTGGGACGTCTTTTTTGTAAATTATGCCTGAATGAAGTTTCTTTAAATAAAACATTTACCATTGAAGATTGTGGATGCTCTTATTGTAAAGAGGTAATTTTGATTGTTCAATTTAAATCATAACATTTTTCTTACTGTAAGTAAATTTTTATATTATTAATTACAATTTTTTACTTTCATTTATATTCTAGTATTTTATTTAATCAGCTATTTATAAATTCCAGTCTTTTTCTCTCTTGATCTTCAGTTTTGTTATGTAAATTTTAGCTTATTCTTATGCATAAATGCGAATTTGCGCGTTTGAAATTAGAATTTTAAAAATATCTCTGCTTCAAGTTGAACAAAAAATGAAAATCAAAAACATGTCACATTTATTAAGATCTCATCAAAAGTTTGTTTATTTTTTATCATGAAAAAAATTAATAAAACAAAAGTGTAATTCTAATTTTACACTTATAGATATTTGTGAATAAAATAGAAATTTTGTCCAAAAAAATGTTTAAATTTCAGTGCATGAGTGCATATCTTGAATTTGAAATTGAAGAAGGAGCATATGAAATAAGCTGTCCGGATGCAAAATGTGAACATGAGGGAATACTTTCCTTAAAGGATATATCGACTATTGTTTCTGTAGAACTAATGGAGAAGCATCATAAATTTCGTCTTAATAGAGGTTTATTTTTTTACAAAAAATATATTTTACTGAAATTGGAAAACCATTTTTTTATGATTATGTAAAATATTTTGAAAAATGTCTACCTTCAGATGTGTCAATGGATAAGGAACGAGCATGGTGTCCACGAGCAGGTTGCGAGACAATTTGCTCATTAAACGGTGGTGGCGGAGGTGGAAGCTCAAATGGAAACACGTCTCATGGCCCTGTACATTGTCCTAATTGTTCAACAGACTTTTGTTCAATTTGCCGTGAACCTTGGCACAGTGGACCATGTTCAGATGTTTCCCTAGGTATACCATTTGACAGTGATCATATAAAATGCTGTCCCATGTGTTCAGTTCCAATTGAAAAAGATGAAGGTTGTGCCCAAATGATGTGCAAGAGATGTAAACACGTTTTTTGTTGGTACTGCTTAGCATCTTTAGATGTGAGTAGCAAATAATCTAAATTGATTAAATTAAATTAAATTAAATTTTTTAACAAAAAAATTTACCAAAATTTTCTACAAGCATTTTTTTAAGTCCATTTAAAAATAGACCTTGAAAAAATCTTTTTTTTACTTTTACAGGATGACTACTTATTGCGACATTATGATAAAGGACCATGTAAAAATAAACTTGGACATTCTCGAGCATCAGTGATATGGCATAGAACTCAAGTTATTGGAATATTTGCTGGTTTTGGATTACTTCTTCTTGTTGCTTCGCCATTACTCTTACTTGCTTCACCCTGTATAGTATGTTGTAAATGTCGTGTTTGTGGTTCATCACGACTTGATCAAGAAGAAAGTTCACATGAAGACACAACTGCTGGTACATAAAGAAGAAAAAAAGGAAAAAACATTCAAGTCAAGTAATTTATATTATTAAATATATGCTTTCTTTTGTAAATCTAAGTCCACTCGGGAAAATAAGATTCCATTATTATTATTTTTTTCATTACTTATAATTGTTTACGCATTTAACAGATATTTTCCTTAATATATATAATAATAATAATAATAATAATAATAATAATTATTATTATTATTATTATTATTATTATTATTTGATGAAATGAAACACAATTGTTTTTCTTTTCTAATAAGTGGATCAAACTTATAGAATTATATATACATAAATATTAATTTGAGTCAATTTCGTGGGAAAGAAAGACGTTTTTGCAATTATTTTTTCCGTGGCTGTCTTTAATGTATTGCTCAAAAAAGGTGTGAGGGCACATTTTAGATCATGAAAAGCTAACCAAACCAGTTTCTACACGAGCCTACACTTTGATCTGAGAGAATTAAACTCTGATTTTATTTATTTGAACAAATATTTAATTTGTAACTAGTTATTTTATTTTATCTATTTTTACAAATTTTTCCTCGATTTTGACATTTTTATTTTAACATAACGAACTAACAAAAAAATAAAACGATAATTATTTCGATTTTATTTCTCAACGATTGAAGTGTAATATGCCTTACAATGGTCTAAAAAAAAGGTAGTTTGAATTTAAAAAAAAATTAAACTGTGCAATTACATATTTCTTAAGATAAGAAACAAGGCATTTTTTTTTGTTCTTAAATTTTATTTTAATATTCAGGGATTGCATAGGGCTGTTATTATATATATCGATGAACTGTTTTGCAATTTGCATTAGTTCTGTTACCAAAAAAATATATATATATATATATATATATATATATATATATATATATATATATATATATAAATTGTTTTTCTAACTACAAGTACTCAACAGCTCTGCACAATCCTATAATATAAGGATTAAGAAATGGAGGGAGATATGTTATTATTACCTTTCAGGAATTCACAAGATATTGTGTGATCTTTCCTAATTAATATGTGTGTATACGTATATCGAGAGTGTAGTTGTAAAACGTCGATTTGTAAAAATATCATATGTCGATTATTTTCCTCTGATGATTTTTAAATTTTTGTCACGTACCTATTCAAATATGTAATTATAGAAATAAGTTTCTATGATATGTGACAAAGTATTTTATCAGTTTACAGATTTGAATGACTTTGTAATGATTATATATATAATTTTTTTTTTTTTGAGCGCACGTATCTCCTTCTAAATAGTATTTAAAATATACATATGAAAATGGTATAGAATTAACTTTCCAAACGTGAAATTTAAATAAAATGAAATTAACATATTACATACATAGTTAGGAATTGATTAGTTTCCGGTGATTACGACTTAAGTTACAGCAATTCAATTGCACCCGAATTTCGTATTATATTTACATTCTTAAGAAATTAGTCTTTTTGATGAGTCAATTTTTAAAAAAATTTATTCAAAATCATTTGAAAATTATTTGTACTTAACATTTTTATTGTTATTTTTCGAAATGTTTGTTGACAAAAATTCATTAAATTTAAAAAATTTGTAAATAAGGTAGAAATTTTTTGAAAATCGTCACCAAAAAGTATAATCCTTTAAAATCCCTCGAGTTATAATACATTGTGATTATGTCAACTGTAATCGAAACATTTTATAAAAATCTCAGTCTAGTTTGTAAAAACTATAAATAACAATATGAGTAGATTTTTTTGAAATAGCAAAACAAAACTCACAGTTTCTTATTATTGTTGTGAGAAAATATTTTTAAATTAAATATGGTCATATAAATGCACTTAGAAGCGTTATAAAATGTATAAAATTATTCGTACTATTTACTATATTATAAGATAATATCGACAAGAAAGATCATTCAACATGAAAAATTGGAATATGTAAATAAAAAAAAAAAAAAGATTTATGAGTTATTAAACGAAAAAAATGAGAGAAAAGAAACAATAGATTTTCAGTTGTATTGATGATGATTTAAAAAAGAATTGAGAATGTCTTCTAAATAATTAATTTTTATTATTGGGAAATATATTATATTTAAGGGTGTTGTAAACAAAAAAAATTGTTTTAAGTTTAGCTAAATAATTACATAATTACATGTATTTAACATGTAAAATAATATCAAATTCTACTCCATAAATTTGTATAAATAAGATTTTGTAAGATTTCTTTTCGACATACTCGTATTTCAAATAAAAAAATATCGATTTTTTTCTTGTGGAAAAAGAAAAATGTAAATGAACATAGACTTAAAATGGCGTATAGGAGATTAAAAAACTTACAATACATACTTCCACTTCTAAAACAGATAAATTGTTGTTGTCAAGTATTGTTTATATTTAATATTATTGTGATTATCTCCTAAAATATGAAGAGCGTTTTATTTAAAAAAAATTTCTATATATTATAAAATCCTTCTCGATAACCTTAGAGAAAACTAAAAAAAATAAATAAATACAGAAAAATTTATATTTAAATAGATTATTGATTTTTTGTGAATCTCTATTACTATATTTGTGAAAGAATTTTGGATCTTTTTGAAATTAAAATATGATATAGGTATAATTGTATATACTATATTATATTGTTGATTTATATTGACATAATTAAAAATCTTTTCCTTTACTAAAGACATCTTTCCAGTAATAATAACAATAATAATATTATTATTATATAATATAAATTATTTATTATTACTACTATTATTTATAATATTGAACAATGATCTACTATTAGAAGATCAGTAAAAACATAATTATAACAAATCGTATAAAATTAAACAAAGCAAAGAAATTATAATGTTATAAACCTCTCTTGAAATAAATATTGTTAATTATATAATATATATTGTAATGCATCATTATACAATAGAACATTGGAAATTGTGATGTAGAACAATCTAGTGTTATAATATTATCGCAGCACAATTCTAGAAAAAAACCATGCAGTTAAAAATTATGTTCAATTAAGGTAAAATATTAAAGAATTAAAAATATTTTACAATTGCAAAATTATTTATATGGAGAAATTAAAATTTAAAATATATATGTATATATAATATATTCGAAATAGTTATAGAGTGTTTAAAGAGAAAATTTTACATCTATTATATTTCAAAAATCTCACACAATTGTTAAAAAGCCCTTAAGGTTATTAAGAAGGATTAAACTAATTGTAAATGTATACAACAATCGAAACGTTTGACTTACTATAAAATAAAAAAAAAAAATTTAAATGTCTAATTTGTGTTTCATTTTCGAACAAAAAATACTATTTATTTGAAAATTAAAAAATAATAACACTGAAAAATCGAATTCAAAAATAAGACTAGAATGAATCGATTGAAAAATAAATTAAACAATGGAATCTAAAATTTCAATTTAGAAATAAAAATTTAAAGTATATATTATTACATATATATTACTTACTATGTATTGTTTTTAATTAATATATAATTTTACTTTAAGATGTTATTTAAGTACTTAAATGTTAATTACCAAAAAATGTAAATGAAACAAAATTAAATTTGTGTTTAATCATTATTACAATTATTACAACCTTTTTCCATATCATACACATGTTTAAACATATTTGTACACTAGTATTTTTATAAATAATTAATTTATTCTACAGTTATAAAAATTAATTCAAATTATTATTTTATTGTTATCCATTCATTGACTAAAATCTTACACGGCAACGAGAATCTTATAATTATACTTATGGATATTATTATGCAGCATTTAACACATCGCCTGCTATTTTTTTAAGTTCTACTTAAAAATCCATTCGTACTTTTTTTGTTTTTTAAATTCTTTGAAAAAAAATTTCATCTTCCATTATTATTTAATTTATTTCGACTATTTTTTCTTCTTTTTCTATAGAAACATTTAGAAATGAAGCAACAATATTTTCTCTATATTGCAACTTAATTAATAAATATTCAACATAAAAAAATCACGTTTAAACATACAAAAACTCAAATCATTCAGTCCATTATTTAAATATAAAAATTAGAGATAAATATTAAGAAGACTGCTTTATTATTGTTGAGAGAATAATTCTAGAATGAATCGTTTCTTCTTTTCATTATTATTATTTTTTTTTTCCTACAAAGAAATATTCCCTGGTAAGCTATACTGTCCAAGTCTGGAATGTGAATCGACGGCTCGAACAGCAAAGTAATAATTGTTGCCCGCAGAAAACTAAAACCATAATAGATTATTTTTCACTTATAATCTTTCTTTTATCGATTGATAAATTTTAGGAAAGGTGTAAATTACAGTTAGATTTAAATTAAGACCTTTTCTTAGGAATTTCGATTTCTATTTTGATAGGAAAAAAAATTCTAAACTATTAATAATTTTGATTTTGTTCATTATTCTAATTGATAGATAATTTTTTTTTAAATAAAAAGAACTTACTTGAGTTAATGTACACGCCATTGGCAACGGTAGCGCCATAACATCGCCAACTTTCTTCCAAAGCAATGTACTAGGTGGCGTACCATTTACTTCCTGATACGCAAATAATTGATAACTAACTATCTCCGCATGCTTATCAGATAGCGTCATATTCCAAGACAATACGATTCCTGTATTGTGAAAAAAGATAATAAAAAAATTAACATTTTTGCAGAAAATGTTAGAATTTTTTTTAAAAGATTTATTTCCTACCGGAAGTGACTTTTGAGATCTTAAGCGAAGGGGCAGGAGGAGGTAATTTCCAATTTGGATTATTATCACATGGTCCAGAATCTGGTAAAGGTGCTGGATGCTGTAACACACATTTTTAAATAATAATAATAATAATAATAATAATTAAAAATTATTCCATCATTAAAGGCGCTGGTACACTTCACAAATTATGAGTATACTTGGAATTTGTCAGAGGTTTCACTAATTTTGATTGGCTTTGCTTATAGAGAATTTTGAAAATTTCCAATCTTTTGTAAATTCTCTATGAGCAAAGTCAATAAAAATTAGTAAAACTTTTGACAAATTCCGAGTATACTCAGAATTTGTGAGGTGTACAAGCGCCTTAAGAATATTTAAATTTTATATTTACATTGACTGGTAGTTTATTAGTACAATTATTAATTTACAAACCTTGGTTATTTGAGCATTTACAGTGGCTTGCGTCGTTACAAGTCTTAAAGTGCCATTTGCAGAAGTTGGAATTCCATTGGCTATTGAGAAAAAAAGATAAGATTATAATTTATGGAATTTAAATTGAAATATTGTAAATTTTTCTAAAAAGAACATACCTGTTTTATAGGTAATTGTCGAAAATTGATTCCTATTACTGTTATTAGCATTTTGTCTTATCTGAAATAAAGAAAATATTTTCTGTTCTATACATATATCATATAATTAAGAATCCCTTTAAATAACGAATATTTTTCGAGTTAAAAATAATTTTCTATTCCTATTATTTTAATAAAAAACTTAATTTACTGAGTATTGATAAACTCACCGAATTAGGATTGGTTATCAATATTTGTCTTGGTTGTCCGCCACTTTGCATTACAAACATTCTGGACGCATTTATATTATTCTAGAAAAAATATTCTGTATTATTTTACATATCTGTTATGTAGTTATGAACTTGCTAAAATATTCTATTAAGAAAAAAAAAAAATTCGTTTCAACTTTTAATTATACATTATATTTATTTATTCTACATAGTTCTTGTCTTCCGGTTTAGAATATTTTTCCGGCACACTTCTTTCATACAGATCAATTTTAATAAAAGTAAATAGCAAATAAATTAATTTTACTTTATATAAACTATGATTCGATTGGAAATTAAAACTTATTGAGAACTATTTGTTATTTTGAGTAAATGATAAGAAAAATATTATAAATATGATATAAAGAAATTCTTAATAAATATAAATACAAACCACTAAGGCAGTAGGCGTTGTTTGACTATTAGGCTGAACTACCCTGATATTAGCCGTTTGACCTGAGAGTGCAACACTCGTTGGAATTGCTTGGATAACTCTTTGATAGTGTGACGTTGCATTGCTTTGTATAATATTCCCTCGTGGATGATTTGATATAATAGTTGCAGTTGTCACAGCAATCGGAGTATTAACAGTAGCTGTAAATATTATTTACAAAAATCAATTTTTCAAAAATATCTTTAAAAAATGGTATTGAGTGAATTATTTTCAACTCACTTTTTGTTTTTTCCTCTTCATCCGTAAGATCAATAAGATCATTATTGGCCTTTTGCTTTTGAACAGTAATTGGAGCTGTGGTTGAAACTCGATTTCCGTTAAGAATAACAGCTTGTTGAGCCTGTTGGAGTCCTTGTATCATATTTAATTTCTAAAATAAAATTTTGTTTATTATTATTAACATTAACTTGATGCTGATAACTGTGTGACAGTTTCGGCATAGTACTTTTCAATTAATTTATTTATTAAATAGGAAAAAAAATGAAATTAATTAATATTCAACTTACATTTGGTGAACGAATATTCACATTTGATATAACTGGCTGTTGTGCATTAATTGTTTGAAGTGGTCCAGGCATTGTGCGAGTATGCGGTTCAATTGTTTTTGTCGTTGAAACTAAAGCAGCAGGTGTAACTGGATTTGTAATATTTGGAGGTGAAATTTTAGCTTGTTGCGGAATATTAGTTAACGGTGGCACTTGTACAGTGGATGGAATATTTTCACTTCGTCTAGGCGATCGTACTTTTATACCTTTTCGCGGATTTGGTGTACCAACATCATTAGACGATGAAGTTGATGATGAATTTGACATTGTAGCAGATTTTGCATTTTGTTGAATTTGTCGCATATTCTGCATTCCATGATCCTGAAAATAGTTTTATAAATTATTTTTTCTAAATTCTTTAACAATAATATTTGTGTATTTTCTTTAAAAAATATTCTTTCTTTTTAGGAACTTAGAATTTTCTCAAAAATTGAGTATTTTACTTACCGATATAAAATTAACTTGCAATCCAACAGATCGATTAATTTTTATTGGAGCAATAAATTTATCATTAGACGAACTTCTATCAGCAGCATTACGCTTGAGAACCATTTCAAAATCCTGAATTTGTTTAGCAAGCTGTTGACATCTAGCTCGTGTGGCTTCCTGACTTTTTTCTGATAAACGCGCTTGTTCTCGCAATTTACCAATTTCACTAGCCATTGTAATAGTTTCAACTATCTTTTGAATGAGTAATTCTTCTAATTCCTGTATGTGTTCAATAATTTTTTTTTTTTTTTTTTAATAAAAACATTCAAATTTAAATTAATTTTTTCAATGTACTTTAGTCACTTACCTCCTGTTTTAATTTCTTCAATTTTCCTTTTATGTCACGCTGGAAAAATTTACGCACATTGACAAGATTTCTAATAGATTCTTGATCCTTTGTTTTCTTTATATCTTTTATATCTTTTGTATCTTTTACATCTTTTACATCTTTTACATCTTTTACATCTTTTACATCTTTTACATCTTTTACATCTTTTACATCTTTTACATCTTTTACATCTTTTACACCTATTACATCTTTTTTGAATGGGAAGAGAGATTCATTAGACGATTTTTTCGGTGAATCAATTGTCATTTTTAATTTTTTAACAGTGACTTGTCTGGTTAATGAATCTATTTCATTATCAGTGTCCTCATCATCACCGAGATTTCGTTTCAACGATGAAGGTGACAGGGAAGCAGGTACATTAACAAGGTGCTTTGTTTTTTTGTAATTAACACTGACATATTTTCCCGAATCGTCACTATCAGCTTCGCTGTCACTTTTTAAGAATTTCGTTTTAATAATTTCTTCAGCATTTTTTGCTGTTTTTCTTTTTTGTCGAACATTTGTTTCACCTACGATTATTAAAATAAAATGTTTTAATTGTAAATTTTTAGATAATAAAAGTAATAAACAAAATTATAATAATTATTATTTCTTCAATTTTAATAAAAAGGAATGCATAACCTCATAACTGACATTTTTTAAAATTTGAGACAATTCTCTACAATATTTAATAATGAAATTAAGATTTTAAGATATTTATACATAAATTTAATTTTTAGATTATAAAATATCCTATCTTCTTTTTACCTCCTTCAAAAATATCTGCTTCAGATTCGTATTTATACTTAAATATTAAATTCATTTTCATAAATTTTTGACTTTAAAAACAAACTGAAGTTGGTTACATATTTAAACTTAATTGGCGTAATTGCATTCTTTAAAAAATATTAAACTTCTTTTTCTTTTACGCTTCATTATTTTCCGCAAAATGTAAACATAAAATCATCTTTTAATGATCAAAAAATAAAAACGATTATACCGCTTACCTTCTTTACTTCCCACTAAAGATGTTTTAGGTGCAAATAATGTGTCATCAGTTTGTGATTTGAGTCTTAAATAATTTTCTTCCTTCTTCTCATTGTTTGAACTGTCTTTCATTGTGATATCTGTTGATTCAATTTTTTCACTAGAATTATCAACATCAGATGTTTTTGACGATTCCACTTCCATTTCCTTATCCAATTTTGGAGGTTCTTGATTATCATCAATAATCATTTTCTCATCTTCAACACCAATAATCTCTTTGACTTGTTCAATATTTGATTCTAATTTTTCAGTCAACTCTTTAATTTCTTCGCGAGCATCATTATCTTTTAATTCGATATCATTTTGATTTACTTTTTCTTTCGTTGTTACAACGGCTGTTTCTGAATTACTTTCATCCTCCTCGCTTATTTTTATTTCAACATCGTTACTATTACTTATATCATTACTAATATCGTAATTAATATCGTTACTAATGTCATTGCTAACGTCATTGCTAGCGTCGTTTAATTTATCACTACTATCATCCATAATTATATCACTTTTTTTCACAAGTAATGAATCATAAAGACGATTTGTATATTTATTGCCTTTCGTGTCACATGTCTCTTTGGGGGTTTCATTTGGATGACAGGCATTATCATCAAAATTCATTTTTTCAACATCTTGCGAAACATTATCTTTCTCTTCGACAATATTATTCTTTGTGGATGAAACAATAGATTCGGATGATTCAACCGTTAAATTTGAATTTTCGTCTTCATCATTATTATCATTTTTATCGGAATTATCATCTATTGGTTCTTTTGTTTCTTTGATTGGTTTATTTTCAGTAATAATTGAAGGATCATATGGAGTTGTATCTTCATCCATTGGTTGGAATGAACATTTTTCTGAAGCATTACCAATATCTTTATTATCATTATCATGTTGATCAATGTCCTGAGGATTATTATCATCATTGACAGGGGGAATATCATTTTCACAAGGATTGTTGTCATCATGTGTATTATTTTCAGAATCAATATCATCAGTATCACCATCAGCACCTTGAGATAATTGTAATTTTATACTTTCACTATCAAGCAAATCATCTTGCACAATTTGTTCGACTTTCTTCATTTCTTCAGCGATACGGGAAGCTTCCATACTTGCTATTTCTTCGAGACATTGATAAACTTTTGGTAAATTATCCAATGTCGATCCAGAATCTTCGTTTAAACAAATTGATGAAGATTGAATATTTTCTTCATTGCTTTCAATTTTCTGTTTAATTTTCAACGATATTTCTTTTTCTTTTTCTTCTTTGCCTTGATTATCATTGTCCTTCTCTGGTAAGTCTTCCTCACCTGTGCTTGCATGGTGAATGATCATATCTTCACTATTTTCAATATCGTCATTTGTACACAAATTCTTTTCATCAGTCTTTAATGTTTTTTCCGAAATTTTGTTATCTAATTCTTTAAGATTATCATTATTATTACTAGTACCGATAACACAAGAAGATTCTTCCTGAGAATCTTCATCCCGTATGAAATTTGTTGTGTTCACTTCTTTAGTATTAGAAGTGTATTCTGTTGTATTTTCGTTTGTAACTACATTCTCTACTTGTGATTTTGATCTTTCTTCATCTAAATTTAATGAATTTAAAAGATCATTCTGAATAGGTTCTGCAGTCTTAAGAGTTGAATCAGTGATACAATCATTGATATTTTCCTTTTCATTATCATTCTTTGCATTTGAATGTAATTCATTGGAATTGTTATCATCATCATCATTATCTTCAGTATTGTTGACATTTTTATCTGATTTTTCTTCCGATTCTTCAGATTCTAATTTTTTTTCTGAATTTTTCTTATTAATATTATTCAAATCATTATCACAAGTAAAATCAGGATCAGAATCAACTAATTTTAATGACGATGATAAGTCGTTTTTTTCCTTTTGTCTATCGCCTGATTTCGATTTAAAATTATAAGACGAATGATGTTTGCCTGATCCTCTTACCCTATTATAATGTTTATATTGATTATAATATCTGTTATCTGTTAAATCGGAAGAATTATAATTACTATTTGGATAATATCTTTGATGCGATGGCAGTGGCGGACGATTATTGAATCCCATTCGCATACGATGATTTGATGGATTCCATCGATTTTCATACATTGATCTAATAGAATTTGGATAAAATCTCGGATCGTTTCCATTCATGATTGTATCTTCTGTGTTTTGTTGATCATGTGCAATTTCTGTTGAACTAACGCTTTCCGATACGTTTAAATCATCAGTCAATTGGCTTTTATTGAAATTTTCTTCAGAATTCACCTTCTTCTCACTTGATGTTTCTTGTTTGAAATCAGAATTTGCTTCCAATAAATATGATTCTTTTTCTTCTTCACTTGTAGTGGCAAATCCTTCTTCGTGTGTTCTGTACTTCTTCTCTGTAACCATACATATACATAACAATTTTTATCGGTGTTTTCAAAAAAGTAGAAAAAAAAGTTTTCTTCTCTACTTTAATACTGTAATCTTAAATATAAATTTATCTCATTTTCTTGAGATTAATAAATTATAAATGTATATGTTAAATGCTACATGTAATTTTATATCAATTTATAATTTTAAAAAACCTGACAATCCGATATACATAGTTATGAAAATTTGAAAATAAAAATTTCTTGAATCAAAATGCAAACTTTGTTATTATGTTTTAAAAATAAAAATACAATAGTTGTAATAAATATAAATGATTGCATTTTATGATATATTATTTATTTATTATTCATTTTGAAGATTGATAATAACGTATTGAATATAAAAAATTAGACAACAGTATGACAAATTTAACTTAACGTTGAGTTTAACAACACGTTGAATATTACCATACTGTAAGGTAGTCTTTCACATTTTAAACTCGTTTTTTAAAATAATTCATTTTCACCACCTTTATGTAAAATAAAATAAAATTTTAAAAATGCAATTAAAAAATAAATCGAATATTTCAACTTTATGATATTGCAAATATTTCTATAATTTAAACAATAATTTGGCTATAGTTATATTTTTGAATTAACTATTGAACTAGTTGTTTCAGTGAATAAAATAGCAGTAGCATTATTTATACATATACTAATTAAATAGCATGTCTAACAAAAATCATTTAATTGACTCAGAAATAATAATTATTGGATACTAATAAATATTTATTTGATAATAATCAAATATTCAATTATTTAAATCAAATAAATTTTTTACAGTGTATAGGGTCTCATAAGCAACATATATTCATAAATTATAATATTCTGTTTAGCAACAATAGTTAAACCAATATAAAATTTTTTAGCATTTGTCATCTTTTCGTAATTAAAGAAAACATTTGCCAGATCCCAAAGAATCAGTGATTTGGATTATTCTCAATTTTTGATAAAATCAGAGAAAAATATCTGCCTACATTTATTCATATCTGCAAATTTTATAATTTGTATATGCAGTATTAAGGCATAGATTTCAAACATTTTTGAAGAACTGAAATATTTTTTAGATCTCCAGGTCTATGGAACATATTTGCATGAAATATAAATTTAATAAAGACACGTGTTAAAAATCTCATATTAAATAAACAATATGAAAATAATTTTGAAAATAAGGCAATTTTTCAAAAACGTACAAAAAAAATAACGTAGAGAGAAGAGATGTCAATACTTGAATATTAAAATTCATGTAAAAAAACAACTTTAATACACATCTCTTTTACGCATAAATAATTATTCCATTCGAATATATATATATATATATATTATATTAACGTTGATTAATGTTCGGATCTGTAATCATTATAAACATCTTACCCTTATAAGATTCTTCTTCCTTTAGTTGTCGTTTATAAATATATTCAGACGAATCAACATCATCCTGTTCAATATCGTCGTCATCAGACAATTTTAAACGTAAACTATCATCAGAAAGTGCTTCATCTTCATCAATATCCTCATCGCATGTTGTTAATCCATCATTTAAAAGTTCTTCCTCTCTTTCCTTTGTTATAATATTTGAATCATGAAGATCAGTACTTAATAATGAGCAAATCTTTTTTGATTTGGTAGAAGGAAGTATGTCAATTTTTGTCTCCATTTCACCAAAGACGAATGTAAAAAAAATATCACAGGGATCCTATTTCATCCATTATTCTGCGAAGAACCAAAGTATATTTTTTCGTTTTTTTCTCATTTTGTTGTTTTTTTTACTTAAAATAAAACTTTTTTTAAAGAATACGAATATATACATATATATATATATATCTATCATTGAAACCAGGGATGAAAATAAATTTGAACCGTAACCAAGAATGAAGACACATTGAGAATCATCTCAAAACTAGAAAAATTAATCATTATAGGGACATTGAGAATTTTGAAGATTATTTTCTTATTTAGAACTTAGTACCATTTGGAGTGAAAAATAATTTTAATCTTAAAATTTCTATAGACATAAAAAAATTCGTTTTCCTTCCTGATTGTATGTTTGAGTAACTGTTTTTTTTTAGAAAAAAGAAATTTCATAAAATGAAAAAACATCAACTTTAGATGAAGAAAAGAGTCTCACATATTTAGAGAAATTTCTTTTTGTCTAAGTATTATTACTTTATGTATATTAGGTATTATGAACATAAAGTAATAAATATAGTAAAATCGTGCAAAATAACTTAAAAATTAAATTTCACCATAACCAATGATTCCACTTCAATAATTAAGTGAAGTTTTACTGACAATTAATCAGCAAATGAACCATTGTGTTATTTTAAGGTAATTATTTTTTAGATTGTGCTTCTATAACAAGGACACAACAGAAAAGACAAACAATTTATTACAAATTGTTTAAAAAAAAAGATAATTAAACTTTTAAGAGAAATAAATAATTATTTCAATGAAATATAAAAAAAATAATACAACGCATTGCTAAAACACTTAAAAGTCAATGAAGAAAACCTGAAGAACTAACCTTTCACATTATGTAAGTAATCAAGTTGACGTTAATTTTTTAATATTGCACCCTCAAAAAATTCCTTGATTAGAGAGAGGTTTCATAAACCACGATCTTCTTGTAAAAGTGCCTTCTTCTTCTTCTTCTTCTTCGAAATGACTTTCGGATTTACTCACTGTCAGAAGAAAGCTTTTCAAGTTGGATTTAAAATTCCCAATTCTTTCTATTGTTATATAGATTTGAAACGTGACTCATCTTTGAACAGTGCCAAAACCCGTAACATTCATTTCATAATCCCTTCATTTAAAATTTTGTAGCATTAGTTTTGGGTTGAGCTGATGTTTTCAAAGAAGTCCCTTCGAAGTATTTCGAGTTATGGCCCTGGAATTGCAAATAAGCTAATAAGTACTTGCAATTATTGATATTTTACTTCGTGAAAAGTTTTAGTTTTTTTTCTTAAAGTAGCATTTGTATTTTCTTTTTTAATTTACAACCGATTTTTGTTCTGATGCATTTCAGTGGCATTACAAATTCTAAAATAGAAATAGATTTCTTAAATAATATATTCTCTTCTGTGTGCACCTAACTAAATAGTAAAAAAAATTATAAATGCAAATATCAAATTTTTGTTCAGTTATTTTTCGTGAAACCTTTCGTAGATCCGCTCAGATATTAAGGTAATAACAAATTTTATTAAGTTTAAAAAAATTATTAAGTTGACTATAAAAAAAACTTTTGCTTAAAATGGATAATTTCCCCCTCTAAAATCTTGCCTGATACCAGAGCCATATCTTCGAGAATTTTCTTTCCTTTTCTTTTTTTATTGTATTAAAATTAAGAAAATGAAAAATATGTTCTAAAACAGTAGATTGAATTTAACAATACAAAAATTTTGAAAAATGCCTCATTTTCAAATGTGTCTAATGGTAAGTATGATAATTTAATGCTTTAATGACTAATTCTTTCCTAGGATACGATCGTTAAAAAAACAACATTTTGTTGATAAAGTTATTATCCTAATGCATTACCTTGCATCAACCCTTTAAAATCTAATAACATGTTCTAAATTACCAGTGATAGTTATTCGTATCAGTAGATTAAATAATATAATTGTTTAACAACAAAAAAATCAAACTACAACAAAAGAAATGTTGTGATGATGCTTCTTTTAGATATATATTATTCAGATTTTTTGTTCAAGAATATTAATAATTATTTAGTTATGCTTGTCTTATTCATGCATATTTTTTTTAATACTAATTAATTTGTTACTACACCCAGAGAAATGTTTTATTTGAACCAAATATAATATATTTGAGTTAAATAAACAAATATTTGTCTCACAACCTACTAGCCTATTTATTTGGCGTAAATATAAAAATTTTTATTTAAATTAAATAAAAATTTATTTGAATTAAATAAATATTTATTAGGCTGTGAGACAAATATATCATTTCTTTGGTTGTAAATACAAATATTATATAGTCCAGATTCCTATAAGATTTTAGCTATTAAAAAAAAACATATATCAGTATCACCTATATTTCTTTACACCGGTAGTGCTTCAAATATTTAATATTGAAAACATTTTAATGTTTTCAAGAGTTATTTTTGAATTAATAAAAGGAAAAAAAAATAAAAAACATATCGAATTTCAGTTCCAATATTTCAGTTCTCAAAAATATTCGTGTTTGTTTGTATATATAATTATATATTATTAGTGAAAAAAATGGTTTTCTATTTTATTTTTAGAGTTAAAGATATTCTATGCCTATACTATATTGTTAAGAAAATTATCAAAAATTATATTATATATCACAGAGAGAAATAGATGGTACGGGGTACTATCTAGATAGTACCAGGTACCATATTTGATCTTACATATACGAACAGCAATCTAGATTCTATCAGTTACTATCCAGATTGTACGGGGTAACATCATGATTGTAATGGGTAACATAACCATACTTTTTGTAACATCTTTGATAGTACCGAGTAGCATAACGATAGTACCGGATAACATCTACTTTTTACCATCTTAAGATCATAAATTCTTACCATCTATTTCTCTCTGTGTAAATTCAAATTAAGTTAAAAGTTTAAAATGTCAGAAAATCATCAAAAATTATTATAAATTCAAATTAAGTTAAAAGTTTAAAATGTCTCATTTTCTATACCATATCATATATGATCATAATATATGTCAATACTTCCACATAATTTTTTTAAACATATATATGTGACGCTTTACGGTGAAAGGGACCTATTAGCTGTATTAATATAAGAGTTAATGTTCTTTGTGTATTTTGACTTTAAAATTCACAAACATAACCTAAAATTGTTTTAAAGCTAAAGTCCTTTTCATCTTAAAGCGTCACATACATAAAGAGAGAGAGAGAGATAGAGAAAGAAAGAAAGAAAAAAAGAAAGTGAAAGAGAGTGAGAGAGAGAGAGATTATTATTAAAATTATTATTTTCTAAGAAGAGGATTTTTATTTTGGAAAGCATACTCAATAATAGTTGCCTTTTCAGGAATATTTTATTTAAACTTTATGCATCAAATTAAACCTTGTTTAATTTACTTAACCAAATTAATATGGATTTTACAAATAATTCTGAATTTAAATAATATACGCTAACGATTTTGTAATGTAAAATATCCGCCTTACGAGAATATTATAAAGTAATACATATTTAAGATAATATTGATTTTTCAACATATCCAATATATATATATATATATATATATATATATATTGGATATGTGTGTGTGTGTAGATATCAAAGCTAGGTCAGTCTACAATTATTAAAGTTTATTGCGCAGTGATAAATACCAAAGAAAACTACTGCGCAGCATTTTATTCTAAAACCCAGCCAATCAAAAAATGCTCAGAGCATAATCGGAGCGTCTGTATAGAAAGTTCCCCGTATTTGTTCGATTAAGGATATTTGAGTGTTGAATTTTTTGTGGTTTAAGGGTCCTTATTTCAAACAAATATGAACCTACACTGAAAAAACGATATTCTAGATTTAAGAACGCCTACTTAAATAGGAGCCACAAATATTCCCCACTTAAAGTAAGTGGGAAATATTCTTACAATAAGTAATATATTCTTATTGTAAGAATATTTGCCACTTACTTCAAGTGGGGAATATTCGTGGCTCCTATTTAAGTAGGTATTCTTAGATCTAGAATATCGTTTTCTCAGTGTAGATAATGGTTATTTTTTAAATATAATATAATGGACTATACTGATATATTACCGAGTAAGTTTACCGAAATATTACCCATATATTATTTCCAACATTTAATGTAACATTTAGGTAAATATAGATGAAAATAAAATACTATTTATTGTCTAATTGGACTCTTTAACTAACCTAACTTCTAAAGTTATATATATATATGTTATCGTCAAAAACTCACCCTTCAGAAAATTATTAATAAGCATTTATAATCATACATGTAATTAACTCTATTTTCACAGTATATTCAGTCTCAAGTACCATTGAAACTTATTTACTTTAACAAAAAAAAAAAAATTTTAAAGTAGATAATTTCCTGATCTTCACTAATTTAACAGGCATAAAATACGACTGCAAGAGAGTAGCAAGGTACAATTGGAAGGAGAATGAGTACAAAATGTTAGTACGAGATGGCGTCAGTCTAAAATACTAAGGGAATGCGATGCTATTTATATTTCGAACATCTCTGGATATATCATAGCTAACATTTCTTAATGTCTGAAGCAAATTACTAACTTTGGTATAACTTTTACATTAATTTTTCTTCTTAAATTTAGAAAAATTTCTCTAATAATCACTTCAATTCAGTTTTAATGTTAGAAATAACAAAAATTCATAAACGTTCAATTGAAAAACAATAAAATATTATAAAAAATAATAATAATATAATAATATTATTTTCTTATAGAGTCGATACTAAATTTAAATTACAGTTTTAGACGTATATATGCCTGCACATTTGTCCTTCTCTAACCCACGTGTTGCCATGACATTGCTCTAAAATTTTTAAATGCATGATATTGACTTTCATTTCAAAAGCAAACTTGTACTTAAAATCAGACTTTAGCTGAAGACTTTAGCCTGAAAACATTTTTAGTTGAAAAAACTTTTAAATTCTAGTCGCATTTCCTAGGAGCAAGATAAGTGATATTAAATTTTGTTATTTTAACTGCCCCACGTTATCAATAATGTGATGCATTGAAACGCCTGTATAGATGACTTATATAGCGACAATTTGTCGATTCTATAGAATTTTTTCCATGCATATGTTCAAAATGGCGTTTATTAAAATGACAAACTTAAAATTTATGTAAAAATTTGGATATATAAATCATTGAAAAAAAGAAAGATTGTTTACAGTAATTCAGTATTTTCACTGGTTATTTTACTCACTTTTATAACACTACACTGAGAAAAAAGATTGGTTGGGATGACCATTTTTAGTTAGTAAATTATACTGCTGCTAATTTATTAGTTGGTTTAACTAATTAGTTTGTTGGAATAACTATTTAAATAGTTACCTTACTAATGAAATGTTAATAGTAACTAATATAAATTAGTAACAATACTCTTACTAACGAAATGGTAATCACAACCAATCGTTTCTATCAGTGTATAATCATATAACTTGCTGAAAATTCCTTTAAGGATTTCTTACAGGTCTCCTATGTGGTATTCTATAATTAGAAACTCATAAATAAGATCACACACGGAAAAAAATTTGTTGTAGCGAAAACAACAAAAAGTCAGCTGTTTGTGAATACTTCAAATGCGATTTTTAGATGGTGCTAGAGATACTGTTGATAACACAGCAAATTTTTTTCCGTTCACATAGCATATATATTTTTAATTCTCTTTATAAATTTTGGAAATTGGATGATGAACCTTTTATATATAACAATCTATAAAGGCCCCAGTGTCATTTCTCGTAAAGGAATATATGATTAATTACTTATATAAATAATCAGGGTGTCTAACAAGGATTGACAAAAAAATTCCCTGACTTTTCCCTGACTTTTTAATAATCTTATTTCTGCTTTCTTTGGACAAAAATATGGTTACTGACATATTTAACAATAAATTAATTTCTAATGGTAGTAACAAAAGGTAATAAAAAACATTCAAGTTTTTTTAGATTAAAAAATTTTTAAATTCACAAAAAATTTTAATTTTTGTAGAAATTTACAGAAATTTCCCTGACTTTGAATGAAATGTTCTGAAATTCCCTGACTTTTCCATGACATTTCCCTGACCAACAAAATTCCCTGACTTTCCCTGACCGTTAGACACCCTGATAATTTAGAGAATCTTACATATATATATATAGAGACCAGTAAGGAATTCTTTAAAAAAATTTCCACCAAGGTAGAATATTCACTATATATAGTAAAAAATCATCGTAATATGTACCTACATAAAAATACACGGAGAAAAATGATTTTGCTAGTATATGAATAGCGAAGTTTTAGCTCTGGTAGCTAATATTTAGCTGCTACAGCAAAACATGTTAGCTATGGAAGCTAATTATTAGCTGTATTAGCTAACAATAATTGCTATCCATATAATAGCAATTGGGGTTAGCTAAGGTAACTAAATTTTAGCTAAGATAGATAACTATTTTTCTTCGTGTACTTTAATCTTTATGATCATTTTGCAGTGTTTCCATATAAAATACAAAGCAAAAACTAAAAAAAACTCATTTTCAAAGATATATGCATATGTTCATATAAAGATATCAATATATGATGTATTCCACGCCAAAGTGAAAGTCCATCTGCAATTGCATCTCCGATTTTTTTAAGATTTTTTTTTCAAATTTTTTTAGCAAGCCGTTTTCGAGTTATGGAATTTTGAAAATTGGAGAATTTTCATGACTTTTAATTTTTGAATGCTCATAACTTCCTTAAAAATGCATCAATTTTAAAAGTTTTTTTTTCAAAATGTGTGTTTTTAAACGTACTTTTCAAAAAAAAATCGAAATTCTTTTAAAACGATATTACTATCAAATTTTTGAGTTTTAATGATAAAAAGTCATTTTTCTTATTTGACGTACTGATCAATTTTTTTCAAAATTTTTTCAAAAAAACTGCTTTTTTTACGAAACTTTTAAGCCTAGCCCGATAATGGGCAAACAATTTTTACAATATTTTCGGAATCAGATATAAAAAATTTATTTTAATAAGATCTATAACTTTTATTTGAACATTTTTATTTAATTTTGCATATTTTACCCAATAAACGAAAAAAACCATAAATTTTGTGACTTTTTAATGGTTTTCACCAAAAAAATCAAATTTTTGGGTATTGTCACTATGATTTTCGTAATCAGCGCATCAATATACATAAAAGTATGTAGTATAAAAAAAACCAAAAATATTTTTAAAAAATTCAAAATTCAAAAATTTTTGAAAAATTCCGAAAATATTGTAAAAATTGTTTGCCCATTTTGACTAATTATTCGACTGCGTCGATTCGTTCACTAAATGAATTAGTAACCGTTTCGACTAATTCTTAGTTAAAAATGACTAATTTAGATTTAGAGAATAGTACTGTACTACTTTTTCAAACTGTCATTATAATGTCAACCAAAGGTTTTTGTCTTAATACCTTAATCTTAACAATTTAAACAATTTTTAATTTTAACAATTTTAAAAATATGTATTATGTTAGGATCAATCCAACAACTATGTTAGAAGGTATAAAAGAAACCAATATTGTCGAATAATTGCCATTTAATGAGTTTCAATTCAGTAACCAACTTTTATCTATCTCAATTAGTAAAATGTCACTAATTAAGGTAGCCGAAAGTCTGTTACTGAGTGGTAATTAGTAAAAATTTCATAATGATTCAGATTAATGAAAGATTTAGGTTAATACACAATGCCTCGATACATACTTGGTTCCCTTATCATAAAACCAGTTTAAATTTTTTTTTAAATTTAACATAAGGAAGTTAGTAAAATAGCGTATTATTGAATCAAATAGAACGCTATAAAATACTCCATTTCTATTGGTTTATGTGGTTTATGATAAATATAGTTGCACGCGGTCAAAAAGCGGAACAACGAAACGAAGTGGGTAAAAATATGGCGTTAAAAGTCTATGACGTCATATGAACTACCAACATTTTATACAATGAAAAACAGTATGAATATAAGAAAATACTATGCGAGCAAAGTTCATTTTAAAAATACTATCAAAATTTATAGATGATACCGAAGTGATATTAATTTGTAATAATTTGATCTGATCGCTATATATATATATATATATATATATTAATATTTCTTTCTTGGTACATGTATCTAACATATAAAACATATATTTCTAATCCTATCTGTATTATTAAACTATTTTTAACACAGAATCATAAAAAAAATAAATTAAAATTGCAAACACATATGATATCTAAATGGAATTTAACTAAAATTCGAAAATACAAATAATTTTTTACTTGTAATAGAAATAATTTTTTTACAATGAAGAATAAATTATTAAATTAAAAAAAACAAAAACAAAAAGATCCGATTCGTTCGTTATAGGATCGATACGACCGCGTGAGGCCAGCACTGACGCCTCGTGTTGAAGATTTTATATTTAGAGACATTTTTTAAAACCTACAACTTCAATTTACAGAATCTCATTAAAAATGCCTACCCGTGGTTGATTCATTATCGTCGTATCATTTTTTTCTGTCTCCCATTGGTTGTTGATTAGAAACCAAACTGAATCCCACTCGAACCACTCAGTTTTCGTCCCTATATATGTATAAGCAAATAAATGAAGGCAAGGGAGCATCAACTATAGCAAAGCGTCAATGTGTTAGTAACTTCATGTATATGGATCGTTGCGCTTGACTCTACATTGTGAAAATATAACTGTAACTATGGAAACGGCGCGTGGTCAGAAGTATTATAAAAAATTACATTTCACTTTAAGTTACAGTTTGAAAGGTCGTCACATTTTTTAATAATTATTTAACGTACACTAAATAATATTGAATAAAGAAATGGCGCGTATACTTGAACACGGATAGTTTTATCGACAGGTTTGCTTGCTGAATGTACTGCACTGAAGTAACCCACCCCACAATGAATCCAGGCCCCGGGACGTAATATTGACGAAATAAGCCGAATGTTCACGAACTTACTACAAGATGTCGGTTTTGTCGCAGATTTACTTTGCAATCAATATATTAACTTTTGGGAAATTGATGATCTATTTCGATCGTTGTTTATTATAATGTAATTATATGAAAAATTTGAACAAGATCAATACGCAAAACCTATGCTCTATATACACTTCTTCTATATAATCTTTAATTTCTCAATGTCCTTATAAATGCAGTTAAGTGCAATAAAAATTTAAACAAAAAAACTAAAAAAATTTTAATTTATTTAACACACTGAGAAAAAGGGTACTATTGTTTCTACGTATTCAAATACGTTTAAAGATTTGTTATACTTATTTGATAATATTTAATTGATTTTATAGAAATATCACTATTATCGAAGAATCGCTAGTTTTCAATTAAAAAATTATGCATGTTATGAATTTTGTAAGATTGCTGCTAAATCACTGCTTCTTTAAGGATTTATTTAACCAGGTAGATAAAATAAAATATTTAGAAATAAAAAGATTAAGTTAAAGAAAAACAATTTTTTAAATATTGTTAACTCATTTCTTGCTATATTGACATCTACTTTAAAACAATAACTAGTAAGTAAAGCTTTGTTTGATTCTTAAATGGCAACATTGCTTTTCATCATTCATTTTGTAACTAAATTTATCAATATGCCAGATTCGCAATAAAGAAAAAAAAAAGATATAAAACATTTATAGGTTATGTTGATATACTTATATTTAGTTATTTCTCAAAAACATTAATTGATAACTGTTTGTATAATTCACAAAGAAAAATGAGTGCTATTACATGAATAGCCAATTTTTATCTCTGGTAGTTAATAATAAACTGCCGCAGCAAAACATGTTAGCTAAGGAAGCTAATTATTAGCTATATTAGCTAACAATAATTGCTATCTATATAATAGCAATCGGGGTTAGCTAAGGTAACTAAATTTTAGCTAAGATAGCTAACTATTTTCCTCCGTGTATATATAAAAATCGGTATTTTAATCTCCCCCCCCCCCAAAAATAAACAATGTGATACGATGTGACTTTCCGAACAAAATGCTAGTACAAGAGAGTCGATCTAGAAATAAATTACTTCGGGTATAACGGTTACACATATTAACTTTCCCCTCCCAGAAGCCTTTTCTTACTCGCAGAATAAATATTCACATGTTTAAAAATCCATTTAAATTTAAGATGAATTACTGTTTATAGTAATCTATCTCCAGTCATGTAAAACAGAACTAAAAACATATGGAGACACGTATTCATTTTGCATCATAACCTCAATATATTTATCCTGACCTATTTGTTAGTTTTGAAAACTTTTAAAAGTATTTATTTCATTTTCTTTAGAATTAAAAAAAACAAAAAATAATGTAATTTAATTGTTCTCTTTTAATATAATATAATTTATATTATATAATGAAGTACGCGTTACATATACAAAATTTTATCTTTTATTTTGTGAAATACTCAATAACGATTAAAAAAGATAGTGTTACGTGATCTAACTGTAAGTCAGCAAACTATTTGCAGGTTATGTTGCAAATAGCATTTATCCAAAACATCGTACGAGGGAGAATTTACTGATTAAAAAAGTGTAAACTTGACTGCCGTATTACGCTAATATTGAATATATTACTAACATTATTGTTGTTGTTATTACACTTATTACAAAATATTACTGTTTATTACAGATTCATTACAGGATATTACACTACCGTAATAAAGCATTATTACACAATTGATTACCTTATTAGTATAAATTCCTCCTCGACATTGTATTTCGGCATATATACCGAAACAAAAAGTCTATAACCCCATCAATTAAGCATGAATGTCCATTGCTACAGCATAACTAGGTAATGTTTTTGTTATTCCGTTTGAAAATAAATTATTTTACAGCGTTAGAGGCTGGAAAATATGAAATAGCGTTGAATGTGGTAAAATTAAATAGAAATTTATTTAGTAGTACTCAGTTCGGCAGGATTCAGAATGGACGCTAATTCCCCCCTCCCCCTAATCTTCATATACATTTATGAGTCATGTTATATTTTATAAAAGTAATAGTCAATTAACCTGCCCTCCCTCCCCCCTCAAATCGGAAGACCTTGATCCACCACTGCATCAGACTTAAAATTATACGTAGTAAATAAATATTAAATATTAACTCACCAAGTACATTCGCGAAGTACGTTGTGTTCAACTAAGTTCCCTAAAATGGCCGCTACTTTTTTATTGCGCTCTAAATTTCTGTAGGCTTCGTAGATGTCACCTAACCTAAAAAAGTAAAATTTTCATTTATTAATATTTGACAACAGATATAAATATAAAATTTATTTATCTTTAAATAATAACATTTTTATATTAATTATTAAACATTAAAATTATAATTCTCAAATGGTGATAAAATATACATATTTATACACTCACACTTGACTTTATTGTAATACAGTAAAAGAATACTAAATCAATTTACTAACATATGTTTTTAATGATGAAAAAAATCAAATTATTTAAATAATTCGTTAGTTCATAAACTTTGATATTATTATCTTCTGCCTGAGAAGACAATGTAACCTAACCCAACCTTGCCTAACCTAACTGCGCGCCCGAAGTGACCCGAGGTAACACGCAGATTATCTGCTTTTCTTTTGAGCGTCAGTAACAAGGCAATGTTGCCACATCTATTTCTCAAGATAGTCTTCAAATAGTGTCTTTATACTACTTATTGCAGAGTGTATTTTAATTCATATTAAAATATTACATTTTTTTGCAAGTTGTAACAAATTATTAAAATATTGATATTATTTTGAAAAATTAAGTTGCGCAATAGCTTCAGTCCCTACTTTATCGATTTAATTTAATACGCAGTAAGGCTAGTAAAGTCGATAAGAATGTACTCATCTCATATTAGAAGCCTAATGAGAAAAATTTTATTATATTTTGACGTAAAAGAAAATTCCTGAAAAGACAATATTCTTGTGACTTAAGTGGTTTAAGTATATATGAAATATTGGCTCGTATTTAGGAATAGAATTACATGCAATTTATTTTAAGAATATTCTTAAATCTTACAATGAGAAACAATTTTTAAATTAAGAAATATTCTTATTTTGAGAATAAAATGCGAACTGATTATTAGATTCTTAAATACGGGTGCCAGGATTATATATTCTTAAAATTAGAATAAATCGAATTTTAGCTGATAATTAGATGACTTATAACATTGAAAATCAATTAATTATTAACCATCATACAATAATGAACATTTAATAAACAATGGTAGTTGTTTGTGTTCGTTTTGCGTGAGGACTGACTCTATACCAGTCAGGCAATTTTGCTTTTTATATGTAGCAATGAAACACGCAGGGACGCATTTAAAGAAGATTTAAAAAGAAGTAAAAGGATAATAGTCTACAGCCTTATGTGTCGCTTCACTAAATAAAAAAAGAAATCAATAAACAGGCGAATAATATTGAGGAAAATAAGGCTTATTAGTGGATTTCACAAATCTTTTTTTAAGATTAATTAAAGTTTATTGAATATTTTTCATATGTATATTTTATATAGTCGAGGAATCAAGTTTCTAAGTTATAGGTTAATCTAACAAAGAGGTATAGTAAAATTTACCGGAATAAAAATATTTCGTATCCTATTGGATTTCAGCGAATTTTAATAATCAAAGTTTGCTTAATTCAATTTTTTTTCAAACCTATATACAATAACTAAATATTTGATTAAAAAAACTTTTCTGGGATGCAATCAGTATCAGATTAGTAAACATATATAAAAAGAGTTTCTCTTTGCCATATTTTTATATAGTTTCTCTTTCTTATAATAACATTATTATAAAAATACCAATAAGATTCTTATCGATTAGTAAAAGTTACTTTGATTTACGTTTACTGTTTTTTTAGTTTCAAATATAGTTTTTTTAAACTTCTCAAATTTCAATGCAAAATTTCATATAAGTATACCAAAGAATTGACAAATTTTCACGGCCGCTATGGGAATCTATAATATAACTGAATCTGTGAAAAATATGGACAGATATTAGTTACAATACGGATTTTACAATCTGAATTGTATAGTTTACAATTCATTCATCATTTATAATATATTTTCTATAACTTAAACTTTTTGATGCGTTCCTTAAATTCAAATAATAAATGGTTGATTTATAACTACAAAAATAATTTGAGTGTGCGAAATATAAAATGATATATCTGCGTATAACCAATGGTTATAAAAAGCAAATAAGGTTGTAAAAATTGTCTTCATAACAATAGATTATTCCTCAAAACTATCAAAATCATATGAGAATCAGAAGTTGATAGATTCATTCATAAATATCAGTACTATAAATTACGGTAGAAATTAACACAGTAAGGACGGTAGAAATAAAAATCTTAAACGTCTATTCCTATTTTCGTTGGGATAATATTGGTAACTTTATTTAAATTTAAAATAAATAAATATACCTATAAGGAAATAGGAGCAGTAGTTGGCCCCTGACGGTCACCTTCAGTACTTTGAACTTAGTCATCACGCAGTTGATGATAAATATAAAAAAAGTCAAAGTTTTTTATTCGTTGTATAATTATTATTACAGAATAATAAATTCCAAATAAAAAACACAAAATGATAGGAACAAATCAATTTTTAATTCCATAACGTAAAAAATGATGAAACTTTTATTTAATCGTGACTTATGTAGGTACCACGAAATTGCATAAAATTGTGCAAATTGTTTTCATTGAAATGCCCAAATGTATAACAACCAAATAGAATACCTATCAATGTTTTTCACAAATAAGAGTGATGTAAAAATTAACTGATAGTTTAGTAAAATTTGAATTATATAATAAATACTGTTACGTCATAAATAACTTCAAATTTATTATTATTAATATTATTATAAACAAACTTGATCGATACCATCTATGAATTTTACTACAAAATTCAGTAAAATTTCTATATATAGGTACATATATTGAAGTTGGTATTTTTTGTTAAATTTTAAGAGGGAAATAATAAAGATAATTAAGAAAAATTGTTATTTATTGACTGTAAAGAGTAACAAAAAAAAAAAAAAAATTACGTACTGATTGGATAGGATTATTGTATACTTCAAATCATGCGCAGATATCACTCTTGAGTTCAACGCGCAGATTTCGATGATGCAATTAAAGTCCCATATTATAGCAGACTACAAATTATTATTTTTATAATCAAAGAATTATTTTTATTGAAAAATTAATTTTTCATGAACATTGTTATCTTATTATTTATATTCTCGGAATTCAATATGGAATAATATCATCTTATTATGATGAATTTATGGTAGAATTTATAAAAATTTTAAGTTAGAGAACCGCATTCATATTATATATATATATATATATATATATATATATATAGTTGTTTTTTTCTGTTAACATTAGCTAGAAACATTAGAAATACACAAACATATTAGAAAAACTAAATGAAAAATATTTTTTTTTTTACTTAAAAATACTATAACCCCCTCCTCTTTTTCACAATCTCAGTCATAACCTCTAAATTATACTCATATACTTTAAAATGTATGTCGATAAAAATTAATTTAATAATTACATTTTGAGCCTTTCATATAATAAGTTTTTTATCTCACCAATAAATACGTATAAAACATTATAGGTTTAATATATCAAATTATTTGTATGTATATTTTTTGGACTCACCGGACTGATACGTGTTATATACGTATTTATCACAGAGGTTACACAATATAAAATATTCTAAAAATTTCTAATTTTATAATTATAATATATGATGACTATATAATTAAATTAAATTTATAATATTTTCTTTTTAGATCTGACAACGAAACACGCTATATAAGTACATTCCAGAGTGCACCATGTTAACTTTAAGATTTCATAACACAGCGTTGCCATATTTATGAATAGTTCAGCGTTACTTCTAAAAATTTGTTATAAATCTTCATTGAAAATAATAAAATTATTGAAAAGTATTATATATTGGTAAACTAATGAAAATAATTATTCAAACTATTATTATACATATATCTATATATTATATAATAATAGTTAGAAAAATATAATTATCATTTTATTATAATCTTATTGGCAACACTGTAAAAAGTTTAATAAAGAGGGGGAGCTATATATACTTAGGATCAACAATATGGTGGTCAGAGACAAAGAAAACTATCATATGGATTTATTGAATTATTCTACTGCGAATTAAATTACTTTGTATAATAAATCTTTGATCGATTTTACCATTTTGGTGTGAGTATTTTTTAAAAATCGGAAAAATTAAGTAGTTTTAAGATATAATTTGGTATTGTCCTTGTCCCAGTCAAACCGTCCAACTGATATCCACTTTAAATTCGATAACAAAAATGAAATTAAGTACAAAATTATTTTACTTTATCAAAAAAGAAATGATTAAAAATTTATTATGGAAAGTAAAAGTGGAACAACGACACTATATTCTTCTCTATAAAAAGAATATATATATATATATATATATATATATATATATATATTCAAATTTATGTAGCATTAAGTGAAATGTAAAAAATATTAAGTAAAAAGAAATATAATTTATAATCAATCTTTATTAAAAGTTTGTAACAATTTGTTTAACAATCCTTTCTGCTCTATATTCATGATACTCCAAAGTTCTCCCTCTAATTCCAATAAAGCCTGATAATCACGAGATTGACATGCTAAAACTAAAGATTGCAATAATAACATTTCATTTTCGTCCATTCTGAATCCTGTAACAAATAATTTAAAGTTAATAACAATTATAATTATTTTTTTTCTTACTATTAATAATTAAATAATTATTATTACTCTACCAATATTAGAATTTTCTTCTATCCAGGCATATTTTTCCAAAACTTGAGCTTGTGAATGAGATAATCTTTGTGGAGTTGGTTGTAATATTAACAGTAATAATACTCTGGTCATTTCACATCTGTAGAGATAAAAATTTATGAAAAATCTTTTTGTTTTTGTACAAGAAAAATGTTTATTAAAACTATTAAAACCTTTGTAAAATTGACATATAACTTCCAGATGTTCTTACGCTGACATTATTAGCCGTTAGAAATTCGACCAATTCTGTTAAGACATGAAGAGCACCGGCATAATCATCTGAGCAGTAAATTAATTAAATATTAAAATGTCATCGATACAATATTAATTACAATTTCGATAGGTAACAATTTTTACCTTGCTTAATATAATATGATGAAAGTGTATTAATTGCCCGTAAAGTTGGATGAATTTCAACAGATTTACGTAAATTTGAAATGCCATTAATATCTAAAGCAGATGCTAATTCCATTGCAAGACTTGCAGACATCATACTAAAACCTTCTTGACTTTGACAACGTGTTAACGCATGTCCAAAACAATTTATTGCGGCCTATAAAATATTTTTACCATAAAAAAAAATTACAATAAGTAACACTAGAATTTGGAAAAAAAAATTCTGACCTGCAAATTCTCTTCTCCTGAATAAGAACATCCAATTTGATTATTTTTATTTTTAGCGATAATAAATGATCGTCCTGCTTTTGTTAAGAAATTTATTTCTGCCAATACATTTCCTAATGTGCCTTGACAACGTGCAGCTGCTAACCAACACAGGCCAGCATATTGACATAATTCTTTTTGATCACATTCAATGGCTAAATTGTCTATAAATGTTTTTCCAAAAATTTAATTAATTTTATTTTAAAATTACAATTTTTTAAATTAAAACAATTCTATTTCTTATTTGATATAATACAAAAATTATATTAAAAATTGGAGGAAAAAAACTTACCAAATTGTTCACTAGCTTCTGTGACATTTGGTTTTCTTAAAAATCGTCTAAAAATATTATAAATTTATACAATGCTAATTATGTGTAAATTGAAAGGACAAACAAAAATCCAGGCATTATTTTTTTTAGTATAACAAAATTTTTTTTGAAAATCATATACAATGATTCACTAATATATTTATTAATATTAATATTATACTTACTTCTTCAATTTTGCAGATATTACGTGATATTTTGTTAAAAGATCATTATGATAATCACTATTGCCAATACTGTGAATTTGATTAGCCATTTTTCTAATATAAGCGATTTAAAAAAGCATCTCTATTTTACACTGAAATGCTGAACACTCTAGCATAATTTTTCACCAATATATATAAACTTGATAATAATTCAATGACATAAATTCTAGTTGAATTACTTTTAAGAATAACTTGAGAAATCACGTTTTGCTTTTTTTATAAAAAAAAGAATACTGGTCATATTCCGGGATATGAAATAATGGAAATATGAAGATGCATAAAGTGCACAAAAAGGTTAAGTTCGGTTGGATATTATGATAAATATATGTGATTAAAATATAATATATATTTGCTGCTAAAAAGTAGAACAAATATTCACGTCATTCATAAGACTTTTGGAAAATTATAACATAACCTAGACTATAATTTTAAAATAATTCATTAACACTTACCATTTCACTGATTTGTTCAGTTCTTTTTACACTTATTTCATTAAATTTAAAATAAATGTTTATAAATGCACTAAACATGACAACTACACTTAAAAAAAACCAAAAAATATATGAATTAAAAGAATGAAATACCTCTTTTTTATTGCGCCAAAAATTAAACTAACGACTTTTTTCACAGGGTTCGGCAGGCAGGTCATCGTAACATCCGAAATGTTACTAGTCACTCCTTTTATTGGACAAATTAAGAAATATATAGGTCTGTTCTTTTATAACTTCATACTTCCCGCCAAAATTCAACTACTACCAAAGCCTGCCCTGAGTTTGTTAAGGCTGTTCTACAAAAATACTTTCTTTACTTAAACTTGTCCAATTGCATACAAGAACATTTGTCCAGTGGCATATTTGAGTAGTTACCACCACGTGGAAAACGACAAAAACCGGTTTTAAATTAATGTGTAATAAATGTTGGAAAGTTTTATTTCCTTATTGAAGACATTTTTATGAATATTGAATATTAATTAAAAGTGTCTTCAGAGAAAATAAGTTGCAATAATAAAGTGAGTGGTGATAATGATAATATTGAATGAATCAGTGACGGTCAGTGGGAGAAGAAGAAAAAAGTAAAATATAGTGGGGCGAAGTCACACGACGCATGTTCAGCTTCAATTCAACACAGGTGACTGTATTCAATAGGCATTTGCACAGTGCTGCAGAAAGACACGTTGGTTGATTATAGTTTGCATAATCAAGTGCAATTATTCATGACATTGTCAGCTGATTATACTGTGTTAATCAGTGAATTTTATATACATATATGTGACATGTTAATACTTTATATGTGCCGTGTTGATTGTAGCTAGTCAGTGTTAAGTTTTATAATATGTATACCACGAATTCGAACGATCTTCAAGAGATATTTAGCTCTGTAAGGAAAGGTAAGCTTATTCTATAACAAGTGGTTTTTATCGTAACAATTTTAATTCAAGGACAACATTGTCATTAAATAATGTTATTCTTTGTTTTCTTTTTAATCACTGTTCTTGAAAAAATATATGTGATATATATGTTTTTAAAAAGAATTGTTATTCAATTTTTTCAAAAAATTATTTCTAAATTGATTATTTAATTGTAAATTGATTATTTATAAAAAACATCAGGATAATTCTGGATCAGTCCACTATTGATTCTTTAAATCCTGAAAAGTATTCTCGAAATTCATTCATAAAGGGTTGAAATGTGAAAGAGTAAAATTTTCCAGTTATAGATGAATTTATTTTTCAGTGTATTTGAAGAAACGGTCTAAAGGACCAAGCATAGGGAGCAGAAGTAGTTTTTTCTTGTGAGTAAAGTAAACGAGTAAAAAAATTATCTTTTGGGATGAGATGGTATAGAGGGTTAAAACAGCTTCCTTGGAAAATGGTGCATGCGCGAGATTTCATAAGATTTATACATCTTGCTTTATTACTAACCCACACTTTTGTTTTTCACTTATTTGTAAACTATAAAACCATTCGGTCAGATAATTATAAGTAAATATCTTACAGAATATCGCAGCATATAATATCATAAAATTGTCATTTATTTCATATCTTTTTATGACTAATTTGCAATTCTTAGCACAATAAAGGAAAATTAGTTTTTACTTTTTCCATTTTATATATTTTATTTTCTCTAATTTGAAATAATAATAAAAAATAAAAAAGTCATAAATTTAAGTAAAAAGTTAGTTTGGAATAAATAGGTTTCTTAATCAAATTAATAAGTCAACAATAATTGCCTTCGGGTACACAAATGAGCCAAAAGTTTTGAACGTTCATGTGAACGAAATTCGTTTTGCTACTTCTTTAAGTACGAATTTTATTACAAAATATTGTTTAAAATATCTAAAAAGAAGTTATTAATTTAATAATTGTTTAATTTACTGTTTTATTTTACATGGTCATCATAATTTTTAATAATTTATAGATTGAAAAAAATATTTCGTTCATATGAACGTTCAGAACTTTCGGCTCATGTACACAATGTATTTTTTTTTATAATGATGATGACAAATAGAATTTTTAACTATACACAGTGATAAAGAATTACTTTTTAAAAAAAAATTGATGCATAACAAATTTTCTCTGACATCTATACGGTTTTCACATTTACTTAAATCGTAAAAAACTATTTAGAAATAAATAGAATAAACTAAAAGTTGTAATGAAATTCTTCAATGCTACAGCAGTTGAAATTAATTTTAAGACAGTTATAAAAAAAAATTAACTAATAAGCGACCACCCAAGTGTTACTAACAAAGTAAAACCGTTATTTTAGGTTGACGTTTATTTATTGAGACCTTAGGCAAAAACTATTTTTAAAAAACCATAAAATATTAATAATAATGGTTGAATTTAATTTATGAAACTTTTTACCTACTTTATCTCATTGTCACTAATTTTTTTTTCATTCAAATAAAATTCAATATAAATATAAATAAATAAAATGTATAAAAAATCACGTACTAATCATAAACAAATTATGGTAAAAAAATAAATGTATAATATAATCGACATTCACACATGAACTAACTTTACCTGCTTTTCTTATGGTCATTTTTAAAACTTATTTTACTAATCTAAATTTGTTTATTATTATTATTTTTCTTTATGATATTATATGGCTCAGTTATGTTTTTTTAACTTTCTTTATAGATGTACATGTAGTATAATAGTTGACAAATTGATTCATAGAAGCTTATGAAAAAATAATTTCCTTGAAGCTTCTACATAAATTTAGTAGGTGTGGTATACATATATTGATTTTAAGGGTGCTATCGCCGAATTTTATATCAAAACACATTATGATGTCATCAAAATAGGTATTACAATTTTATGAGCTTAAGTTTATTTATCAAATTTTTTTCTTTTCATTCAAATAATTTCCTAATTTTTATATTTTTTTTTATTCTTTGTATATATTTTTTTTTCTTGCTATATAAATTATATATACATACTGAGTTTTCACACGTGGTTTAAATATTTATTCGCATACCTTCATATATAGATAAGAAAATCAAATAGTATGAGATTTTTTTTTATTCTGTTTTATGATACACATTATTAAGTTGAGAATTTTTTTTTCTCATCTCTTACAATGAAGGAACTTTTCTTTCTTTCTTCACGGTTCAAATCCATTGTAAAATAATCTCTCTTGTGTTCTTTGCAATTGTGTTGGCAGACTACACTGAGACGCACAATAGCTCACATGTAAAATTGCCTCATATTTTCAATGTTGTAAAATTACACGCGGTGAAAATCTTGATATAAAATTGAAACTGATGATATGTATTTTAAATAATAATTTAATATTTTTGAATTTGTATAAAATATTTTTCTTTTTTCGTATAGAAAAAATAGTTGAAAACCAAAGGCTTTGTAAAACGTACATTTATTTACACTTATTAAATGTATGGAGAAGCTTCAAAGTAGCCTTTCACAGACAACAGGAAATAAATTGTAAAATAAACAGTAAATCTATTAAAATAAATAAAATACATTAATAATTTCAATTATAAATTCAATATGGTTCCTGTTAACTTTCAATTAACATTTTTTTGAGAAATTCAATAATATTCAAAGTAGTAAAGATTAAAATGTAACCTATTTCCGGAATTTTAAATCTATAAATTATACATAAATGTTACCTTTTTTTCATATTATTAAAATTGAATTAAAATAGCATTTTGGCTTTCTCATAAAGGAAGTACTTTTTTAAAAAAGTTTATTAATTAACTATTAATTAATAATAAAATTCTATTAAAATTTGTCAAAAAAAAATTATTTTATTATTTTTCACAAACAAAATTGTAAATAATTAATTTTTAGAAAAATTATAATTGAATTATATGTGAAGCAGTCTTTCACACTCAATTGATTTTATCAGTTATATACTTATACATTGATAGCATAATATGTAATAGAAATAATTATAATTAGTATATCTTTAAAGTGTATAATATGAACTACTGGGATTTTTTAACAGTATTACAGATTAACTCAATTGCATTATCTCAACATATTTTTCGCATATGAATGATTACTGAACATATTAATCTCTCTCTAATATGTAGGTATTACACGGTCGGAATTAATTACGTATATACTAAGCAAATAACATTTGTTTAATACTTGAAATTTCTATAATGTATATTATTATTATTATTATTATTATTATTATTAATATTATTTCTAAAGAAAAGTAAATCAAAATATGAATAATTTATATTATTTGTTTGTTTTGTCATAATTTTAATAATAATTATTTATAATTGATACAGATTGCGGACAGTTAAAGTTGGCAGATCTATATGGGGCAATGCGTATCTCGTAAAGCGGGGGCTGTCATCGCAGCATCCGGCTACTCACCATCTTATAGAATCATGGACAAGCCCACCAAGAATCAGGTAACTGTTTATTATTAGTAATCTTAATAATTTACTCTTATTGCCTACCCTGTACTCTATCCATTAATATACACTTCATTTAAAGCCTGCTTAAAAAAATATGCATATATTTATTTTATTGTTTATGGAACAATACATATTTTACATTCGTCCATAACGGGAAAATAAAACATTTATATTTATTATTTTTTTACTTGAAAACAGGATATTGTTGAAAGATTATGCGCAAAAGATGACTTCCTTTTTTGAGAAAAGAAAAAGAAGAGAAATTTCTATACGAATAAATCAGTTATAATTTCATGCTATATACTATAAATAATCAGTTTGACATTATCTTATCTAGTGTCAAATACTTAATCTATACACGTGCAATGAATAATTAAATTTATCTAGTTATTAAGATAACGCGGTGAAAAAAAATAATTATTGTTTCATATAAATTTTATTTGCGCTAAATTACATTTTTATATTTGAAACATATAAATAGTTCTTTAGCTCGGAGACAAATATAATTTTATCTAATTTAAATTTAGTTTGAATAAAAAATTTCTCTTTATTCGTTAGTCAAAAATTCCTGTGACAATTTGTCGAATTATGACATGATTTTTAAATAATCGAATTTTGAATATATTCTTAGTCTCACTCAATCACAGGTATCCTTCTGAATAGATATATAACTTGATGTAATTATATTCTGACCACAGAAAAAAAAACTCCGTTATAAAACTCTCACTCTTTCCTTTACATTATTATAAATGAAACGTATTCTTTTTTTTATTTGATAATAATCAAATATTTTACAGTAAAAAAAATTAGCTACAACAGCTAAGTCGATTGCTATATGTATATGGATAGCTGTAATTATTAACTGTGGTAACTAATAATTAGCTGTGAAAGTAAATTATTGGAACTAAAAATTATTTCTGATTTTAAATTTAATAGCAAACAAGTTAGCAAAAAATTTTTTCTCCTTATATGATAAAATAATAAAAAGATAAAAATTCTTCTATTCTTTTTTACTTTCATTGAATTAAATTTCTGAAATGAATTTTCAATATGTTATTTATATTAAAAAAAAGAATATCTTTGAAATATTATTTTTTTCTTAATACTTTTAAAGATGAATTTGAGTCATATTCTTATGGTATGACCGCAACATAAAACCTTTAACTCTCAAGGTGTACTTGTTTTTTGACAATAAAAAAAATGTGTTTTCTTGCGGTAAATTTTCCCATAAAACTGCCTTAATAAATTATTCTCTGATCAAACCCCAAACGTGGGCGTTTATTATATACATCAACTTGTATTTTACTATTTAAAAATAAAAGAAAAAAATCTCTATGAATGTTATATATTTTCACGCACACATTTTTTTATTTATCAAAGAAAACATTCTTTTAATCATTATGAATTTATTAAAAATTTACAACACATTGAAAATATAATTTTCGATTTTTTGTTAAAATTTTATAATTTTCATATTTTTCATATTTTTTCATTTCATACTTTTATTTGATTTGAGTATTAAAAAAATAATAATACACATTTCCATTTAAAATAATTTGTCATGTTTTATATTCTATTATTCGGTCTCTTCTTGTTTTACTTAATTATTTAGAAATAAATAATATTGATTTCAGTCTCACTTATATTCATTTTATTGCAAAATTCTTTTAAGTCATTATATTCTAAATTATCTAGATCGACAAGATATATTCTCGTAGAAAGATCAAGTTCCCAACTTTCACTGTTTATCATTTATTATAAATCTGTTATAAAGTTCATATTAATGTAAAAAGATGTTTTCTCGATAATCTTTCAATTATGACGCTAAAAAAATTATGTTTTATTTAAACCAATTTTTTATTTTTTACAAAAAAAATGTATAAAATTTATTTAAAAATAAATTATTATTTTCAAGTAAAGTCTTGTTGATTTTTCTCGGGAGATAAAAAAATAGATAACTCTCACTGAAGTGCGAATTTCGTGTTGTCTTTGATAAAAAAAAGAATTATATGAAAGAAATTGAGAGGTTTAATTAGATCTTTTTGCAATGTATTAGTGTATATACGTGTGCGGTATAAAATCACCGATGCATGTTATAAGATCGGAATGCAAATCCGTAGGAAGTTCATTAATCAAACGGTGTATTTTCTTGTGTACAATGTGATAGTTAAGAATTTTATATGTATATATTGTATACAATAATAATGAAAGCCGGTAATAATGACCTGACTCTACGCCATTTCTAGCAAAATATATATATATATATACATTCTTCTTTTTTCACACGTGGTTTCATATATACTTTCTCGAGCAAGTTACTGCCAAATTGGCACGGAAGTTTAATATGGTATAATAATAAAATGTTTTTTGTTACCTTTTTTTTCATCAACATTCAAGAAAAGATTCACTATCTTATTAGCCGCAAATTATTCATATAAACATTTGAACCGCATATTTATTTTTGGACAAAAAATTTGAAAGTTTCAACAAATGTTTTTATACAAAATTTATACATATGGGGAGAAAAAAAATATGCCATATAAAAACTGATTTAGTATTTGAAAATTTTTTTCTTCTGTAATATTGTTATATATAGATTTTTCTGTAGAATTTTTAAATTCACCTATAAATTTCGCTTTTTTCTTTTATTGTACAAGACATTATTAAAAAGAAATGTTTTTTTAATTTCAGAAAAAAATCTTGATGATTTTGCTTCCGCACATATAATTGGCTAAGAAGAGAGAGAGAGGGGGGGGGGTGGATTTAATACGAAACATTTTTGTCGACTATATATCAACTGAAATAATGAGTATACTATTTTAAAGCGCACGTGATCGCGTGTTAATTTTCTTTGGAAATCAAATAGAATTTTGCCCTGGTCGCGCGCATATCTATTGAAATCGGTAAAGCAATCTTTCTTTATATGTCGAGATTGGACCATTCCGCGTGACTCTTCCTTCGAATGACCCGCTTTCGAGACTATACCACCTTAGGCCATATAAATGCGGATATACACCAAAGAGAAAATTTTTGCTGGTACTTTTATAGGCAAAGATGCGAACTGAGAGACAGGTTCTTCATGAATGTTCCTTCATTGATAATATCGAATCACAAATTATTTCTATTTAGAATATTTATGATAAATCGAAAAAAATATTAGTTGAATTCATGTTTCATTATATAATTTTTCTGATTTAAAATTCCAAATATTTATGTTCTGTGTGTACATAATTGTGTTACATGCTTGGAATATAAAAAGCAAATTTTAAAAATAGGATTTTATTTTTGCCTTTTTGTCATTTTACTTTCACATATATCGCATGCAATTGCCATAATGTCAAACAATTAGTTCAAGTAGATCAAGATACCTATGAGTATTTGGCTCATCAATTTAAATTCCTGTGTTTCCTAAAGAAAACACGTAGAAAGAAATCTTTATTTTATAGAATTCCAAATTGAATTTTCTAATAGTATAATTGACTTTTCAAAACAATTTTAGATTTAGAAAAAAAAAGTTGTGCGACTTGTAAAATACGTTGTTGAGAAACGTGATTTAGTAAGTGTGTTTTTAACTTGTCACTGTCAAAACACATTATTCTCCTTCTGTAAGCAGTTTTTTTAATATTCTTGATTTATGATGAAGAAAAATATAACATTTCTATAAATGGATAGAAATGATTAATTCCAGTGAAATTTCGTTCACTAATTTATACATTGATAGTATTTTTTTCGAAATTATGCGTTTAAAAAAAAGTCTTTTTAAACATTTTTCTGCAAGGACTGTTTACAGTTACAATATATCATTTTGTGCTCCTTGAATGTAGAAAGAGAAAGAGAGAATCGACTTATACGGAAGAATGTATTTGCACATGTATAAATGTTGAATTGGATGTGTATAATACGTCAGCTGATTACATGCACAACCTGAAGTTCACGCTCATAAGGTTCATCGGCCTTGTCGTGTCCTAATGGATATATATGTGAATCTACATTCTTGAACTTGAATTATTTTATTCATTTCTCTATATTAAATTATATATCTCATTTTTCTTTCTTTTTGAATTCGGCCTGTTTTTGATAATTTCTTGAAGTCCATTACATATTACAGTTATACAATTTAGAATTCTGAAAATTTCAGTTTTAACCAATTAGATAACTAATTAGGAAATAATTATATCTGTCCATCTTCATCTGAAAAGCTTTTTCTTAATTTCTATTGAAAATTTACATAATGAAAATTTTAGAAAGTATAATGTATAATTGCAGTGCAAGTCATTTGGTCAAATTAGGAAAGTTTTCTATAATCTTTTCAAATAATTTTTATTGTATGTATTGTATATAAAAAAATTAATGACCTTTGGCGATTCACGTTTTGCTATAAAACACCTTGGTCGAAAGGTTAATAAGAAACACGCTAATGCTTGAAATGTCATTCTTCTTTTGAATTTCTTGACTTGAACAACATCACGATCTTACTGATTTGATATACCGTTGTCGTGGGAAGAATATAATCTTCAAGGGAAAAAGTTCTTCTTTTTTGTAAATTATCATTTCGCAATATTTCACATTTTTATATTGAAAATTAATTAATTATACAATTAATTGTATTTTAATATAAATTCTAAATTGAAATAAAAATATTAATGAACTAATCAAAATTATGACGAGAAAGTACAGCCGCGAATTTCAATTAATTTTTCAACTGAAAATAATTTTTTTTTTAATGATTTGATGTTTGTATAAAATTGTTAAAAGTCTTGTTTATAATTAGTTTACATTCCACTTATTATCTATATACTTGATTCTTGCCGCATTGTTGAATCTATTCTATCATATTGTCATTCAACGCTCTTTAAGTGCTTTATCAACCTTATAGTTATATATATTCAAGTATATAATTTTAAGAATTACTTGAGAATTTTACTTCTCTCATTGTATTTCGAAATTGTCACGAAGGTTAGCCCAAAAAAAAGTTGATACTTTTTTACTATACCTTTTTGCGCATTTTTATATTCGACCTTTCTTTTATTTAAAAATATTTTTTACACATTGTTTTTCCTCTTTTTCTATGTCATACAATTAACCAAGATTGCAAGATATTTGGAAACGTATATAAAATTTTGCATATTGTACCATAAATTATTATTATTATTATTATTATTCTGCATTTTGAGTGTAAAGATAATATTTGCATATATGTATATTGCTTATTTGTTTTTTTATCTTTGTATCTTTTCGTTTTCTTTCTGTTTTTACTAAATGTATATAATAATGCATTCATGGTTCGTTACCATTAGAATGTACCAAATGTATGAACTTTCTCCAGATATATGCGTTTATGTAGTGAAGGGCTTCTTTTCAAAAATTTTATCCCAGAATCTCCGAAAAATAGAAAAATCATATTTATGTATATCTTCTCTAAATCTGAAAATGTAAAGTACAAATTTTATTTTTCATAATTTACTTACATTTTTACTAATTCAGAAAAAATCTACATTTTTAAAAATTATGTAAAAAAAATTTTACCAAGAAAGTTACTTTTAAGAAAAAATTTATCAATTTTTAAAAATGCTTTTTAAAAATCTAGACAACAGAATAAAATAAATTCGCATAAAAAAGATAAAGTAGAAATCTAGATTGAAAATATGCTTGCTACGTGCTGCGATCTTTTCTAGAGTTACAAGAACTTTTGCAGATAAATGTAGATTTCTACCCATTCATTTAATTTATAATAACTAAATTAAATTTGTTATTAAATAATAATTTCACTAAAATATATGATTAATTGATCTAAAATACTTAGATATTGTATATTATATAATAACTGCAAGAATTGGAAACAGTATATATTGCTTTTCTTTTTTTTAAATTCATAAAACAAAATTTTGAAACAAAAATCTCTTTTTTCGTCTTTTTTTTATAATTTTTAAAATACGTTTGCGAAAATTAGTTGAATATAACATTCTTCGTTATATTGATTCTTTTAGAGAACAATGAGTTACCGTCGATTCATCACTGATGCACAATACCTTTAGCACCCTTCTTCTTTACTTTTTTTGCAATTTTTTTTTTATATATATTTCGAGTCCCGATAACACTGCATGTAATACAAGATATTACATTTATATTACTATAAAAAATATTTTGTAAGGAAAATATTATTTTTTTTTACATAATACTATTTTTTGTCAGAATAGCGGAATGATTCAATTTGATACGAACCCCGCGAGAAAATTAATTTTAAATTCAATTTACGCCAACAAATTTTACATATTAATAAACTTAAATTATCAAGTTAATAATTAACTTAATAAATTACTTATTAAATTGATGTAATATTTTTTATTTATTTTTTTTGTCAATTTTATGAAAAAATTCAATTTATTTTCAAATTTTTAATTTTCAATTTATACAAAATATATAAATAATAAAAAAAGATATTTTGAAATATATATACATATAAAGTTATATGATGTAGTAAGAAAATAGAATTTTTATGAATGACATTCTCTTTCTTATATAGTAAAATAAAAGTAGCTCTTATATTAAGTGCGGTTGTGATGTCCCGCATTTAAAGGCAATAATTGTGCATATATACATATGTGTTGTCACCAAGATATACGTAATACATATGGTTGATGCTATATTTGTCGTTGCTTGCCCTGGAGGGAACATCATAAATGGAACCACTGAAGATGGGTTTTTGGCAAACGTTTATAAAAAAAATAAGAAACAGTAGTTTATTTTTGAAAGACGTAATAACAAATTACAAAATGAAAATACATTAAATATTATAAATTTCTCAGTTAATATTTTTCGAAAATTTACTTTTTATTTTCTTTTATTAATAAAATTGTTTTCATTTTTGTTGCAGTTTACATTAAAGTAGTTTGCCGAGTATCAAAAAAAAATTTCTAAATCAACATTGTTTATAAAAATTAAAAATTGATCTCTGCTCCGAAATAATTAAGAAACATCTGAAACAGATATTTTTTCATTTCAGATGAATATTTCGAAGATTGCAATTAATCAACTTCAGAAAATTTTCTTCATTGATTAATAAAATTGATTAAAAAAAATAAAAAATCGTTGATTAAGATATTAATTATAATTTTTTTTGTATCAAGGAGAGAAAACTTCGTGTCAAGTATCCATTCATTGTTTCTTTTTTTTTTTTTTTTTTTTTTTTATTTGCAATTATTGGATAATAAATGATTTTTCTTTTCTATACGGCACTGTGGTTTCAACCCACAGGATGAGTAGACAGGCTAGCGTCGCGACGCCGGCGCAAAGCTTTCGATCAATCTTCTCGTTTCTTCACTTGCATCAGAGTGAGGGTATCGGAGTGCCACTGAGAGGGCACGGCTGCACAGTGGTTCCTCAAATCATCAATTATTTTAAGAAAAAAAGAAAACGAATACCGGTTTATCACGATGTAACATCAACGTGACAGTATAATAATTTTATCTAACAGAAAATATGTTCTTCAATTCTTGTATAATTAGCAGCAAATTATACATTCATCAAACAAGAAAATCATTTTAAACGCAACATTTTAGAAATCGTGACATATTCTTCTTTTTGCATAAAAATTACTAGTGCGTAGTTTTAGTAGAGTAGTAGAGTGAAAAAAAGGAAATCTTGAAATTTGCAAAAACATGCATCTTATTGGATGATTTTGATTTGATTGTTTAAATAAAAAATCAAATGGCTCGACCAAGATTTGATTATGATGAAATGGATTTTCAATTTGGATTACGTTACCGAGATGTTACGGATAATGAAAAGGGAATTGTTCGTGGCGCTACGGTAAGGGAAGAAAAATAATATTTATTCCCTTTTTTGAACTATTTCATTTATACTTTAAGAGTGTATAATTTTTATGGAAATACTTTAAAAATTTATTTTTAACAATTCGAGAAATTACTTCTTTTTCCCTATTGCATGGATTTAAATGCCCTTGGCATTTTCAAGGTTCCAGAAAGCGTTGCGTGTGAATCAACTGTTACAATTATTGAAAATTTTATAATTTTCATGTTCATAGTTCATTGAACTATTTTCATGCTATTGATTAATGAAACTGATTTTTTTGTTGCTTTGAAATAAATTTTTTCTATACCAGGAAAATAAAATGATTTTTTTCTATTATAGAACGATAACAAAGGTGCGACGAAAAGAGGTATGCCATATACAAGAGGAACAGCCATGTCCTTTGGATTTCGTAGGAGACCAACAACTGGAATTCCCGTGCCAGTGACAAATTATAACGCAGAGTCAAGTGTAATCCATCAAAGATCAAAATCAGCTGGTGCCGAGCACGATCGAAGGCGTGATGATAATTATCAACAGGGAAAAACGCAAACATCATCATCGGGACGTTCAACACCTCGACTGGCACCACCTAAAAAAGAATCATCCGGTTTAAATATTAGAACCAATCGCTTTGGCTTCCGACACACACAAGCTAAATTTACCGATAAGGTTTCCGATGTTTGTACAAGTCATTTGAATCAAGATAAACATGTCACTCAACAACCAAGTATTCAACAACAACAACAGCAGCAGCAACAATTACAACAACACGATAATTACAATTTGAGACAAAGTAGATCACCACACGCAGGTCCACCAATTACAAAACCAAGACCCTCACCAGTTAATCATCCATCTTATAACAATAATCATCTCTTACAAAATGATAGAAAAATCTCCGGAATACCAGAGCCTGTTAGTAAATATACATTGCACACAAGTCATTTACCACTTCCGCAATATGCCATTAGAGTGAGTGACTCAAATTCAAAAATTGCCAAAACTGTCGCCAATCAAAGTCGAAAGGTCTCGACAAATTCAAGAGGATGCTCCAGTTCGAAAGATGGTTCCGGTACCGAGGATTCAGGTGTTGGTAGTCATCATGGATATTCAGATGAGCCGGATATGGCGCGTGGTTTAGATATTATTGACAGTAGTTCAGCAGCAAGCAATAGACGTCACGTGAGACCGCGAAATTTAAGAATGGTTGTCTCGGGAAAGAGTTTTGATGTACGAGACGTTGATGACGATAGTACAGTGACAGAAATTTCTGTAATTCCTCTACCAAAATCATTTGCAACACCTAATATCAATACAGGATTAGTGAGAGAGAGAACAACGCATTATCAAAGAATTCTCAACAAAGACAATAGATATACTGAATCGACAACGTCAATGTCAACAACATCATCTGAAGGTTACGATGACGGCCTAGAAGAGAAGGTCTATAAAGACAGATCACATTCCGAAAAAATTCCCTCCATCAAATCTGATTTTAGTCCACCAAGTTCTGATGATCCAGAATATGGACATGGCGAGGCAATGGCTGATGAATATTCATTTAGTTCAAGTGACGAATGTCAAAGGATAAATTCCACTGAGCATTTGAAAACAATTTCTAATGCAGCGAAAAATGGAACTTTGCCTAAAAATGCATTGCGATCGGTATTATTGACAATTGAAGATCCTGCATTTGCGGCTGTTGCTGCCACAGCGACAGCGCTTATTGATGATGAAACATCACCGGTTGATAGTTTATTTGATAGTCCAACAGTCAGTATTACACAATCTGATGGCAAAACAAAGAAAGAAGGTGATAAATCATTAAATGGTGTCGATGATGATAGTCCAGGAACACCGACAAATGCTTCTAATTCATTGAGTTTATCCGAGGGTAGAGAATTTTTTGATGACGAAATTGAGGATCAACCGGGATTAATTTTTGATGATACTGGACGAGTGCCAATTGAAAATCGATCAAGAACTAGCAGTCAAGCACACACGGAGAATAGTCAAACTTTAATTGAGTCTACACCTAAAACAGGTGAGTGACAAATAACTGAATCGAAGAAAAGATTTTTTTCTAATCGTAAATCAGCAATTTCTTTGGATTTTTAAACATTCTTATTACTATTCTATACTATATTTCGTTTATTAATTTCGAGGTTTAGGGAAAATTAAAGGATTGTATTTAATATTTATATTTTTTTTAGTTTTGATACAACCCAAAAGTGTGGAAAATAGTCCCATGCGAATGCGTCGAGTAACACGAGCAGGAAGTATAGATACTTTATCTTCATGTGAATCGATTGCATCTGATGATTTAATGTTAGATTATGAAAGAAGTGAAGCTAGTTCTTATGGAGACACTACACTTAGGTAAATTTTGATATTTATATATATATATATATATATATATATATATATATATGAAAGAGTTCAACATAAATATTTAAGTTTTTTTTTATATTAATATTATATTTTTTTATAATTAATTTTCTTTTATACTAATTTTGATTATTTCATTTTTTTCAGCAATGTTCAATACTATTTCATTGGGATAATTTTTTTTCTGTTTATCGATTATTGAAATACTTAATTTTTTTCTATAGGATTCATTCGTCGCATAATGACGAGGATGTCAACGAGCTATTAGATCTGGAAGTACAAAGTCAAGAAGTTATGAGAGAATGGACTTCACTGTTGGGGGCGCATCATATTAATACCACTAATAACAACGCTAATCTTGGCATCAATAATAATAATCCCACCACGGATACGGGGTATGTAAATGATATTTTTAATTTATTATACTTTTTTTGCTCTTCAGTACGAATCGGTAAATACTTTTGTACATGCATAATGAATAATACACTGTAATTGCTTCTAATTCTACAAAATTTTATAATTGTTTCCTTTTTTCAAAAAGAAATTAAATAAATAATTTTTTATTTACAAATTATTTAATTTCTATAGAATTAAATTAAAATACAAATTATTTAAATAAAATGCTAGTAATCTCAAAGTTTAATTTAAGAAGTGTGCAAAAGTATTTTCGAATTTATCGTTACTGTTTCTTGCTGTTTTCATTTTTTTTTTTTTTTTTTTTTGCTGAGAATTTGAGAAAATGGTGAAATAAGACTTTGCAATTGATTGCTGGTACTCATTTTTTATTCTTTTAATTTTGCTGCTTTTTGACAAAAAAGTTACATCGCCTTTAAAATATTTTGCTTGATTAGTAAGCTTTTTAAATGTATGGAAATATGATTTAAAAAAATATACACTGAGATAAAAAATTCTTACTCTTTAAAAATATAAATTTTTTATGAAAATTTATGAAGAAAATAGTTAAGATTTTTTAAATTGCATTGGATTTTATAAAAAAAAGTGTTATGGTAAAACGTCAATATATTGAGCGTTCCGTATTAGTTTCATTATAAACCAGTAGTTCATAAGTGACATACTACTGGCTTCTGTTTGCGTTTAAAACAATCGGAACATTTTATATGGTATTTTTAGGAGAGCTTAATCGATAAATCGTTAAATTAATTTTTCGTTTGTCAAACTGATGAATATTTTTTATTTTAAAATTGCACAATTTATAAATATACATTTGAGAAAAATGATCGTCTTTAAATTGATATTTAATATATTAATATTTTTAATTATAGATTGAAAATTATTTTTAATCGAAGATTGAATATTATTTTTAATCATTATACTAATAGAATGAGAGAAACTCTATTTTGATTAAAACAAAAAAAATTATAAAAACTAAAATATTTGGAATCTTGAAATACTTTTTCCAATAGTATGAAATATATCAGATTTTCCAAAGTCTCAAAGGAATATTCCAGATGATTTTAGTGGAATATTTCAAACTATTAAAGTTGGTATGAAAACTTTTTTTTTGTCCCGTTTTTAACAGAATTTATTAAATTTTTTATAAAAGCGTAGCATTTTTATTCTAAACATATTTTAGTCGACGTTTAGAAATTTCAAATATTTTTTTTCTATTTAGAATTTCGTCTTACCCCATTCGAAAAGAATTAGAAAAAAAAAATTTTTTTTGTGTACAGTAAGTTTATCAGCTCCCTCCCTTCGTTGTAACTCGTTGCTAAGGTTCAGCGCAGCCGGTGCGGCACGATTTTAGCTTGTGGTGTACACACATATTGTAATCGTGTTGGCGAGTAATGCCAGTTGAAGTGCCAGTCTACTACAGTCAGTCTGAGTCAGCCGCATAGTCTGACAATAGTGTTTTCATGGTAGTATACTTACGAAATAAGGATATTTCTCTTAAACAATTTCCTTTCGTTATTGCCAAACATATAACAAATAATTATTTCCATATATTATACCTAATGAGAAATCAAAAGAAAATGTACGATTTTTTTAAAATCACAAATTTTAAAACAGTGTACCCTTTATAAAAAAAATAGTGTTGACTCAAGTGCCATAGTGATTTTAAAATAATTCCTCTCAAATGCATTAACTAATGTTATTGTTAAAGTCGAAAGTCTATAGTAAATAAATTTGTACCTTCTTCTATTATTTTTTCAAAATACAAAAAATAACTCGAGAGAAATATGTACTTATTCATAATTATTTTATAAATATTCTTTTCGATTTTTTTTTAAATTTTACCTATTTGTTTTTAAATTATAATGAAGATTTAAAAAAAAGAATTCTTTACCTCTTTTTTTAAATTTCGTTTCTCGTTCGAGATTTGCACTTACAATTAGTTTAGAGTGGTGTAGTTTTTTTGCCTCTTTTACTATAATTTCTCTTTAAGATCATGACACAGAAACATTATTATATTTCCTCGTAGTTCATTGTTTATCATTCCGTGTAATATTATGCGTGTATTACGCTTGTTCAGTTTTTGTTACGTCGCATGTTCAGCATTCCCATTTTGTTCCAAAGGACAAGGTCGACTTTATATTTGCTTTACGCCATTTTCTATTACCAAAAATTATTATTATCTTTTAATTACATATAAGATTAAATTTGAGATATCCGTTATTTGTATTTAAAAAAAAATTATATTTGATTGAATGTAATAAAAATAATGTAGAGACAAGAAAAGAGAAATCTAGTAATATGAAAAATTACAGCTTTGTAATTTAATTATGTAGTTCCGAAAAATGAAGAATATCTTATTTATATAATATTTGAAAGAAATAATTTTAATTCTTATGTCAAATGATCAGTAATAATTTTGTTATATGTCCCAGAATTTATGTCTCGCTAAAACTGGTTTTTTTCTACTGAGAAATTTTTCATTTGAATATAATAGAGAAGCCAAAATTTCTTTCTTCTTTCAAATTTTTTCTGTTATAATTTTAACGTGGATTAAAAAATTTTGTTTAGTAATTTTTTATATCCTTTTTTATATATACCTATATGTATTCTCGTATTTACTCGTGGTGGCTTGGCTGTTATGTATAGGGATTGCTTTGTATTTCCTCGTATATTAAAGCAATAATAAAATTGAGATTAAAAAGAAAAATTAAAACAAAAATTCTGGAATCCCTTAAAGTGATTATTGCGGACGGTATTTTGTGTTCTAGTGCACTAATAAAGCAAGTCAAGCAAATGAATATTGCTGACGAGGATGATCCTTTGGGTGGTGACTACTACCAGCTGACTTATTCTAACTAACAACTACTTCATCGGTCCGCCTTTGCGGACCAAAGCAAAACGTTTAAATAACTAACAATACAATCCCTTTTTTTATTTAATATTAATATAACAAACGCGGACATATACAGGAAAAAAAATTTATAAGACTTAGAAAGAAAAAAAACTATTTTTTTCATAGAGCAACAAAATTCGTCTCCATGCGAACGATATAGTATCTTTTACTATGGAATTTTAAATCTATAACACCATCATTTAAGATTGTTGAGGAGAAAGTGAAATACGTATTTTTCCAATTTCATATACCTCTTGACTAGGTACTCAAATATGCAATCGCATTAATTGAATTAAATAATTCCTTGACAATTATTAACCTGATCAGTTATAAAAGTATAAAATTCATAACATAATAATTAATAACAATAATAATGATAATAAATAATTAATCAAGCATGTTAATAATAAAATAGTAATAACAAATATTTATAACAATAAAAACAAAAAATATTGCGTTTAAAATTCTTTATTTTTTAAATAATCGTTAAATAATAAATTATTGAAATTTCGTGGTTCTTCCCTATTAATAATAAATTATATAAATAAAAACGTTAAATAGTTACTTTGAAGTTTAAAATAAATTGCATCTTCCATATACATAGTTATATATGGGGCATTCTACGAAAAATTTTTATTCAAAATTTTTTTTGCCTGGAACATTTTTTTTCTGAATCTTTATGAAAAATAAGAGAATACGTATTTTTTTCTTTTTTGATTTGATGAAAGTTACGGGAGTTATGAATTTTTTAAAATTAAAGTTTACACGAAGAAGGTACTTTTCAAACGCGTTGTTCTTCATTAAAACGAAAAGATGGAAAAAAATGTGTCATATGAAATTTGTTGGAAATTTTTCAAATTTTTTATATATGCAATAAAAAATAATATATTTTTAGTGGAAATGCCCAAAAAGTCAAAATTAAAAAAAAATATTGATTTTTCTCAAAGAGAGACACCATGGATTTTCAATTTTGTTTTTTGCAATACAATCTCTAATAAATAAAGAATTTTTTCCCGTATATTAGAAAGTGGCGTTTTTTGGAATCTAAGAAGTATTTCAGATTTTCGAGTTGAGTAAAGAGAGCTTGAAACTCCTTTTTTATAAATGTAAAACATAATTTCACTCCATTTTTATTCTAAGTCATTTGTTTTCTCTATAGTACTTGAATGTTTTTTTTTTGACAGATGTGTAAACTATCAATAAAAATACGTAATTTTAAATTATTTATTTTCAATGTCTTCAATAAACATTTTTCGTGATCACTGTTGAAATCCATTTAAATTAAAAGCACATCTTGTTAAAAGGAATTTACGCAAATTAAATGCTCAACTGTTTAACAAACTTTCAATCATAACCCAAAAAAATGTTTTGGCTAATAAATCTATTGTTTGTAATGATTGTAGAATGAAAATTAGAAAACTAAACATGAGTTTTTAAAAAGTACACTTTTTAGTGTTTTATTTAATTATTTAAATTATATTTAATTTATACTTAGTATAATATACATATATGTATATTTATATGGGGTTATACTTACAATTACTTACAAAAAAAAATGTTGAATAAAAATTTTTCGTAGAATGCCCCATATCTATACTCAGAAGAATATTTAAATTATATTAATAATTACTATATATTAATAATCAAATAAAATGTTAACAAATTTAATTGTACTTAAAAATACATATATACATTTTAACAAAAAAATAAGTCAAACTTACATTTAAATAAATAAAATATAAAATAAACACAAAAAATAATTAGAATTTAATTAATCGTAACTATTTTAAGGGCATGTAATGAAATTTTTATTAGCAATTTCTCTTTAATTTTTTAAACATAAATTTTTATAGAATTATATATGACAAAATTTTGACTTGAATATTCCGGCCTTTAATCTTATAAACCGATCCAATTAAATTTCTATAAATATTTTTGGTATGTTTTTTAATATATAAATCACCTATAATTTTTTTTGTAAAATTGTTATAAATTTACTGTAAAAAAATAATAGATATCTAGTCTTAAAAAAATTAAATACTCTTAAAACAGTAATTTAATTCAAAATTAATATACAATTTAATTAAA